ACAAGGAGCGATTCGAGCTTTTCAACATTGTACAGAAGCTACACCAGGTGGAAGAAAGGCTGTACGTTCGGCACGTCAAGCCCCATTGGAGGACAAGGGCGTAAAATTGACACTGTGTCTTGGCATTGTGTGTTCAGATTCGATCCAATGGCTTCCGATGAAGCGAAGGCTCGCTTGCAGCAACAGCTAAGAGCTTATCAACAAGAATACAATCGTACGAAGGAACTTGCAGCTTCAGGTGCGGCGCGCGTCCTATCTTTATGAGTACCGCCACCTGATATTTGATGTCCCATGACATACCTAGATTTCCAGCATTTGTGCAACTGCGTAGTCAAACTTCGCGCATTACACAAAGCGACGGTCCAATTGCAATACTGTCAAGAACGAATTGACTCAATGGGTCGGGAACGAAGCGGCGCGACAATCGGTCAAGTCGAAGCCAGCAAGCTTGTCAGCGTCTCACAGACGCACAGCAAGAAAGTAAAAGTGGCAATCGAGATGTACAATAAAGCGGTCGGGGATTACCGAAATGCTGCGACCGAGCAATCGGCCAAGATTCTGGACAACTTGCCGCTCGCTACCACGATAAAGTCGCTTGTGACTCTGTCGCCAACGGACGCTTTCTGGCAAGACGGTTTTTTCGAACAAGACACTGCGCCTTGGGCGATCGATACCGACGTTCAGAAAGGGATCAAGGCGGTTCTACTCAAAGCCAGGGCGGAAGAAGAGATTCTTCGAATCGGAGCTGAGGTTCGACAACTACTCGCGTGGCTCGAAGATGAGGACACTCGCTTTGTTAGGGTATCTCAGGCATGGGCAGAGGACAAAGGTGAGATGGACACACTCTTTCTTTGTGATGGTGCTGTACCTTACGTCGCCCCTTCTATTAGTTCCCGAAGAAACGATCGAAGCGGCTAGGAAACTTCTCGGAACTGATGGCGCGGGCGAGGTTGGCACGGCGGTGTGGCATGTGCTTCAACGCCGACAGATTTCGTTCAAAGAGCGTCTGGATCGGCTCGCCGAGCGCGATGATCTCTCGGTTGTCTGGTTCAGAACGCGTTCACCCGCAGTTCATGAATCGCGGCCCTCGGCATTCGGTTTGATCGGGGGACTTTTCGCCGGACGGCCGAAACAGGTGTCGCGCCGTTCGCGCGGTAGTCCACGTCATTTCGGTCGCCGCCTTTCGACGCTGAATAATACTCAAATGCAGAGCCTCGTCGCTGAGTCGAGCCGCCGCTCATCAGGTCCTTCTGCCGTGGACGTGCGCCACACAACCATCGACCTCGACGCATTCCGAAGGGAACTTGGCCTGACCCCCGATCCAGCCGCGGAGCAGGCCGAGCGAGACCGCGATGATGTGTATGAAAGACGAATGGAAGAACTTTTGGGCTCACGATCGGAGCAGGAGGTTGAGGAAGAAGATGATGCTGAGCTCGGGGAGGGCGGCGGAGAGTCAGGCTCGACAGGGGGTGAAGCCTCGGACGACCTCGAGATTCTCGACGAGCCCATGGGCTAGCTAGGGATGGTTTGGCGCATTTGTTGACTGTAGATTGTTTGTTATTGAAGGACTTTGCTTTTTGTATGCCGCCCATATCGCACATGGTGGAATGTGGACGCCAAAGTGCACAAAAGTAAATCGAATGTCAGCCTTAATCAGGCGTTGACGCGTTGACGACCACGATCCCACGAGCCGGTCGCCACGGCCACAGTCGCCGAACTGCAGTGCGTGCAGTGACAAGCTTGAAGGTTCTGCTAAGTTAAAGACTGGAAATTGGTGTGCATCGGTGCTGACATTTGCAGGTTCAGATTTGGGAACGTTGCCAGACCTTACAGCTCAAAGTTCCTTTTCTCTTCTCAGTGACAATGCTCTGTGCGCTCGGTCGATTAAGATCGCACACAACGGATGCGAGCGCCGGAATGCATTACACCCCAGTGGAAGGTTCTGCTTGGTGCTGACCGGCAGTTCGGTGAGCATCGGTGCTGACATTTGCAAGTTCAGGTAAGTTGGGAACGTTGCCAGAGCCGGGGGGCGGGCGGGGGGCGGGGAGGATTGGTGTTGCTGTAGTTGTCTGTTCCAACAGAACCCCAAAGTGGGTACAGACGCGTTCCGAGTGAACAACGGCGCTCACTGCTAGTACTACTAACACGGAGGACTCGACTCGGACCTGCGGTCTTGGGTGCGTGACCCTACACGCCCACGGAGTACGCAGCGGAAATCGCAGCGGCGGAACGCTCGTTGTACAGTGCTTGCGATAATATGTCAGCAAGAATCGAATACGTCACCGCATACCTTCTACCCCGTTGACGTGATAGTTTATGTAGTCGAGTGAGCAGGGATATCGGTCCATCGGCCAAGTTTTGGGAACTTTCGGCAAGTCCACGGGTGACTTAGATTTACTTGCCCTTTTTGATTTATCAGACCTTGTACTAGGGGCTTTGTACTCCCGGGGGTACACACATACACAGTCAGAGTCGGCGCGTGACAAGAGTGTAACCCCGGGAGGACGCGGCCTGATCCGCCGACAAGGCTGTGTACTCCCGGGGGTACACAGTCATTCGGCGCGCGGGGTGTGGCCACTCCCGGGAGTAGACAGCGGAAGAGCGGACCGGTCCTGCGTGCCCCCGGGGGTGCACAGGCGCTTTCCCGCTTGCGGCTTGTGTACCCCCGGGGTTGCAAAGCCGGTCACCGGTGGCAGATCACTGTATAATGGCATATACGATTCTCCAACGGCAGGAAGTTAATCCTTTCGGTAACTTCAGACACATCCTGGGCTTTGAGCGGGTGCGTGGAAGTTTGTTGTAGTGCAGTTTCGCTCTGCTCGGTGGTTCGAACGAAGCATTCAGCTAGGGAAGTGTGTTGGCCTTGCGGGCTTTTCAGAGTGCAAGTCGGATGTAGCAAACGAATATTTCGTCGGTCTCGTCGCAGGAGGTTATTCCCTTCAGTAACTGCAGACACATCCTGAGCTTTGAATGGGTGCGTGGAAGTTTGTTGTAGTGCAGTCAGCAAGGGCGTCGGCGACGGACCGCGCCTGAGCCGTGGAACCCCGGGGGTACATAGCTGGAGAGGGCACCGGTCGTGTGTACCTCCGGGGGGTACACACCGCCACGCCGGTTGTACAATGCTTGTTAAGAGTGTCCCAGAATTGATGAAGCACGTCGTCGCATACCGCCTCCTCATTTCCGGAGGCGCGGGACTCTGTTGTAGTGTATCTACGCCATGCCCTAAGGTTTGAAATTGAACAAGAATTTCCGCCTTCGGAGTGCGTTGTACCCTCGGAATGAATCATGGTTGCAGTGGAGGATCTCCATTGACACAACATACAAGCTAGACAGCTACACAAGCTCACGGAAAACTCGAGACGGTCATCGCCTAACCGGTGAATTGACACTCATGGTGCCTCATGTCCCAGTATCCAGGCCGCGCTCCAGCTCGCTCAGGCTGGTCAGCTCGGAGAGGGTGGAGAGGGTGCTTTCGGCCTCCGAGCCGGCCGCCGATCCGTGGTCGGAATGTTGGCCGGTCGCCGAACTGTGTTCCGATATCGCGTCCTCCTCTCGTGCCCCCGAGGTCGACGCGGCGCCCTCACCGCCGGACCCCTTCTTGCGCATCCAACAATACGCGTCCCTCTGTTCACTCGACAGCGCCAACCACCTGTGGGCACACTCAACAATCCAGGAGTCCCAGGTCTTCTTCCTTTCGGGCTCGAGGTCCGCATCGGTGGGCGGCTTGGGAGGTTCGGGAACGTGGACGAGCACCGTCGTTGCAAATGGTCTGAGCGCTGCTTGCCAGGTGCGATGTTCGCTTTCTAACTGATCTCAGAACTCGTCCGGGACACGTTTCCCGAGGAAAGGGCGGTACGCCTTTTGGATCCATCTTAAAAGGCGGTCACTCCCCTCCTGGTCCTCGTCGGTCCTTATTTCGTCCTCAGGGAGAGGGCGTTGGCACTCGTGGTACAGGGGTGAAAGGATTTCACTGAATAGGCGCGATTCCTCATGTTCGGCGGCAATGTTGACGGGGACGGTGAAGATGCGCGCGAGGATGTCGTCGAAGTCTTGGATGCGGGTCCTATACTCCTTCAAAACTCTCGCGCTCCCTCCACCTCTCTTTCGCTTCTGGTCATCGTATGCATCGAACAACACGATCCTCCAATGGATGAGCACGGTCAACAGGCTCCGAGGCAGACGTCCATTCCCTTTGTGCCCTGCCCATTCATCCCAAACAGGCCACACGACGTAGTCGATCTCCTCCCGGACCTCATAGGCCAAATTTTCGTCGTCCTCGGGGATTGGGTCTTGAATCATGATGTCTTCGGGTTCCATCGCCAGCCGACGCGCCCTTTCCGCCGCCCACTCGTCGTGCCTCGCACGGTCCGCTTTCCCTGGCGCCTCCAACCCGTCAAGCTTGGCCTGCAACTGCCGGCGGTATCTTTTCTTCAGGTGGCCAAAACCCTAATCAGATCAGATAAGTACATAAACAAAGGTTTAGCCGAATTCCACATATTTTGTATCTGATCTCCTGGGAAAGCTGTTTAGCACTCACCGCTTGGACCTCACGGTCGGTACCGATCAGCTCAAACGCCGCCTCGTTGCATCTGTACCGACTGTCGACCGTAGACGGATTGAACGTGCGCTTGTGTATACGAATGATATGTTTTTTCAGGTTTCGTTTGGCCTCATGTGCATGTTCCGGTGCTACAGTTGGGGCGTCGAGTGACCTGTACCCCCCAGGCAGCTTGTAGTGTTTGTTGCAAAGTTCACAACGGACACGCCATTGGCCGGACTCGTCACGGATGAGATGCGAGTCGATGTCGAGCCAAGCGCGCTCGCCCTCGGTGGCGCGTGGTGCCATGTTGGACTTGGAGTGGGGGTTAGGGGTGAGAAAGAGAAGTGTCCCACTGTGTACCCCCGGGGGTACACGTCGCGCCGAGCGTCACCGAGCGTCACCGAGCGCGCGCGCTCTCCTCTCACAGCATCACCGACACCGTCGCGTCACAGCCGACCCGATGCCCTCAGCGGCTCGATTCATACCAAGTTACAACCAGCGATTCTGTCTGCGGGACACAAAGATCAAGATCATCGAGTATTTGCACGAGACGAGATATAGTGGCCACCTGGCACATTGCCTGTCCCAGGCGTGAAGCAATACGTAGTCGGCACCGAGCGCGACCTATGAACGCTAGCGCTTGTATGCAAGCGACTCGGCCAACAACGAGAATTGCTATCACGAAGTCATTGACGCCTCAGCACCAAGCTGCCACTATATCGATGCCGACTTTACGCCCCCTTCCATTGACAATTCAGCAGAAAAGGCATTGATTACGCGTAATGCAGCGTCGTATTTCCCTGGCCCTCAGCTAGAACACCGTGGTCAGCTAGCAAGCTCGGACACCTTGCGATCTTGCGTCTGCAGGTCAGAAGTGGTGAACTACCTTGTTCCCTGCTTCTGTTTTATATCTATTGTTCCAGCGCCAACGGATAATCTCGGCTCTCCTTCTCACCGTGGGCACGCCGTTTGAAGAACCCTACGCGAAGCGTGTTATTACGGACATTCTCGACAAGGTTCTGCTGTCACTTCGCCGGCGTCTCGGGGGGTCCGAAGGGGTAGTCGAAGAAATTTGGGTGCTTTGCTGTTGGTCACCCCCCAAGCTCTGGGACGAGCTTAACTGCAGTTTGACATTAGGTAGGATGAGTGAGTGCTTTATTTGAACATCCATTATTTGCCTGAATCTACGGAGTAAAATCTGAAACGTTTAGCGCGGGTAAATCGATTTGCTTTGCGATTTGCTTTGCGATTTGCTTTGCGATCAAAAATGCGTCGCATAATTGATCAACGGACGGACAGTCAAGCTAGTCGAGATGCGTGGAAACTTGTTGAATACCTCTTGCCACACACAGGTCGATATCACCTCAACGACTACAAAAAGTTTGGCAATCTACCTCAACGCGCGATAGGCGCACCAACAATATACTGAACAACAGAAATGTAGTCGGATTCGGAATCAAAATGTTGCAGCTCCCAAATCAGAATCAGAACCAGAAGCAGAACCAGAAGCAGAATCAGAAGCAGAATCAGATCCAGTGTCTTGGTCTTCTGGCTCCGTTTCCGACTGCTCGCTCATCAAAGTACTCTCGGCAGGAGTGCGGTCAAAAAAGACCTGGCCGATATCCTCTTTGAGCGAAAACGTAAGCCCACCCTGTCGCATCAATGGAATAATTCTTCTCAAATTGTCAACGGTCGGCTTCTTGCCATTGGTAGGACTGCGGAAATCACGCTCGTGAAGACCGTTTCCGAGCTCGATAACAAGAGCGGTTGGATCCTTCGCAAGAGTTTCCTGGTTGTAGCTCGTAAGCTTGGAAGGCACGTAGGGCTGAATAGACTTGTTTCTGTTGTGGCGACGACGGAGCGCTTGATCTGCACGGCCACAAAACTTCAGTCATGGGCTGCCAAATGTGGGCGCAGAGCGGTGGAGTGATTGCTTACTATAGTAATCGTCAATGATAATGCGATACCATGTGCAGAGCACTCGGTGAGACGCCTTGTCAACATCACCATGATGAGTTGCTCATCAGTTCTTGGAATCAGCACCAATCTATCGCCGAGCACAAGGTCCGTTCTGAAGCTTGTCTGACAGACCTTCCATCTTGAATTGCTCGTCTCGCTCCTGATTGAACCGGGTGCCATTTATGCATTCCGTGAAGTTAACGAGCACATCGTTCTTTTGAGAACCCCAGCTTTGGCGCCGCATGAAAGCTGCGCCGCCAAGCGTCGAAACGATGAAACGATCATTTTTATTCTCGAGCTTGTTCGAGCCGACGATGACTAACGCGTCGAATCCGTAGGTGTCAGCATGTTGATTAACCTGATGCAGTGCCAAGCTATCTAAGTCAGCGGGAGGATCATGAGAATTGAGGAGAGCCCAACGAGAAGAGCTGAATTGTCACGGACCAGTTCGTGTATCGTCTTTTCGTACTTGTGACTCAGTTTGGTGATGGCAGCAGGATCGATTCGCCATCGCTTGAAGGGACGAGTGGTCTGCTCGTGTTCACGCGCTTCGGCTTCACTTGCCCACGCTTCCTTCCATTGTTCATAAAGATCTGGCGAGTCTTTGACTTTTTCCCAGTAGCGCGATCCAATTGTGTTTAGCGTAGAAAAATCTTTCGAGACTTTGTAGGGGTACAGAGTGATCAATTTGTGAGTCAAAGAAGCGTAAAGGAGCGTCTTGAAATGCCAAAATGAACGATCTCGGGATGAGCTAGAAAGGCAGACGCCGCGCTCACCTTCGAGTCCGTCCTTCTCGACGAGACAGTGGAAAAAGCGGCTCGTCTTGAAAGCGTTCCAGTCGTTTGTGTCATTCCTTCGGATCGCACGAGGCATGTACGAGTCGAGGTCGTCGTCCCGAACGCCATGATGCAGACAATACTTCATTGTCTCGAGGCGACGTTGCAAGCCATAGAGCACATGGGGCTGCTTCTGCGACGACGACATTCGCGAAGTTGAAGGCAACGCACGAACGGCATCATGGAGAGCTCGAATCTCTTCCTGAATCTGTTTGATTTGTTGATCAATTGAGTTGGACGAGGTCGGCCTTGAGGCGAGCGGTGTGCTTCGTCCACATTCGGGAGTCGCGCCGCTGGGCGCAGGAAGGTGGTTCTGTTGGGTCTGAACCGTAATTGGAGACAGTACGGACCCCATGTCTGCGCTGTTGGTCGATTGCACCGAAGCAGCTGTGCAGAAACAGCGAGGAACGGTGGTGAGCAGAAGGACCACCCATATCACAAACACGAGGACGCGTCTCACGGGTGGGAGCGGCAAAGTCTGACGCGTTGCTGGGAGCAGACAGGCTGGACATATCGGATCGTCGGATGGCGTCAAGTATAGATATATGACGAAGAGCGTAACGGCGACAGGAAGGGGTAAGACCAGGACTGCACGTGGTCGATAGCGGCGCGTCAAGCGTGAAGAGGCATCAAGTCGCTTGTTGTCACTCAGTGTCGCTTGCGTTTGTTAGCGTGGTGAAAGGGCACGAGACTCTATCACGTTCAATAATGCCATTTTATCACTTTAGTAATGATGTTTCCTAATCGAACCTCTCCTCGCTGATAGTTTACCGAAAAAATTGACACTGAGTGTTCCAAATACGAATTACACACTACGATGACTAAAATAACCTGATTTGAGCACGCACGTACATGAGATGAAACTGTTGGAGCCCACACAAGCCTCCGTGTGCCCCTGGCCTCGGGCCCTCAAGCAACCCGGGTTGCAGGGAGAGCAATCTGTATGAGTACGCCGCTTAAGAGCGGCGCTGGGAAGGGCGCTGCGCGCGCCACTTTTTGGTGTGCTTAGATATATAGCCAGAGGTGGCTAAGTTCATCAAACAGCGCCATTTTTGTGCCATTTTGTGCCATTTTGTGCCATTTTGTGCACTTTAGCGGTTTAGCGGCTCGAGATTTATTTAGTGGCGTTTAGCAAAGTGGCAAAGTTGCTGATGGAACAGGTCGAGTCGGGCGGTTCGGACTGGCTGGCGGAGATTTGCCATCCCACAGAAATGACTCGAACGGCTCCGCTCCGCTCAAGTTCGAGCGTGAACTGGCGATTGCACAGAGTGGAGCGCTTCTTCTCAGACTTTCCTCATTCGTCTAGCTCCTTTGCCACGTAGCATCATCGACAGGGCGTTGCATCGCCGCCCGCTCAGTACTGTCACTCCCCCGACACTCTGCTCTCTCACGATCGTCGTCTGCTCCGTACACTCGGCTTCGGTCTACGGAACCTTCTCGTGACGAAGCTGAGGCTGCCAGTCGTTCCACGGCCCCAACTCAGTGAACGGATTTCATCGCACCTTCTCGTGAGTCTCATCGATGCAATCAAGTGCTCTTGCCCATCGTCCCACGTGTCCCATTCCCCTCCGTCTCCCAAGTGGGGTGGACTTCCGACTATCTTCCGGCGTGGAGTCGAGGCGGTGCTCATCATGGTCGGGCAGGCACACGGCCGCCCCGCGCCGTCCTCATCGACTCACGTGACACGTCATCACATCCATATGGCCATTTGATCGAGGAGACTGATCTCGATTGCTTTCCGTCCAATCAGAGTCTCCGACGACCTTCGTCACTCTTTGACCGCTTCGCTGCACCCGTCGCGAATCGATCAGAAACTTCCGCTTGGCTCCCACTCGGGTCGAACGCATCTCGTTTGACGTGACGTGTCTACGAACATGACGATCCTCGATCCTTCCCACCCCAAGGCAAGTCACGCCCAGTCACCAAAATATTACTGTCGATTCCAATGCTCATCATCACGGTCGCATTGCAGGCCCAAATGGCTCCCGCACGTCCTCAAAACGGCGCAGGCTCGGACGCCGACCTCGAAGGGTTGCCCTCGTACAGCCAAGTCGCTTCCACCTCCTCACCCCCTGGCATGCCTTCGTCGTCCTCTGCCTCTGGCTCAGGCTCGGTCCCTCAGACCATGAACCCCTTCGCGAACCCCTTGACCCCTCAATCGACCTCCAGCACCTATGCCCCCGAACCACTTTCCTCCCTCAACCCTGAAGCACGCAAGAAGCTGGCTCAAGAAGCGCAAGCTTCTGGTCGATCGATCGACGATTATGGATTCCTACCGCAAACTCCGTCGGGTCCGAACCCTACCCCACTTGAATCGACGCTTCCGAGTTTCGAATCGGAAGAATTGGCCAGTCGGTTCCCTTATTCGATCGATTCAAAGGGCAATATCTCAACCTACTCCTCCAAACTCAATCACAACCCTTCGGCGTTATCGAGGTTCCTCAAATTACATGCCGAGTCACCCCCCTCGCTGACGATCCATTTAAGAGGAAGTCATACCGAAGCGCGAGTCGAACGTCGCACCGAACAAGATCACCATGGTAAACTCCGAACAAAGGAAGTCGAAGTTCGGGAAGAGGTGGAGGATTTCGAATTCTACATCGACGCATCCGAATACGTCGAACAAGGTCTAGGCGAAGGAGGAGTAAAGGGGTTATTGTACCATGTTGGGGACTGGGAGCCGGCTTATAGGGGTGGGAATTGGAGGACGGTCGAAAAGAGTCGAGAGGAATTGGACGCGACCTTCCAAAGAGGCGATCATGAATCGACGACGCAACCTGTTTCCCTCTCGGCCACTACGCACGAGACGAACGTTCCTAGTCATCCTAGGCCGAGCAAGAACGGGAAATGGAAGCGCAGCTCCTTACGCCAGGTGCATGCGTTCTGGCGTCAGTTCCAACAACGTGCTCAAAGCGGACTGCCCTCGTTCGTCCATCCCGCGTCTCTCGTGGACCTACAAGACGATGAAGAACGCTCCAACGTCGATCAACTCGAACACCCCGCATTGATGTTCCGAAGTCATTGGGTCGATCTCGTCGAAGCCCACGCGAGCGTAGCGTACGGATTGACCAAGTCCAGTCGCTTACCTCTCCCCAGTCCTACGTATGATGTCTTGATCAAGGAGAGGGAGGAGAGAGAAGGGCAGGTGAGGGAGGTGGTGGAACAGTATTGTCGGTGCCGGAGCGTGTGGAAGGAGTTGAAGGTTGAGAAGGAGGTGTTTGGGTGGAATTTGCAGCTGTTGGAATCGGTCAGTCATCTACCACGAGCTCCCACCCTCGAATATTCTGGGGTTCTGACCATTCTTCCCCTTTTTCTACCACCCAGGGCATCCGCTCGATTCTGCAAACCGAGTACCAACCCCTGCACCCAACCGGAACGATCCAAATCAGCATCCAACTGCGTCCCACCGAGATCCTCATCCGACCCGAGAACTGGATCTCCCGTATCCTCTCTTCCCCCTGGTACATCAAACTCATCCTTACCCTCTTCACCGTCTACCCCATCCTCTACCTCCTTTCCTACTTCCTCTCCCATCGATTCCATAACCTCCGCGTCGCGTTCCCTTTAACGAGATGGCGAAGGATCCCGAACCTTTCCCCCGGTGCCGAGATCGAAACGGCTCGGTCGGCAGCTCAAGCGTTGAGATCGAGTCGGACGAGGGGGGAAATCAGGGTAGCCAAGTTGCCTTCTGTTTCGGTTTTCGATGACGAGTCCGAACCGGGGCAGGTCGGATGGGTTGCTTTGATTGGGGTCGAGGAGACGGAGGCCGTTTCGAGGTGGCAGATGGCTTTGAGGGAAGGGGTGAAGAGGGGCGTCAGGGGGAGGAAATTGGCGATCATTTGATCGGTACCGAGATTGACGGCATGTATCTTGATTAGTGGTAGTGGTTCTGTACGTCCTGCCCAATTGTAACATTTGATTCGAGCGATTCAACTTTCTCACGCTCTGCTCATGTTCAAAACTCCCTTTCAAATTTCAATCAAATAATTGCGACATGCGAAACAGATATGTGGTGTCAATTCTCTTGTCCTTGTAAAACGCTTCCTACTCGTATCTTGTTCCTCGTCCTCGGGTTCTTTCGTGCATGATGCTTCCGATCGTGCGTGCGTGGGCGTATAGCCTCTTTTGTCGTTGATTTTCTTCCATTTCCATTCCTGGTCTGGTCGTCGCCCGTCGGTGTGTATTGGATCTCGTGATGCGGTGAGTCGGGAGGTGGTGTATGTGTGAAGTCTTCCAAGATGCGAAATGCGAGGGTAGGTGGGAGATAGGAATCGAGGGGGGGGGAATAGAGTCGAGCGGCAGAGTCGAGCGCTCAACGCGTCTAATTGGGGTACCTATCACGTGGAACAAGGACGGTGAGCGCGTCGTTCCTTACGACGAGGATTAGGAAACGCTGGTGTTGACTCGCTTGATCTGGTAATCCTTTTCTCGCTTGAACAAGAGGATATGCGGTTCCGGTGCTGTGGGGGTTGAGGGACCGTCGTGGAGGAAGCATCAGCCCCTATTTTACCAATACTCGCGTCGGCGTGATATTTCTGACGCGCGACACCATAGCGAGTTCATGAGCACCAGCATCGATGACTGACCATGTCGCATGTAATGTTCCCACCCCGGACTCTGGCGGATGCCCAACCCTCGCCACTCGTCCTCTTCGGCCAATCGATCGGTCGGCAGGTACTTGACCAGCGCTTTGGGTAAGATCACGTGGCGGTATTCGTATTGCTCGTCTGGTGGCGGGCAGGCGAAAATTGTTGCAAGAGAAGAATGGGGAGACGAGTCGGAGCATGTTGAAGATGGGGGAAGTGGAGAAGAAGAGTCAGCTCAGCTCGGCGATCTTGAGTCAACACTAGCCAAAGTAGTTTATGGGGTCGACGGTCTGTCGATCAGGGAATTCCCGGGGGTCGCACATCCATTACGGTGAGATGGTACAGGTGTTGACTGTGGGAAACGTGCCCACACCGCCTCCTTCCTCGGCTGACCCGCGTCCCCAAGTCGTGTGCGCGCCCGCCCCGCGCATTGTACCGAAAGCCGAAGCCCGATCCCATACGAATCAACAACGAAGTGATCGCGCTTCACCCGTAGACTGAAAATCTGCCCGCTCTTCTGAAGTTGGCATCGGGTTGTAGAAGCAGAAAGGAGGTTGTTGTTGCACGATGTTGATTGTCGCACGCGTCGACTTTGCATGCGCGCCGCCCCGCGAGAGCTCGTTCAACAATCCTCTCGTCCTCGGTCGATCCGCGAACCTCGCCCCACCCACCACGACCCGAATCGGGATCTGCGCCATCCACTACTAGCCTCCGAGCTTACCCGAGTACCTCGCCGAGTAGAAGATCGCCTCCGAGTACTTCTCGATGTCCCGTCGTCGTTGCTCGGGGTTGTCCGCGGTCGTACGCGAGGCCTTGGACATGCTTGACGAGTCGCGGCGAGTCGCGTGGGGGAGTGGATGTGTTGTTAGGCGACGAACCGAGTCGGAGATAAAGAGACGTCGGCGTATAGAACCGGGAGAGAGTCTCGAGGTCGGGCTCAACGAAACCGCGGCGCGAGAAGGGAGTGCCAAGTGGGTGGAGCGAGCAAGAGTCGCGAACGGAGGACGTCGACGCGCCTCGGCAGATTTCGCACGCGTCCTATTCCGTCCTATTCACTCGTTGGTAGTCGCGGAACCTCGTCATTACAAACAGGCGATCTCGGCCGCGTCTCGGCCGCGTGCGCCGGGTCGGAATCTTTCTTTTTCGCGGCTAAGCGCTCCGGAATACAAGTAACTGATCCTTTCGCCAAATGGGAAGGAGTCCTACACCACTGGCCTAGCCAGTGTGCCTAAATGCACCTCCTACGATCTCTCCAAAGATTTCTAGGCAAATATAGATATGCTGTTATTGAGATCTCTTACATAAAATAATGATAGAGTGGATCAAGATCAACTTGCATCAGCACGCGCTAGGAACCCCTTTGTATACTAGCACGAGAAAAGCGTGAGTGTGAAAGATAAAAGAAAAGGTTCGGATACATGAGGCGAAATGATAGAGAACGTCCCGAGGCACGGCCAAAGGAAATAATAGAATAATAGGGGTTCCAGACTAAGCGAGGGAAAAGATCGGTCGTGGGCGAAGGAAAGAATAAAGATGTAGACAATACGGAAAGTATCGGTGGACTGGATACTACGAAGAGGGGCAATCTGCACTGGCGGACGGTGCTCGAAAACTTGCGTGTCAAAGCCGGGGCCTAGCTTCGCTGCGGGGGATTTTAGTGATGATGTTTTCGGCCATGACGAGGGTGATGATGGTGATGATGACCACCGGATCCGTGGCCTCGCTTCTTTGGCAAAGAAGCCAAGCTCGGTCCACCGCCGGACACGTGGCTGCTGCTGGCACCGGCGCCGCTACCAACTTGAGGCTTCGTCGACGTGGTCTTCTTCTTCCTCTTGCTCTTGGGGTCGGAGTGGTGCTTTGACTTTTGCTTCGTCGGGTCGTGGTCGTGCTCTGTCTTCTTCGGGTCGTGCGTTGTCTTCTTCGGGTCTTGCTTTGTCAGCGGGGTACCCTTGCCTCCACTGGGCGCCGGCCAATGTTTACTAGCCGCCGGCACTGGGGGAAGACTGGCGGCCAAAGCAGGCGCCGCCGCCAGTGCACCGGGAGTCGAAGATCCTCTTCCTCCCCCTGATGCAAGGTGCCCAGCCTTGACGTCGAAGTTGGAGTCGATCCATGCAATACCATCGGTAAAGATTGCCCCGAGCGGGAAGTACGGCGCCGCGGACTTCTCATCAAGCACGTACGACAGGTGCTCGGTATCGACGTTCCCGTTTCCACTGGTGACCAACTTGCGCTTGCCCAAGGAACCGGGTCCTTGCGACTCGTATTCGGCAAGAAAGACGTTGCGCGACAGACGAGTATCCCCCGAAGGCGACCAAGGGGCGAAGACGGTGGATTTGACCGCTGCGGGAAGGGGTCCCTTCATTGGTCATGAGTCTGTAGCTGCAGCCGGGCCTTAAATGCGATAGTCTATCGCTGCTTACCTGGTCCCAGGTAACAATTGAAGATCATCATGCGAGCCTTGTCATTCCACGGTCGAGCAACGGCCCTGAAGAGAGCAAACAAAAACAGTGGGGAGGGGGAGGGGAGGGGGTCAATGACGACTTTACCCGGCGATCGGCAAGCCTATTGAGGCTTCCGCAGAGCTATGGACAACCGACAAACATACACCGATCCGTCATAGATCTTATCAGAGGGGTTTTCAGCCTGACCCGATGTGTTGGTGATCGAGATCGCGGGCGGCAGGATGTGAGTCAGGATAAACACACTTTCGCTCGCAGGTCTTTTCACTTACCTTGTCAAAGCTGGACTCGAAAACGTAGCTGATAGGTTAAAGTAAAAGTAATAATGATGGAGTAAGTTCAAACTCGGTGCTGATCCGGTGTTTGCACTGATGAGGTACGTACAGGCCGCTCTTTGGGGACTCTCCGCCTCTCCATGCCGTAAATGCGGTCCCCTGACCTGCTAGCACGAGCTGGCTGCTCTTGACCATGACGACAGCCCAACCGTACATAAAGTCGACCTTGCCTGAGACGCGGCAACCGTAAAGGTACCCACGCGTATGGCCCGGGCCGAAGAACATGGTGTCTTGATGTCCTTCCATGACATTCGCATAAAAACTCGCCGAGGACAACATGACCGCGACGGCGAGGGCGATCCCCGACGGCGCCGTTTGGGACACTTTGACGTTGTACGACTTGAAGTCGGTGCACCGGTTCACCCACAAGGTAGCGGTCACCCAGTTATTATACCCATCTGACTTTTGTAGTGCACGATTGTGGGTGATTTCGACGGTGTTGCCTGCGTAGGAGCTGCGGGAAGTAGTGATTTGACCCTGAATTTGATGAATCGAGCGACCGACCGCGTCAGTGCCGAGGAAAGGGAGGAGACTGCCGGGGACCCAAACGCCGAACAACCCCCTACGCGAACTTCATCTTACAACTGACCAGGAGGGTGATCGATCCGAAGCCTTTAACAGGTTCAGGATAGGAGGAAAGGTTTGTTCGATCCGAGGGTTTGTTCGATCGTCAGCAAGATTCCATACTCTCCCCATAACAGGAGGTCAGAAGTTCCCCACGGGCCACGTACCATCAACGAAGAGTTGCTCCTGATACTGGCCAGCCGCGATCAAGATCGTGGCAGGGGTTTTAGCGGCTGTCGCTCTGAGGCTATCGAGGGCCTGTTGGATGGTCCTGAACTTGGCCCTGGGGTCTCTGGCAGAAACGTAGATGGTCCCATCGGGGCATTTCGAGAGATCTGGCGAGGTGGTGAACACCTGACATGCCTCGCGCTTAGCGGGGTCGAGCGCGGCGAATGCCGAAAGCGACGCGAGTTGCGAGACGAAGACCCAACAGAAGAGCCGCTGGATGCGTGTGGGGCGGTGGTGGACCTGGCGGTGGTGGACCTGCACCATCGTAATGGACACGATAAAGTGGAGAAGATAGTGGGAGAGTGATGAGAGTAAAAGATGGGAGACCGGTGAGAGCCACGACTCGATCGGTAACGTCCAGGCGAGGATTGGGAGGGACTGGGCACCTCAGTCGGTCGGTGTTTCTCCTTGAGGGACCCGTCCGGCGCTCCTTTCCTGAGCGTGGGCGGTGGATGCCGCCCAGATCGGTTTCAGCTGCGCATTGGCCAGCACGCACGCGGTGATCTTGCAACGGTACGAGTGTAGCTTCCACTCATGAATCGAAGAGTGGACACGGACTTTGGAGGCAGCAATCTGGGATCACCAGTTCGTCGTCGATCGGCGGGAATAAAAGCAATTCCTAGCTGTAAGGGGACGGCTTTATAAGCAGCCTCAGAGGAGCCAAGATTAGGGAACTGTAGTGTAGTTATGACTTGCATTTTGTCTGGCGGTCAAGAACGACAGATTGTAATTGTGCACAGCAGCGGCGCATATTTTACACTAACCGCTTCAACGCCCGAAATCAGCAGAGATCGGAGACGGTCCATGCACTCGTACATCCGCGACCTCCTCGAACTCAACATACTGTTTGAGAACGATGACGTGATCTCGCGCTCGTCTCGAGACCAGTGGCTCTGTTTTTGTAATTATCGCTGATGATCAAAATGCAGGCCAGGATAGTGGAGAGGAGTGGACAAAAAAGAGGAGCGTCGGCGCACAGCGCTCTGCAACAAACAACGTGGACGGAAGGATGTTTCTGAGGGTCCAGATAGATACATATGTCATGAATGAGACTAAAGGGAGACCGGATACACAGGGAGCCAGAAGCCGTCGGTGCGAGATCCGGTCCCACACCGGGTAAACTTGCCAGAGCCGTCGTTATGGCTCGTTCTCACAGTCTACAACTCTTCATCATTCCTTCAGTGCATGGAGTGGGCGTGACTCCGGTGGTGGGTCTTCCTTCTACCATGCGAACGGGAGCTCCCACGCCGCAATCCACTCCTTCCATTCGACAAGACATGGCCGCCCGCGTCACGTTGTGTTTGGGTTCCGGAAGTCGATTTTGCGATCGGGGACATATCCGGAACTTTTTGGGTCTGAGCAGCTGTGTGCTTGTAGTCAAAGTCGATGAACCCAGTGCCTCCAGTCGGGGCGAAGACCGCATTGATGTTGAACTGCTTGGCACTCTCTTCATCCAAGATGTACGAAAGATGGTTGGCGTCGACCCCGCCTTGACGTTGTACCACTTTGCGACCGCTCATAGATCCACCGGGGCCTTTGGAGTTGTACTCGGCTAAGAAGGTCTCACTGCTTAGTCGGAGATCGCTTTTCCGCCATGGGGTGAAACCGGTCGGGATGATCACTGCAACGGCGAAACGGCAGTGTCAATTCCCTGGAAGTCCAGGAGTGATCGGGCATCCATCTCGCTAGCTTGCTACCGGATGGGGAGAGCACTTCTTTATGACCCACCCCTAGATAACTCGCATGATAGGAACACTGTACGAGCGGTTTTGGTCCATGGGCGTGCTAGCGCTCTGTGCAAGAACTCACAGCGGTGGTGTCAGCCGGGGCGCTTCTCCTCAAGCAGGAGCGTGCAAATAGGACGCTACGGGACGCACACTTGACCGACTGGCGTGTATGAGCCTTTCTTGGCGTCGATGGACTATGGGAGCAGTAACCATGGGAGAAGACATTGATCAGCTTGGTTGAAGTGTGATCTGGGAAGAGAAGTGGCAGATGAACCCGAGAACTGACGCTTTCGATCCGCGAGTTGGAAATGTAGCTGAACCGGCAAAACGCTCGATCAAAATCAGTCGTACTGGTCGGAAACAAGGAGCTTATGGGACGAAACTCACGCCCCACTCGTCTTGGACAGGTCGCCGTTCCACGCCACGATGGCACCGAGCGCTCGACTGGCAAGTACGCTGCTTTCCACCCAAAGCACTCCCCAGCCGTACATATAGTCGACTGCGCCCCTGATGATGCACCCGTGGACATATACATTCGCGTGAGGACCGACAAAGAGCGTGTCCTGCCATGCTGCGATGATGCATCCGTAGAGGCCAACGTTGGACGAGAAGGCCGCGAAAGCCAATGCGATCCCTACAGTCTGCAATTGCTCTATGTCGACATTGTAGATCTTGACATCGGGGCTGTTGCTAATCTTGAGGGTGGCGGTCGCGTCGTTGTGGTAGCCATCGCTCTTAAGCAGTGCTCGTTTGCGCGCGATTCGCACCGAGTTGTTCAACACCCCCGAATCCGAAGCCTGGGCTGTGATTTGACCCTTTACAGCGGTCCATGGACAAACGTCAGCCAACAGAGTTCAAAATCAGCATCCAATACCGCGACCGCGGACATACGAGGACTATGACTGGTGCGGGATCTGCACATGAAAGAAAGGAGACAGTCACCCCCTCGTCCGTCAGCAGAGTGACCCCTGTCAAAAGCGGTGCCAAAGTATTGGGGTGGGAGTCTCACGGTCGACAAGGACACCCGTCAGGTAAAGACCCTTCCCAATCAACACCGTAACCGCTGTGTTAAGCTCCATTTTGGCGATGTAATCAAAAGCCTTCTGGATCGTGCGGAAGTGAGCTGAAGCGGCCGTTGGGGAAACGAAGATCGTCCCCTCTGGGCACTTGGCGAGGTCGGGTGCGTCGGGGAAAGTTTGGCAAGCCAGGCGTTCTTCCGTACTCATCGAGGCGAGGACCGGGAATGCGAGTTGCGATAAAAATATTAAGCATCTCAGCCAAGTGTAAATGTTGACCAGCACCATAATGTTGCAAGAAGAAGGAGGTAAAGGTAAAGGTTGGGGTGGGCGAAGAGATGCCGGGGCTAGGAGCCAGGAACTGACGTGCAGGTGGTAAGAGGAAGAAAGAAAAGGATGAAAATTCCACTGGATAATGATGCCGAGAGAGGCCAAGACTCGGATGAGATGACACCGGCTGGGGCTGTGACTCAACCCCCGCCTTTCGTTGAGGACAGGACGGGTCTGAGCGCCACCAGAGCTTGAGCTCCTTTGCGCCTGATGCTTGCTTCAGCCTCGCGTCCGTCGGTTCGTACGGAGCCTCCTGTTCGCTGCTCCTACACAGTGGTCGGCGATCAAAGAGCACAAAAACGACGGTGTATTTAAGTTCCTGGGCCAACTAATGACGTCGCGCTTGTAAACGATCGTGCGCGTAGCTCTTGAGCACAGACATTCGAGAAAAGGAGCCGTTTCGTCTGCCCAAGGTTTCGCGAGGGGAAGAGGAGGAAGAAATACTTTCGTACAGCCCGATCCGGCAATCAATCTGCCAGGTTATTCCACTCTTCTGTAGGCTTCACCTGTCATGCCTAGTGTCCGCCGCTGGGGAGCACGTAAGTCGATCTATGACTCACGCCGTTGATGTCGAGCTTCGGTTTCAGCTTGTCGCCGGCGCCGACACAGGATCCCGGCCTTTCACGGCCTTCCTCAGCTACCTCCAGCTTGCATAGCCGATCCGACGAAGGATCCGAGTGCATTTCTAATTAATCGTGAGGTAGTCTGAAAGATCGATGAGCGATCGCTGGGCCTGTCGCTACATAGTGATGCATTCGCGACTCGAAAGAAAGTGGCAGGTGCAGTGAGACAACGCAGATCAGCAGATGGCCGCTGGGCACGGCATGGGGCATGGGGCGACGCCCTCTGTGCATGCAGGCTGCGCTTGGCATACCGACACGGGTCGATCTGCAGCTGGGCGGGTCTCGAATTCATCGGGCAATTGCGCCAGTGCCGACAACAACGCTCTTCCGCAATAGGAGAAGGGAGAGATCATGGAGCTTAACTCTGGTCTGAAGGTAGTATGTAATGCAAGTCCGCACCGCAGTCCAGGGGCAAGCCCCTGAAATCCGGCCCAATGGAACACGTGGGCAAGCCGCCAGCGCGCACATGTTAAGAACAGAGTCCGTATCACTAAAATGCCGTCCGCTGCTAGGGATAGTAGTCCTTTGGGACAGATGAGTTGAAAGAAAAAGAGAGATTGCGCGGGCGTAATAAAGCGTCTGTGTGGTGACCCACCCATGACGTCAACGCTCGAGTCAGCCATGTTGGAGCTTTCCATGATAAATGACCTGGTCCGAGCGCGCGCCCAGGCCAACACGAGCCCTTTTGCCGCCCCTCCGCAACCTCTGAATCGCGACTGAACCCACACCCAACCCACACCTATCTGACCGCAACCGCCACCGCCACCGCCACCGCCACCGCCACCGCCACCACCATGTCCACACCAACAACAAAACCCCAGCCGACCTCCGAGGAGATCTCCGAACTCCTGCTGTGCGCCCGCTACGGCGACGAAGAGGACCTGGAAGAGATGCGAGCGTTCGTGGACAAGTACGGAGCTGAATGGCTCGCAGACGCCAAGGACGAAAGGGGGAATACGTGTTTGCATTTGAGTGGCGCGAATGGGCATGATCGTACGTTTTCCTTTTTGCGTCGGGTGAATTGGGAGGAAAAGTGTGCTACAATGCAGCTCTGGGCGCACGCTCTCGGCGAGCTGCTCTCAGCCAGGGCGTGAGCAACCCTCGTCCATCCCAGATCAAAGTCGTCCTCGTGTAGCTGATCCCTCTTCAGCATTTTGCAGGAATCATCACCTACCTACTACCCCTCCTACCCCCTACATCCCTGACCGCCTCGAACGAAGCGCTCTCAACCCCGCTGCACTGGATCTCGCTCAACTACCACCTCTCGACACTGCACCGACTCTGCCCCCATCTCCCGCGATCCGCCTACGATCTCAAGAACCTGAAAGGCAAGACCGCCGTTCAAGAAGCCGAAGAAGCGTGCGAGAGCTTCGTCGTGGAGGAGAAGGATCAGGATACACCTAGGGGGAAGGAGAGGGTCAGGAGGGAAAAAGTTGTGGGGTATCTGTTGGAGAAGATGGGGTTGGGGGTTGGGAAGAAGGGCGACGGTGAGAGCGGTCGGGGAGTAGATGGGGAGGAGGTGATCAAGGCTGGGAGTGCGGAGGGGAACGAGGAGGAGATTGAGAGATTGACCAAAGAGGCGGAGAGGATCGAATTGGAACAGAAGGAGAAGGCAGCGCAGGCTTGAGGGGGGATGAAGTGGGTGGTTGTAATGATTCCTCTACATCGCAAGATACAACGGAGAGCTCCGGCTTTTGGTTCTCGAAAGCGCTACGCCTTCTTTGCGAACAAAGAATCCTTCATTTACAGATGACAAACTTGCGATGCGACAAGAACGAACGGAAACCCACCAACGCCTCGACCATTCAAGCGACACTCTCCACCTGTTCAGCCCTATACAACCAATAGTTCGTCCGAATCGGGTCGAATTGGATCAACGAGCGAAAGAGCTATCCGGTCAAAACAAAACAACATCAATTTTCAATCCCACATCATCGCCAAACGCCAAAACTCACCGCCGCGCCCTCCCCCGCCTTCTCCTTGTCCTTGTTCTCCTTCGCTTCCTGAGCGGCAATATCAGCCAGGAACTCGATCGCCAACCAACTTGGTAGTTCGGCATCTTTTGATATTTTAGGCTCGTCTGTCGAGATTTCTCGTTGTCCTAGTGCGAGGGGTTGGACGAAGGTCCGCAGATCGGAGAGGGGTGTTGAGGTTCGTTTGAGGATGCTGGTGGAGGGCGGGGGTGAGAGTTCGTTAATTTTACGGATCTCGGAGTATAGGGAGGGAACGGGAACCGACCCTCTGAGATAATTCCAAGCCGAAGGGTTGTTGGGTGACAACGCCAACTTCTCCTTCACGTAGCTGCTCACCGACGAACCGAATTTCCGAAATGTGAGCAAATCTCGACTCAGGGAACTTCCCGACCAAATGGGGGAAAACCCACCTCAATTCCCTCCCCAGCACCTCCTCCTGCCGCCCACCCATCCCACTCTCAAATGCGACCCAAAACCGATGATTCCATGCCGAGTTGTTCCTCACATCCTTCTCCAAAAGCTCCTCCGTATACTTCAACTCGTCGTCCCAGACCTGCGCTAAAGAATCCTGATCTTGATGTGCAGTACTGGTAGGTGCGACATCCTTTTCGGTGTGAGAGGCGTTGGAGGGTGTGAAGAAGTGTAATAGTGCCCATTGTCGATAGGCCCAGGTATGGTAGTTCTTGGCGTCAAAGGCGAGCGCACGGGTCGTGAACGGGATCTCGCGTGAGGACGATTGCAAAGCGGTGACGATCGTACGACGGTGTTGCCTACACAACGGAAGGTGGTAAGTTCTCTATTATGCACTGTGCGTGTGGAAGGTACTGACCACACTTGGTACGACTTGAGGTGCTCCTTGATCAACTCGTCCATCAGATCGAGTTCCTTGGTCAGATCGGCCTTGATCGCGAACAAAGTCTGAGCTCGATAAGCCCTGCGCACACAGGACCGAAACAACCCTCATCTCCCGGATCAGTGACACCAACTACCACCTGGGCCGTACCCTCGCTCGACTCGGATACTCGGGGGACTGACCAAATCGAATAATGCCCCGGGTTCATCCTGATCAACGCCTCGGTCAATTCGACGCCTCGGGTACTCACTTCCCCTTTGTGGACCAAGGCACGAAAGGTGTCCATCGCATCTCGGTCTGCTCATCAACACGAACAGAAGCAATAGGCCGCCGCGTCTCAGCTTCAGCCTGCACTTGCGCAGGACGACTGCGAAGGCACCTCCTCTGCTGACGGGCGGGCGGTCCGGGTGTGATGCGTTGTTGTTCACTCACAAGGTTCCGCATACGCGATAGGCACCAAAGCGTTCGGAGCGTCCTTCTGCGGGATGGGTTCGAGGTCTGCCCATCCTGGTCGGGCGGCGTACGGGATGTAGGACGAGGACATGGTCGATGTACGCGAGCGGGCACAAGTGGGGGTCCGATGGTGGAGGAGGTAGTAGGGCTTACTACGGGCTAAGGGCTAAGGGATGGTGTTGCTGTGCTACTCAGAGTCGAGGATTCAAAGTGCCTGGTATGCGCAAGTCTTTGAATCGGCAGAACGGAAAGAAACGCGCACCAAAGTGCTCCAAAGTGGGGTGGGCTCGATCGGTCCTGGACAATGAAACAAAGGGGGAAAAGCGCGCCTCCCGCTCAGACAGAGCTCCCCATCTGAACATTCGCTTCTTGAACGGCATCTCCTAAAATATTCAACAACAAAATCTCCTAATAAAGAAACCTCCTCACCCGATCACATCCCTACACCACCTCTCCCACCTCTCGAGCACATCCCTGACCCATAAATCATACGCCCCCTTCCCGACTTCAAACATCTCGATATGCCTTTGACCACAATCCCCACATGGCGAAGAACCCGTGGTGCGTCCTTCTTTCTTGCCTTGATCCGAGCACAAGGCCATCATCTTTGCCCTTCCCGCCACTTCGATCAGAACCAACCTTTCCCACCGATGATGGTTTGGCGCCCCTCGTTCGGCGAAATGCATCGTCGCTCCGACGGGCCTCGATGTAGAGTTCGCTCGGGGCAATACGTCCCTTACGATCGGTCTTCGAGAAGGGCATTGGTTCTTCCATTGCGAGAGACGCGAGAGCGGTTTGACGGAGCGACCGATCTTGAGGTAGGTCGTGGACGTGGTGCTGGACGTCGGGGGGAATTCATGGACGTAGAGGTAGCTGTTCGCTCCGAAAAGGGATCACAAAGTCAAGATCGTTAGTGAGCGCACGATCGTACGATCATGTAAAATCCACCACGTACCCCTCCGAATCCATCCCCGAAACCGCATTCGACATCTCACTCCTCAATAACACTTTGGTCCTCTCGTCCAAATCACTCAAAATCCAATCCGCATACTCGACCCAATGTTCCCCGCCCCTCGTATTCGACAAAACAAAACACCCCGGTTCTGAAAGGGACGTTTTGAGATGTTGGTGGCAATAGGAAGCGAGATGGAGGCCGTGCAAGGGACCAGGGGAGGAGAGGTCGCCTGAGGTGGATTCGACCATGCGCGTGCAGCGCTTGTTCGAAGTCGTTGTCCCACTGCATTGGACCCGAGGTTTGCTGGACGAAGTAGACGTAGGAGTATGAGCCTTGGAAATGCCTGAACGCCGCTGAGCTGATGAAGGTGTCTTGGTCGGGGTCACGTTCTCCCTTCCCGGATTCGAAGTAGGCGAGACAATCTTCTGGGTCGGCGCCTCGATCGGTTTGTTGGGCAGTCGCTTGGGGTTGATGCCCGCTGAAGCTGGAGGTAAAGTCGTAGCCTCGATCCCAGCACTTTTAGGAAATGCACCCGGAAGCTGAGGTGTGATATTCCTACTGTGCTCATGATCAGCCGGACGGAAAGGTTGCATCGACCCAGGTCGACCCAGCCCAATCTCGGCTCCGGCTCCCCCTCGATCGGGAAGGCCAGCAGGTAGTTGAGGAGAGGGCGGCACGGTCTGACGAAATGGATCGGAGCCTCTAGGTGGTGAAGGCAAGGTCGCTTTAGGATCGAGCGGGATCGCTTGTGGGTACAGTGTCAAAGTGGGTCGAGGAGGTGCCGAGCCTGTGGGTGAAGGCGGAGGAAACACATTCCTCGGTGGTATCGGGGGAGGTTCGGTAGGGGCAGAAGATTGGTACGAGTGCTGAGAAGGCCTCGAGGGGAAATGGGATCCTGAGGCCGGATTTTGGACATGATCTCTCCAAGGTGCGGGGTGAATCTTTCCTGGAACAGCCTTCACGGACTGCTGAGGCAAACCCGAGGTCGAAGCCGAGATTGCCGGCATGCTCGAAGAGCTTGGAGGTCTCGGCAATGGTGGCCTATTCGACGTTCTTGGAGGTGTGGCGAGTGCCGGTGGCGGATGGTACGACCAACACATGTCCCTTTCCGAATCGAGTCGTACGGTGCTCATTTGTTGACACATCATGTTGCCGATCGCAGCGAGATCCGGTGTGTTTGCCGAAGCGACGGCGGCTGGGTACGCTCGAGTCTGCCATTGCGGAGGGCTGCTATTGCTCGAGGCTGAGGCGTAGTGGGACCATGGTCGGGATTCACCGAGGTTGCGTGGGCCAAAACCAGAGGTGTAAGGTCGGGAGGACGAGGACTCGGTGTTGGGTGCCCACACTGGACGTGACGAAGGCGGCGCATAGTAGGTAGCTGTTGTCGGGTTCGGGCTGGTGTTGGAGCAGGACGAGGAGGAGGGCGAAGAGGGTGACGGTGACAAGGCAGAGGTTGGAGAATCACGCTTCGAGTGATGGGTCTTGAACAAGTTCTTGAAAGCTCCCATTGCCGTGTGTTATGGCTGTGCGTGGTGACTCGTCAAACAGCAACGCGAGCTCGAACTCGGAAGTTGAGCGATCGCAATCCCCGGCCCGACTCGGAGCACAAAGTCGTCGCAATGGTTCGAGTACAGCTGCACGAATGTCCTGGTCGAATGAACCAGATCTGGAATAGGCTTCTGTGTTGTTGGAAAGCCGACTTTGGTGGTCGTCGTCGTCGAGTCGTGGAAGATCGCTCGAGTCGAATGAGCATCCCAACCGGAGACACAGCCTCGACGCGCCAGGTCACGGGACCTCGGTCGAACTGGCTCGAACTGGCTCGAAGCTCGAGGAGCTGCAGTGGCCAGGGCTTTCCTCGGAAAAGCTCTTTCCAACGTAGCACATCGCCTACCACTCCAAAGGTAATTCTCTAATTTAAAGATGTATGCAACACCATCGATCCCTACTCTCCTCTCAACAAATCACAAATCCCATCCAACCCCTTCGCAACTCCATCGACCTCACCCCCCTCCTTCCACCCTCTGACCCCCTCCTTACCCGCCTCAAAGTCCTCAATAGCCTGATTATCCTCCGTTTCCCTCGGTAGGTAGATCGTCCTCAACCCAAAACTCTTCGCCGCTCGGCAATCCTGAATATGCGCCGCGACCATCGCGACCTTCCCCGGCTCCAAGTCCAACTTTTTACATGCCCCCAAATACATCGCCGGGTTGGGCTTGTACGAATTCAACAAGTCGCCGGAGAAGATGAAATCCCAATCCAATTGAGCATGTTTGGCGACGTCGATCAAGAGACGGGCAGAACCGTTGGAGAGGGTGCCTTTGAGGATTCGACGGTCAGCGAAGGATCCGAGGGAAGTGAGACCGGGGGACGAGTCGCGCCATCCATCGAGGTTGTGCCAGAAGAGGTTGACGGTTCTTAAAGCGGTTTCATCCCATGCTTTTTTGATAGGGGCGTATTGCTCTTGCTTGAGGAGGTCGTCGAGTAGCTGTAGCAAAAGAAGCCAGGGGTAAGCCGAGGGGACCATCAGATGACGTCGTTTCGGTCCACAAGGAAATATGGGGCTCACCTCGCGGTGCAGTTGGTCGACATTCGTAGGGCCCGGAGCCCCACCGGCGATTTCCCGGCTGGCGGATGAGGTACAGTCTGTCAGTAATCATGATGTACCTCCCATATACTGTCATGAGAGGGCCGCCGCGAACTCACGTTCGGCGCATATAGCCAGCCCTCCACTGCTTGGTGAATTGCAGCAAGTCGATGGAGCCGAGCTCTGCCCAGGCATTGCTGCAGCACATTAGCGACCCCGACGCTCTCCGGTCGTTGTGAAAAAGAAGCTTCACATCGACTCACCTATCTCGTCCTGCTTGACGCGTTCTTGCAACTGTCGATGCACCGATCCTTGCCAATCGACGACCGTCCCAAACACGTCGAACAACAGCGCCTCGACGCCCAATAGAGGGGAAGTGCTCATACTCGCAAGGGCTAGTGGGATAGGCTTGATTGGATTGGTAGCACTATGCTTGACTCTTGAAGAAGAGTCTCGGGGCTAGCGTCGGGAAGAGTGCGGTGGTCGGAATTGAGGAGGAGTGTGGAACGATGAAGGGAAGCCTGAGCCCGGAGGCCGCAAGCTTCGGTTGTCGGTCAGTGCCGATGAGCGGTCGTGCCAGGGGAGCGTGCGCACGGCCCGGCCGCGCGGGGCGCCACAACTAGCGAAAAATGTCGAGTTCGCTTGCTGAGCGAGATGGCGTACACAATGCTGGAAATGACACTTCACATGTGGCATAGGGGAAGGAAAAATCTATAGCAATTGCTGCCAAGAGACCGCGTCATCTTGCTCGACGAGGTTTGTCTAACCCAGCTCAGTGCGCTTGGACCCAGCCCAGTGTACACACTCTTTCGGAGACGACATCGCTCACTCGATTGGCGCAGTGTATGAGGGTGGAACGCTACCAGAGGTTCGTGTGAATTGCATGGTGATCATGGTGTAAGACTAAGGATACAAGCGTGTTGAGGGCTGATTTTTTAAGGCTACAAAACCCGCAGTGTGAACGTGACGGGAGGGGGACCCAGGAGGACTCGGAAGCCGGGAGCGAGAAGAAGGAAGAGAGAAAAGACCACCGCAAGGCTGGAGTGGCGGGTTTACGAGCAGGGTTGGCCGTTAACCTGACAGGACTGGTCATCGAGGGTGAGGTCGTAACAGGTGTTGCCCTGGTCGGTCGGGACCGAGGCCTGGTTCGCGGCGCAGGTCTCGATCACGAACACGCTCGCGCCGTCGACGTCGGTGATCGAAGAGAGGATCGGGTCCGTCGCGTTGGCGGCGTAGCAGTTGCCCGCGACGGGATCGAATGCACCCATCGTCAGGTTTGAGGCGTAGATGGCTTCGGCGCAGTCGTACTGGTCCGCCGAGTCGGTGTTGAGCACGGAGAGCGAAGCGACCATCGAGTCGGGGTAGTACGACCAGGCCGTGTCGACGGCCGAAGCGGGAGCGGAGGTGTCGACGACGCAGGCGTTGCCCGAGAGGACCCAGCCGTTGTTGCAGTCGCTGACGGTGCCGTTGGCGGCGCAGCTGGCGGCGTTGGGGTCAAAGGTCGAGCAGGACGAGCAAGTACCGTTGTTGAGGAAGTCACCGTCGATGCAGGTTGTCGCACCGTTGAACAGGTCGCACGTAAGCGAGTCCTGGTAGGTCGAGGCGCAGTCTTGGCAGATTCCGTCTGAGGAGGCAGCAGCAGGTGGAAGTGAGGGTCAGTCAAGGGTGCGAGTTCGGAGATGGTGCGTCATCACACAGAGGGACTGACTGAAGTTTCGGAATTGCGATCCGGTGCACCTGGTGAGGAGGGTCGAGCAAGCGGACTTGTCGGCGGTCAGGGTGCACGACGAGGCCGTGAGGGTCACATCGCGGCAGCGAGCCTTGGCACTGGGAATGAGCGCGTTGTTGGTCTTGCACGAGCCGAGGACCATGACGGTCGAATCAGCGTCCCAGGTGAGCTTGGGCACAGCCGCGGTCGCGGACGACGAGGTGGAGAAGCACGTCAACGAGCTCGTGTCAAAGACGGCGACCTGCGAGCCCTTGCTGACGGCGCCGCGACCGCAGATGATCGGAGTCTGGACGTTCGAGTCGTACGAGACATCTGGGATCGACGACGCAAGGTAGTAGGACCAGGCCGAACCGAGCACGCAGGACTTCTTGTCGGCCGAGACGGTGTACGGTGCCGTGCAGGCGGTGACGACTGTGGCGCTGGAGCAAGTCGTGGCGAACGAGTTGACGGACGTGCAAGCAACGCAGTCATTTTGGCCCGAGTTGAGTTTCAGCTGTGGGTGAATCAGGCGAAGAAGCAAAACAAAAAATTCAGACACGATCGTCGTAGCGTGGTATCAGAAGCGCGTCGCCAGCCAGCCAGCCATAACTCACGTAGGCTCCCGAATTACAGGTCGCGATCTTGCCGGCGGTGCAAGTCGCGGCGAGGTTGTCGAATCGGTTGCAAGTGACGCAGGTGCGGGTGCTGGGAGCGTTGACGAACCCGGTGGGGCAGACGCTCGCGCACTTGCCGGCAGAGAGGAACCCGGTGTTGCTGCAAAGAGGTAGCAAAGCGGGCCGGGTCAGCCTTGGAGAGCGCGTGCCGGGAGCGGGCTCGCCGGCCACCAGAGAACAAACTCACCATTTGATAGCGGCGGAGGCAGAGCATGTTGCGGCTCCGGGAAATTTGGTCGTGCAGGCCGTGCAGACATTGTTGTTGTTGAATGTGCTTGCGGGGCAAGTCGTCACGCCTGAGAGGGAGAGATGGGTGGAAGGTTGCGAAGAGCGCAGAGCAAAAGTCAGCTCTCCGAGATATAGGGGGCCTGGTGCAACCACGCGGACGACGCGCTGGAGGCCGAGTTTTCAACAAACGTACAAGCTCCGTTGGAGAGGGAACCAGTTGTGCTGCAGTACAGACAGAAGGGGGAAGGGCGTATTCGTTAGTAAGCGGGGAAACTTGACAATGCCCAAGCTCCACCATCAGCTCTTCGGCCACCGCGGACGCACCATCGCAAGGCCGCCGTCGCCGTGCAGGTCGAGGCGCCGGGGAACTTCCACGAGCAAGGTTTGCAGACGTTGTTCTGGGGCAAGGGGTATTGGCCGGTACCACGGCATGTAGTGATCTTACGACGCTGGATACTCCTGCCTTGAGGGGTATGGATGGCGGCGGCGTCGGCGACCGAGGTCAAGGACACGACGGCGAGCACGGAGGCGACGGCGGAGGAGAGCATGAGCATGGTGGGTGGAAGCGAGGGGGCCGAGGAGGCAAGGAGGAACACGGGGACGGGGAGCAAGGTGGGGAAAGAGGAGTGGAGTTTGGAGTGACAAGAAAGAGGGAGAGAGGTGAGGCCGACAGGGCGGTCGCTTTAATACATGCCCCCGACGAGGGGGGCGACGACGACGACGACGACGACGATGACGACGACGGGGAGGGGCAGGCGAGCGAGCGAGCAAGCAGGGGCCGGCGGCCGAACTCGTTGGACCTACCGCACCTCGGCGTCGTTCCGACGTGGAGATCCGACGCGACTTGCCCGTTTCGATGCACCAAAATCCTCCCCGTCGCATCCAAAGCAGATTTAACTTCAAAAACGGATGCCAAGCCGGGGTACTGCACCAGATTTGTCCTCGACCTCGACCCGGTTCAGCTCCGGGTCCAAGTCGGGCGCACCACGGATCGACGCGACAGGGATGCTCCTGCTTGTAAGCGGAAGGATTTGACGACTTGGGACGAGCCACACTCTAGGCCAGCGTGTGGCCCTGCCGTCGGCCACGCGAAACGCACGCGGGCGCGCGGGCGCGAGCGTGGGTCCCTAATTCTGCTGTCATCCGGGCATCTCTTTGAGCCGTTCGCTGCCCAGTGCCTGACCGCGCGAAACTGGGCCGCGGGGGCCACGGAGTCACGGACGTCGGAGGGTCGATCCGACTCGAAATATAGTTGTCGGTGCCTGGAACGGGTTGAAACTTGACGGCACCCAAGGCACCTGCCGATCACGACTAGCCACCCCTCACCTCGGTGCAAAGACGATCGAAAAATAAGTGCAAGGTAGGCAGGGAGCGTACCGACCTACAGGCGATCCCTCCCGTTGCTAAAAATCGTGCAGCTCCCATTAAGAATGCCCCTAAAGGGGCTTTGCTGGATACCTGAGGAGCAGCGGATCTAGCGTTTGTTAGATGTTTTTGGACCAGATCAACCGCAATGTATGACTTGAAAGTTAAAACCGAAAAACTACAGCTGGCAGCGAAAGGATTTCCCCGCCCCTGGTGATTTCCACGAAGGCTACCGCAAATCCGCCGTCTACCTACCCACCTACTGAGTTATCGCCATACCTTACTTAACCAAACCGTAAAACTTCAGTCGGCCACATCGCCCGGTCCCGTCGACGTGATGCGGTGCGTGACATACCCAGGCAGGTGTCGGCTTCACTAGGCGGCATAAAGCACTGCAGTGGGCCTAGTACCTACACAATCCGCGAACGGGGAAGTACACCTTCAGGGGCACCCACGTTGTCCGAGTGTGCGGAGCATCTCAATTAAGAGCTCGTGTTTCCCGAACCGTGACTGTGAAGAGGACTTTCCGTCGGCGATCCCCATTCGACGAGTCGATACGCCTGCTTGCGGGCTCGCGCTGAGGACTCAGGAGGTTGCGCGCACTCACGGCGCCGAGGCCACGCGGAACGGGCTCGCCGCTCGGTTCAGCGTTCTTAACGTTCAGCGCTGAGCAACCCGTCCAGAGCAGTGGGAGGCGCTCCGCATTGAACTGCTCCCCGGCTTGCGACGTGTGCCCTCCTTGTATGAGGCAAATTGGTCCGCAGCCATACCGGAAATCGGAAAGCCAACTTCTTTTTTGTGTTCAGGCTCCAATAGTATTGCAAGAAATGCCATGAGCAACGGCATTGACCGCTGCATTGATTCCTGCAGCGCGAGAGGGACCGAGGAGAATTCGCGATCAAATTCCTCGAACTCTTTGACTCTTCAAGAGACGATGTCTAGATGCAGTAAGGTGCGTGCATCGGTCTACAGAGTTCTACTCCAACTTTTCGCCGCCTTCAGAGTACGGTCTTTACCCTTCATTTTAATGGTTGCATCCGCAAAATCCCACCCGGGACCGACTGCAGCACGGCAATGGGGATCGAAATTCGACATGGCACGATCACTTGGCGCGAGGGGGACGGAGGGCAGGGTCCGTCGAAAAGGGGCGAACGCGCACCACCAGCTTTAAAGCACTAAATACAGAGCACGACAAGCTTTGAAGCGCTAAAGCTAATCTTCCGGCAGCCAATATTTTTCCCGCTGCCCTTCCTCGGGCGCAAGCCACCAATGGGGGGGGGGGCACGGGCTTCGGCCGAAACTGCCCTTTGGGGCATGATTCGGGCGGTGAGCGCACGGCGATGATTACTCGATCGAACCTTAAACTTGAGCGAAGCCCCTGTGTAAACCATTTGGCATGAAAGCCCAGAATGTTTTTCGTTCAAACCCTAAAACCTCGGAGTGAGGAGTACAGGTTTCTCAGCCCTTCGTGTACCCGCATTGTCCAAGCAGTCGACAGCTCCCAATCCCAAACAGGGAGAGGAAGAGGTCGGATTTCCGGTACATTAGTTGGGATCAGATTCCGAGGTAGATAGTATATTCCGGCTCCGGGCGTTTTAAGGCTTGATCGCTCGAAAGTGCCTGAAACGTACAGAAGGTTTCTCTCTACGTCGCAAGATCGACCGGGCCGCCTCGACTCGGAGTGCCTGAAAAGGTGTGGGAGGTGGGTATCACCCCTCTTCGGATAATACCTACAACGCGATGACAAACATGTGGAGCTATATCAGTTGCGGCATAACTAGTTTGGGATCATTCCCGCGCTATCGAGGTACCCAGGTAGAAACCAACGCGCCCCTTGCTGCCGGGAATAGGTGTCCGCGCCAGTCAGTAGCAAGGGCGGCGTCACCCGGCGCACCATAGCAAAATTGGTGGCCATTCTTACGATGATCAAAAAGCTCAATAAACATCATGTACCCGTATTGCTCGTCGAAGTCTCCCTAAGTCAGCTTTGCCAAAACAAATGTTGGGTAAGGCTACCTCGGATTGCGTAAGGCATGAACTTGTCAGTTGGTTATGAACTCGTCGAAGATTTCATTATTTCAGGAAAACAGGGTTTCCAACACAAATGTTGGGTAAGGCTACATCGGATTGCTTAAAGGCTACAGTATCGCTTGGTGCGACCGAGAGCTGACGGAGATTGCAGATGAAAAGGTTAGAGAAATGTAGAACGCCATCAGGGGAACGTCAGAAGCAGGCAGCGCCGTAATCAACTATCATCAGTAACGATGTTGTAGCAGTTGGTGTCTGAAGCAGCTGAGGAATGATGCATAAAATGGAAGTGAGCGTCTGGCCCCAATGGGATTGCGCGGACTCCCAGAACTCACCCAGTGTCCGGTTGGTGGTTGCGCAGGGTGTGATCAGGTATACGCTCGCCCCGACCGAGTCCGTTTCCGAGCCGGTGAGCGTATGGGTGGCATTGTTGGCCCAACAAGTCTTGCCTGAGGCGTCGTAAGCCCCCAAGGTATAATTGGCAACAAGCACATCATCGGCACAAGCGAACTGATCGCTTGCGTTGCGGCTCACGACCGGAAGGCCTTGGACAGTCGAATTGAAGTAGAACGACCACACTGTTTCGGCATTCTGACCAGATGAGGACGTGTCAACGACGCAGGTATTGTTAGATAGGACCCATCCGGCGTTGCAGCCTCCGAGGTTTCCGTTGCTCGAGCATTCGGAAGCGTTCGGATCGAAAACGGCGCACGAGCTGCATGTTCCATTGACGAGGAATGTGCCGTCGATACAGGACGTCGCACCGTCGAACAGGTCGCAGGTCCTGGATTCACTGTAAGCCGTATCGCATTCTTGACATACCCCGTCTTGAATCGCAAAAGAAGAACATCAGGTTGATAATTTTTGTTAGAGAATGTGTGTGAGCATGGAAGCAGGTTGCCCGAAAAACTCACTGAAGTTGCGGAACTGGGACCCCAAGCAGGGAGTCGAAAGAGTGGAGCAAGAAGCTCTGCTCGCCAAGGTACACGACGTTGGGGTAAGAGTGACGTCGCGACAGCGCGCCCTCGCCGCGCGAGCGATGAGGTTGTTCGTTTTGCACGTGCCATAGACGAGAACCGTCGAGTCGGCATCCCAGATCAAGTTGGGAAGTAGCGAGGCGCCAGAAGTCGAAGTGGCAAAGCAAGTTAATGAGCTGGTATCAAACACGGCAACTTGTGACCCTTCCCCGACGGCGTTTCGTCCACAGATGGTGGGTGTTTGAACGTTAGACTCATAAGGGACATCGGGGATTGACGCAGCGAGGTAGTAGGACCAACTTGACCCGAGGACACAGGACCTCTTGTCGGACGATACCATGTACGGTGCAATGCATGCGGTGACCACGGTCGCGCTAGAGCAAGTGGAAGCAAAGTCGCTGACGGAGTTGCAGGGCACACATGAATTTTGTTTGGAATCGAGCTGCAAAGACAGGTATCGCTCGTGTGAATCTTCGGGAGCACGAGTTGCTCACCGAGCGCTCCTGATGGGGTGCGACTCACATATGCTCCCGAGTTGCAGGTCGCGATCTTGCCGGCGGTACAGGTCACGGCGAGCTTGTCGAATCGGTTACAAGTGACGCAGGTGCGGGTGCTGGGAGCGTTGACGAATCCGGCGGGGCAGACGCTCGAGCATTTGCCTCCAGAAAGGTATCCGATGGTGCTGCGCAGAAGTGCCGGCACATGTATAGGTCAGCTTGAGCCTCTTGGGGGACCGAATACCTTCCCAAGCATATTCACCACTTTGTAGCTGCATTCGCAACACAAGTTGCGGCCCCAGGGAATTTGCTTGAGCACGGCGAACAGGCTCCGTTGCCAATAAATGTACTGGCGGGGCACCTCGTCACGCCTGAGCAGGCCGGAGGAGCAGGTTGAATTAGTCACACTTGCGCATATACGAAGTGAGGAGGCAGCCATGGGATTCAGCATACGCACAAAGACCATTCGAGAGATATCCAGTCGCACTGTAAACGTCACACAAGCAGTTTCAACGGATGATTTTGAGCATCGTCGTAGCTCCGACCGCGGTATTCAAATTCCTGGCGTCGACCCACTCACCATCGCAGCGCGGCCGTAGCCGAACAGACCGAAGCGCCGGGAAACTTCCACGAGCAAGGCTTGCAGACGTTTTTTTGAGGTAGAGGGTATTGACCTGTACCATGGCAAGTCGTAACCCTTGCTGTTGCCCGACGTACTAAAGCCATTTTTCGTGGTACAATTGCAGCCGCTTCAACAGCAACGGTGAACGAAAGTAGGAGAAGCACCGCGGCGGCGGCGGCGGCGACGGTCACGGTATTGACGACGGCCCGCAGAGTCCGCATGATGAAGGCGTGGACAGTGGACCTGCGGAGCAGCGGAGCAGCGTCGACGAAAATTTTAAACCGACGCGTCCGAACTGAGGTGGTTGGACGATGAACAGTCAGAGACTCGAGATGGGGAGTCGTGATGCCGTGTGTTGGGAGGTGCAGTATCGCCGAGAGCGCCCTCAGCCCCTCCCCCCCGCACCTTAGTTAGCGAGGTGCAAGCGGGAGGGAGTCGCTACGGGTGAGACTTCGAGGACGACCGTGTCCGAGCGCACGAACTTCGGTCAAGTGAGGTGACGTGCTGCCCGAGTTGTAGTTGATGGACCTCGGACGGCATAGCAAGAGTACGACAAGAACCCTAGTCGTGCGCACCGCCGGCGAGGCGTTCTACGAAGAGCTTCGGCGATTTGGACCTCGAAGCTTGTTGGGTGATCTCAGGCGCTGATGTGCGCGAAGGGAAACACGGCGGCCGGCGGAGGAGCTGCCGAAGCGCGGCCTTGCCCCTCCCGCCAAGGATAGCCAAGGATGGGTTGGCCCTCCCTCATTGGCAAGGCGCGGAAGGGCGCAGGCCCCCCTCCGAGCGCGGGTTCGACCAGTCTGGGACGAGCGAAGAAAGCGCGAAGTCATGCAGGGAAGCATGATGCCCACGCGGCTTCGCACGCGCGGAAACGCTCGGCCAAAAAAGACCATCAATCCTCCTACTGGGCGGCCTGGCAGGCACTACTTTGAATGGGCCCGCCGGAATACTTATCTCGTTGACCAATGCGAGGTCAACTCGCGTGCCCCGTTGCGAGCTGTTTCGGCGGAGTTTGCAAGGTGCATTTACCTACTGAACCCAGTGAAGCGACGCTTTTGTGAGGCAGTGTGAGGTCACAATCAGGTTTCGTTTAACGCCTTGGCCTTTCATCACCCCCGGGTCTCCCTGCTGATCCCGACCCTTCTAGAAAGGGCGTGACTCTACCAGCTATCTAGGTAGTGCCGAAGGGACGCGCCGTAGGGCGTACCTATCACCTCTAACCCCTGTTGTGCCTACTCAGGCTCTATTCCTTCTGGGGCGAGAGAACCTTTTGTAGACCCGTGGCCCAGCACGGTGCTGGTGCATGCGCCCCTGCAAGTGATCGTGCCATGTCGAATTTCGATCCCCATTGCCGTGCTGCAGTCGGTCCCGGGTGGGATTTTGCGGATGCAACCATTAAAATGAAGGGTAAAGACCGTACTCTGAAGGCGGCGAAAAGTTGGAGTAGAACTCTGTAGACCGATGCACGCACCTTACTGCATCTAGACATCGTCTCTTGAAGAGTCAAAGAGTTCGAGGAATTTGATCGCGAATTCTCCTCGGTCCCTCTCGCGCTGCAGGAATCAATGCAGCGGTCAATGCCGTTGCTCATGGCATTTCTTGCAATACTATTGGAGCCTGAACACAAAAAAGAAGTTGGCTTTCCGATTTCCGGTATGGCTGCGGACCAATTTGCCTCATACAAGGAGGGCACACGTCGCAAGCCGGGGAGCAGTTCAATGCGGAGCGCCTCCCACTGCTCTGGACGGGTTGCTCAGCGCTGAACGTTAAGAACGCTGAACCGAGCGGCGAGCCCGTTCCGCGTGGCCTCGGCGCCGTGAGTGCGCGCAACCTCCTGAGTCCTCAGCGCGAGCCCGCAAGCAGGCGTATCGACTCGTCGAATGGGGATCGCCGACGGAAAGTCCTCTTCACAGTCACGGTTCGGGAAACACGAGCTCTTAATTGAGATGCTCCGCACACTCGGACAACGTGGGTGCCCCTGAAGGTGTACTTCCCCGTTCGCGGATTGTGTAGGTACTAGGCCCACTGCAGTGCTTTATGCCGCCTAGTGAAGCCGACACCTGCCTGGGTATGTCACGCACCGCATCACGTCGACGGGACCGGGCGATGTGGCCGACTGAAGTTTTACGGTTTGGTTAAGTAAGGTATGGCGATAACTCAGTAGGTGGGTAGGTAGACGGCGGATTTGCGGTAGCCTTCGTGGAAATCACCAGGGGCGGGGAAATCCTTTCGCTGCCAGCTGTAGTTTTTCGGTTTTAACTTTCAAGTCATACATTGCGGTTGATCTGGTCCAAAAACATCTAACAAACGCTAGATCCGCTGCTCCTCAGGTATCCAGCAAAGCCCCTTTAGGGGCATTCTTAATGGGAGCTGCACGATTTTTAGCAACGGGAGGGATCGCCTGTAGGTCGGTACGCTCCCTGCCTACCTTGCACTTATTTTTCGATCGTCTTTGCACCGAGGTGAGGGGTGGCTAGTCGTGATCGGCAGGTGCCTTGGGTGCCGTCAAGTTTCAACCCGTTCCAGGCACCGACAACTATATTTCGAGTCGGATCGACCCTCCGACGTCCGTGACTCCGTGGCCCCCGCGGCCCAGTTTCGCGCGGTCAGGCACTGGGCAGCGAACGGCTCAAAGAGATGCCCGGATGACAGCAGAATTAGGGACCCACGCTCGCGCCCGCGCGCCCGCGTGCGTTTCGCGTGGCCGACGGCAGGGCCACACGCTGGCCTAGAGTGTGGCTCGTCCCAAGTCGTCAAATCCTTCCGCTTACAAGCAGGAGCATCCCTGTCGCGTCGATCCGTGGTGCGCCCGACTTGGACCCGGAGCTGAACCGGGTCGAGGTCGAGGACAAATCTGGTGCAGTACCCCGGCTTGGCATCCGTTTTTGAAGTTAAATCTGCTTTGGATGCGACGGGGAGGATTTTGGTGCATCGAAACGGGCAAGTCGCGTCGGATCTCCACGTCGGAACGACGCCGAGGTGCGGTAGGTCCAACGAGTTCGGCCGCCGGCCCCTGCTTGCTCGCTCGCTCGCCTGCCCCTCCCCGTCGTCGTCATCGTCGTCGTCGTCGTCGTCGTCGCCCCCCTCGTCGGGGGCATGTATTAAAGCGACCGCCCTGTCGGCCTCACCTCTCTCCCTCTTTCTTGTCACTCCAAACTCCACTCCTCTTTCCCCACCTTGCTCCCCGTCCCCGTGTTCCTCCTTGCCTCCTCGGCCCCCTCGCTTCCACCCACCATGCTCATGCTCTCCTCCGCCGTCGCCTCCGTGCTCGCCGTCGTGTCCTTGACCTCGGTCGCCGACGCCGCCGCCATCCATACCCCTCAAGGCAGGAGTATCCAGCGTCGTAAGATCACTACATGCCGTGGTACCGGCCAATACCCCTTGCCCCAGAACAACGTCTGCAAACCTTGCTCGTGGAAGTTCCCCGGCGCCTCGACCTGCACGGCGACGGCGGCCTTGCGATGGTGCGTCCGCGGTGGCCGAAGAGCTGATGGTGGAGCTTGGGCATTGTCAAGTTTCCCCGCTTACTAACGAATACGCCCTTCCCCCTTCTGTCTGTACTGCAGCACAACTGGTTCCCTCTCCAACGGAGCTTGTACGTTTGTTGAAAACTCGGCCTCCAGCGCGTCGTCCGCGTGGTTGCACCAGGCCCCCTATATCTCGGAGAGCTGACTTTTGCTCTGCGCTCTTCGCAACCTTCCACCCATCTCTCCCTCTCAGGCGTGACGACTTGCCCCGCAAGCACATTCAACAACAACAATGTCTGCACGGCCTGCACGACCAAATTTCCCGGAGCCGCAACATGCTCTGCCTCCGCCGCTATCAAATGGTGAGTTTGTTCTCTGGTGGCCGGCGAGCCCGCTCCCGGCACGCGCTCTCCAAGGCTGACCCGGCCCGCTTTGCTACCTCTTTGCAGCAACACCGGGTTCCTCTCTGCCGGCAAGTGCGCGAGCGTCTGCCCCACCGGGTTCGTCAACGCTCCCAGCACCCGCACCTGCGTCACTTGCAACCGATTCGACAACCTCGCCGCGACTTGCACCGCCGGCAAGATCGCGACCTGTAATTCGGGAGCCTACGTGAGTTATGGCTGGCTGGCTGGCGACGCGCTTCTGATACCACGCTACGACGATCGTGTCTGAATTTTTTGTTTTGCTTCTTCGCCTGATTCACCCACAGCTGAAACTCAACTCGGGCCAAAATGACTGCGTTGCTTGCACGTCCGTCAACTCGTTCGCCACGACTTGCTCCAGCGCCACAGTCGTCACCGCCTGCACGGCACCGTACACCGTCTCGGCCGACAAGAAGTCCTGCGTGCTCGGTTCGGCCTGGTCCTACTACCTTGCGTCGTCGATCCCAGATGTCTCGTACGACTCGAACGTCCAGACTCCGATCATCTGCGGTCGCGGCGCCGTCAGCAAGGGCTCGCAGGTCGCCGTCTTTGACACGAGCTCGTTGACGTGCTTCTCCACCTCGTCGTCCGCGACCGCGGCTGTGCCCAAGCTCACCTGGGACGCTGATTCGACCGTCATGGTCCTCGGCTCGTGCAAGACCAACAACGCGCTCATTCCCAGTGCCAAGGCTCGCTGCCGCGATGTGACCCTCACGGCCTCGTCGTGCACCCTGACCGCCGACAAGTCCGCTTGCTCGACCCTCCTCACCAGGTGCACCGGATCGCAATTCCGAAACTTCAGTCAGTCCCTCTGTGTGATGACGCACCATCTCCGAACTCGCACCCTTGACTGACCCTCACTTCCACCTGCTGCTGCCTCCTCAGACGGAATCTGCCAAGACTGCGCCTCGACCTACCAGGACTCGCTTACGTGCGACCTGTTCAACGGTGCGACAACCTGCATCGACGGTGACTTCCTCAACAACGGTACTTGCTCGTCCTGCTCGACCTTTGACCCCAACGCCGCCAGCTGCGCCGCCAACGGCACCGTCAGCGACTGCAACAACGGCTGGGTCCTCTCGGGCAACGCCTGCGTCGTCGACACCTCCGCTCCCGCTTCGGCCGTCGACACGGCCTGGTCGTACTACCCCGACTCGATGGTCGCTTCGCTCTCCGTGCTCAACACCGACTCGGCGGACCAGTACGACTGCGCCGAAGCCATCTACGCCTCAAACCTGACGATGGGTGCATTCGATCCCGTCGCGGGCAACTGCTACGCCGCCAACGCGACGGACCCGATCCTCTCTTCGATCACCGACGTCGACGGCGCGAGCGTGTTCGTGATCGAGACCTGCGCCGCGAACCAGGCCTCGGTCCCGACCGACCAGGGCAACACCTGTTACGACCTCACCCTCGATGACCAGTCCTGTCAGGTTAACGGCCAATCCTGCTCGTAAACCCGCCACTCCAGCCTTGCGGTGGTCTTTTCTCTCTTCCTTCTTCTCGCTCCCGGCTTCCGAGTCCTCCTGGGTCCCCCTCCCGTCACGTTCACACTGCGGGTTTTGTAGCCTTAAAAAATCAGCCCTCAACACGCTTGTATCCTTAGTCTTACACCATGATCACCGTGCAATTCACACGAACCTCTGGTAGCGTTCCACCCTCATACACTGCGCCAATCGAGTGAGCACCTGAGACGCGGAGAATGTTGAGCGTGTGAGCAACAGAAGAACGCGACTGAAGCCCACTGTGCGGCCTTTGACGAGAAACTGTGAACTTGATCCCGTCTCTCCAGTAACCGCACCATGGTGGGAACACAGAAAATTGGATTGCAGACGTCACTCGATCGCCGATCGCCGATCGCCTCGAAAGAGGGGACCGTGCGCGCGAAAACTGCTCCACAGAGACAGATCGCAGGCCGGGGCTCGACTCTCACTGCTACTCCTCATGCTGCGGCGCCTCAGGCTCGACGGTGCCGCCGATCACCGCCTGGTACTGTCAAAATGCTTCATATACGTCGCCTCAGGATCCTCGAATATCTTTCATTCCTGCTCATCATCCTCTCGACGCTTCCAACACCCAATCTTGCATGGCCGCGCAGGTTGTCATTGGATCGCAACGCTGCCACGACTGTCCCAAGGCCAGCCTCGCGCGTTGAGCCGCTTGAGGCCTTCGGACTGCCTTCATCCAGATCCAAATCCGGTCCTCCACCCAACCCGACAGCGGATGTCGAGCGATGGAACGAAGAGATTCGTGGTGGGTGGTACGCCTCTCTATTGGGGATTAGCTCAGGCATGCTCATCGTCAACCTACTCGCCGGTCTCACGCGCTAGCGGCCTTGTTGCGGAGACTCTCCTATTTCAAAGAAGCTTCTGGCGCCCCACATTCCTCCCCGCGTGAACTTCGAAAGGAGGCCCAGGATTATAGTGAAGCAACATACCGCTTTGAACAGCAAGGTTAGCTCATTATAGAGAGCTCATTATATATGAGTCTAGATGCTATCTACCTCAGGCTGCGTAAATGACCGCAGTCTGAGCTTGCTCCAGCAGACGAATCGGCCCTGCTCAGTCGCGGTCGATCATGTTTTTCGCAAAGTCTGCCGTCAGGCGCATCGTCCTGCCAGAGTATAGCAGGATCTTCACCCCATTCAAATGAGCTGAGAGTCAAGACGGCGATCAAGATGGCACTTTGCGAAATCAGGACGTCACGGTCAACTCGGGGCCCAAAGGAGTGTCAACCGTTTGAGGCTGGCGCCGATGAATCGAACGCAGGCGAAGAGCCTGATCCGAGTAGCTGCGTTGAGCAAGTCTCTTTTCTGTTCATAGCCTTCGAGATACTAATCTATAATGGCGCCCACAGAGCCCTATCGCGCAGTCCACAATACTGGAGCTCCTATTCTGGGTATCTACGAGAGATCGGTCGGTGCTGCTCCATAGTGACACGTCGGTTGCCCTGCTGAAGGCGACGCCATTTACCTATAGTAATCTTGTGTTCGGCGTATCGCCGCTGGGAGGATTCAGGTCAGTCCGAAAGACACGCTATGTAAGTCGGAATGGAGATCTTACGTCTCCGTTAGTGCAGAAACGGCCCGAGAATTCCACCAGTCTACCGCGACGCGGCTAGCAGATTTTGTCCAGCAGCTTCAGGATCTCGAGCTCGTCAAGAAGGAAGCGATGGCCACGGAGTCCGAGCAACGAGCCAGAGCCTTTCAAGTCCGTCGGCGCTTTGCAAGACAAGCTTGAGTTCTGAATGAACCAGCCTGAAACTGAATGCCGTTCTTCGTATTGCAGGATATCTCCCATCACATCACTTCGAGACTGGAACCTTTGTTCGCAGCTTTCCGGACCAACGGTGCTGCACAACTCGACTCATTTGCGCTGCTTCGGTCGGAGCTGTTGCACTCGATCCAATCCATTGAACCGCTCGTGTCTCGCTCTCTTGAAGTGACACTACAAGATGTGTCGCATATGCTCAAGGATGTCACGCTGGAACACCGGAACCAGCTCGAGAAGGTCTCCCAGAATACGGTAGCGCGGGTAAGAAAATATACTGGGGCCAACTGTCGAAAGTACAAATAAGCACAGATCCAACGCTACCGTACTCCTGACAGACAACCCAGGAGCTCGATCGATCACTGCTGGCGGTACATGATGCGATTGAGACGTCAATTGCGGCTCTCAACCAGTCGTCTAGCCAAGTTGTCAAAGAGATGGTGGGTCTTTACGCAGCCGTGAAAGCTGGAGAGCACGTTGCTGATGCGATCTTACCAGCTTGCAATGTCTTCCACTGTCGCTTCCAGTGGACGGTTCATTCGGCGTATGGAGAGAGTGAGCGATACTGTTTGCGAAGATAAATATCTCGTCTTCATTGATGATGACGTCATTGCACAGACCATTCTTGGCCTTTCAGATGCTGCGGAACAGCTTAGCTCCTCGCTTTCGACGTCGCTCGAATTGGCCTCGAGGTCGCAGGTCTGTAAAACACGCCGCAAAGAGACGCAGGCTGATTACACAGGGCTAATTAAGGTACAATATTATTCTAGGAATTACAAGCAAGCAACCTCGAAGGGCTACAAAGAGACGTATCCGTGCTGTCCGAGGCCGTAACAAACCTGACGCTACGGACGCGACCCAAGCTGCTCTCGAAGAATCTCGGATGGCTGGTAGCTCTGGCCAATCGGCTACGCTTCGATCCGGAGGATTTCGTCATCGCCACCATGAGTGGTCAGTACCTCTTCGCCGATCCGATGTATGCTGGAAAGACCACTGCTGACGCCGCTACATGTTTCGGACCCTCGCTTGCCCAAAGCGCTGCTTCGTCTTCTGGGCGTGTGGAAGACTGGGATCGCCGTGATGACAATGGCCTGCATTATTGGCATCGCACAAGGTGATTGGCTTCCGACTTCGGTGAGTGGTGTTTTTCCTTTTTATCCAATTCATCTACCTTCGAGCTGAGATAAAGGTTCACGCAGCTGCTCATGCGAGTGGTTGGATCGATTGCTGGCGCTGGTGCATTGGTGCGGATGATCGGCATCTCGGTCGCCCGGATCAGGAAGAGAAGGGCGGCGGCGTTTCAAGACTCCCAGTGAGTCTTTATCTCTTTAAAGCTGTGCTTTCCTAGTATTGGCGCTGAAGGGACATTCATTGGAGCTAGACGCCCACTCGCCAGCGGCGGAAGTCCGACAAGCTTGCCGATGTCCGAACTGGCGCTCGAAGCAAGTCGATTCGCACTTTCCAATCCACCGTCCCATCTTCGCGCGGGAATTGGATCCTTTACTCGACCGAGGCGTATGCGATGCATTGAGTCAAATAAAGCCGCAAGAGGATGGCCAGCTTTCGTACCGGCCGAATCGTACGGGACGTGGGCGGCGAGTGGTCCGAATTGGCACCACCGCCGCGGCGGCGAGTTCAGACAGTCGGAGCTGGACGCCGAGCCACTCGATGAAGCTTGTGATGGGGCATGTGTTTGACAGTCACAGTCGATTCCTATGTAGCTTAAAGATCGAGGCATAACGAAACGTACAGGATGTCAACGAAGCCGCATAGCAATGATCCGCGCTTCATGAGAGACGCGGCCGAGGCCATCGGGACGGCTGCCGTGATCTACGCGCCACGCGTATGGCGAAGCCGAGCGCTGAGCGTCCAGACGCGTCTTCAATTTGCGCGCTGTGGACGCGTTGCTCCCCTTGCGCGGGCGTTCTCTGCGCCTTCTCCTTCTTCCACCCCATCAACCTTCTTCACCCACCCACCCACAATCAAGATGGCCGACACGCCATACAACTTTGAGTTGCAGGATGATCAACTCGCTGCTCGAGTACGCATGTGAGTCCTCGACCGCTTTGCTAGGAAGCGCCGGGGGGATCAGGGGCGCCGAGGGAGGTGTCACAGGACGCGTCGTGGCCCCGCTCCGGCTGTGCGCTTCGCCCGATTCCGATGCACAACTGCTGACATATGCGTTGGTCGATATGTACAGCTTCATCGACTTCCTAGATCTCGATCGAAACGATCCTCTGGCACGGGTAGGGCATACATATCACATGCTGTTTGAGGCTGCTCCTCTGCGGCCTCAGTCGGTTCGCGACGCGTTCAAAGCACGGTAGCTCACCCACTCTACTCGCTCATCATGCAGAAAATGACGATCGACTACCGACAAGCGATCATCAAGATGACGCAAAAGAAGGAGAGAAGGCTGATTGTTAACTTGGACGATTTGCGGGACTACGATCGGGATTTCTGCAACGGGTGGGTCTTTCTGGCTAGAGCTGCCCTCGGTGGAATTGGGCTGACACTCGAACCGTCGCTCCCAACAGCCTGCTTAACGAACCGGCAGCTTGGCAACCAGCGGCTGACCAAGCACTGAAGGACTGCGCGATCAACGCCGGCAGCGCATCACTGAGAAGCGAGACCTTCTACGTCGGCTTCAGCGGCTCTTTCGGTGACAACCATGCGACGCCTAGGACGCTCCGCGCCGACAAGCTCGGGCGGATGGTCTGCCTCGAAGGCATCGTCACTCGATGTGAGTTGGTCAATACTAGACCAGAACCGTCGTGACTCTAAAGACTGACTCGGCGTGCACGCAACCTTCTCCGAATTCCAATAGGCAACCTCGTTAGGCCCAAGATGCAACAGTCGGTGCACTTTTGCCCAGAGACTAAGGTGTTCCACTCCCGAGTCTACGTCGATCGACTTTCAGCAGCGGCTGCCGTCGGGGCCCCCATTTCAGCCACGACGTACCCGTCTTCGGACAGCGCAGGCAACGCGCTCGAGATCGAGCACGGCTTGTCGTCCTTCATGGACCAGCAGATGATCATGGTCCAAGAGATGCCAGAACGGGCACCCGCCGGTCAATTGCCCCGAAGTGTCGAGATCGTGCTCGAGGACGACCTCGTCGATCGATGCAAGCCCGGAGATCGACTTCAGATTGTCGGCACCTACCGCAGTCTGGGAGGTGGAGCTCAAGGTAGTGCGACGTTCAAGACGCTCATCATCGCGAACCATCTCGTATTGCTCTCGGCCAAGGCTGGCGCCGGCGCGGGTATCGCGCAAACGATCATCACCGACACGGACGTGCGCAACATCAACAAAATCAGTCAAAAGAAGAACGTCTTTGACCTCCTGTCGCAGTCGTTGGCCCCCTCGATCTATGGCTCAGACTACATCAAGAAGGCGATCCTCCTCTTGTTGCTCGGTGGGATGGAGAAGAACTTGGTCAACGGGACCCACATCCGTGGTGACATCAACATCCTGATGGTCGGTGATCCTTCGACGGCCAAGTCGCAGATGCTTCGCTTCGTGCTCAATACCGCTCCTCTCGCGATCGCAACAACGGGTCGTGGTTCGTCCGGTGTCGGTTTGACCGCGGCCGTGACGACCGACAAGGAAACAGGTGAACGCCGCCTCGAGGCCGGTGCGATGGTTTTGGCCGATCGCGGTGTGGTCTGCATCGACGAGTTCGACAAAATGTCCGAAGTCGATCGAGTCGCCATCCACGAAGTCATGGAACAGCAAACCGTCACGATCGCTAAAGCAGGTATTCACACCTCGCTTAACGCGCGTTGCTCCGTCGTCGCTGCGGCGAACCCCATCTACGGCCAATATGACGTGCACAAGGACCCCCACAGGAACATCGCGTTACCCGATTCGTTGCTCTCGCGTTTCGATTTGCTCTTCGTCGTTACCGACGACGTCGACGAACAACGCGATCGATTGATCTCGGAGCACGTCTTGCGCATGCACCAGTACATACAACCCGGTTTGGAGGAAGGTGCGCCCGCACTCGACTCGCTCGAACAAAACCTCAGCGTCGGGGCCGGTGCATCGACCAACACTGAGCACGTTCAGGACACGCCCGTCTTCGAGAAGTTCAATCGCTTGTTGCACGGCGGTGTGACGACGACGACGGGCAAGGGGTCCAAAAAGCGCAAGGAGGTGCTGACAATGGCATTCGTCAAGAAGTACATCCAGCACGCCAAGAACAACATCCGACCGACGTTGACCAAGGGAGCGCAAGACTGGATCGTGCGCGTCTACACCGACTTGAGGAACGATGATCTCGCGTCGAACCAGAAGCGGACTTCGCCCTTGACCGCGCGTACGCTAGAGACACTCATTCGTCTCTCGACCGCCCATGCCAAGGCGAGGTTGTCGGCCACGGTCGACCAGACCGATGCGATTGCCGCTGAGGAGATCCTGCGCTTCGCCCTGTTCAAGGAAGTCGTCAAGCCGCAGTCCAAGTCGAAGCGACGAAAGTTGGTCAACCGTGGTTCAGGCGACGAGGACTCATCTTCCGGAGAGGAGGAGGACGAAGAGGAGGAAGAAGAGGGTGAGGGTGCTGATCAGCAGAGGATGGAAATGCCTCGACGAGGGACACCGGCGAGGCGACAACCTGGGAGAAAAGCGTCGACCGCACCGGCGACTTCACCGAGAGCGACATCGGTCTCGGCCCCCGATTACGACGACACCCAAATGGACGACGATGACGAAGACACCCAAACGCAATCGTTGTCCCAAACTGGTCCATCTGCCGAAGCCGCGCCCCCGGTTGTCGAAGACGATGGTCGAGACGCCGCGCGAGCCAAGTTGTTCCGAACTCGATTCGCCGCCACGCGTAAGCAACACTACAATGGCGTCGACGAGGTCGTACTTGCGACCTTCTTGCAAACGCTCAACCAGGGTCTTACGACCGACGAGGTCTTCTCGTCCGGCGAGGCCCACACGATCATGGCCGAGATGGCGAACGCTGCCAACGCGCCCCTCATGGTCGATGGTGGTGTCATCTTCTTCATTTGAGCAATCTAGTAGGAGTTATGTGCACGGTTCTCTTCCCCCCCCCCCCCCCCCCCCCCCCCCCCCTTTTGTAGCAGCTAGTTCGGGTGTCACTTGTTTTCAATGTTGTGTACAGTGTGTTCTTATGGAATTATGAATCGGGGCCTCACAGCTTTCCTTCGTGGGATGAGTACGCGACATATGTTCCCTTGCACAAAACACAAAACCAATGAGATTAGCATCCGATCTGGTGTTCAACATGTGGCTCTCGTTGTGGTTGCTTAAGTTACCGCGGCGCGGTGAAAGCTACCGAAGTATCACAGCAGTGGAGGTCTAAACACGAATGTTTGCATAAGGTTTCTTCAAACGAAATGCGAAGGTACGGAAAGGACTGAATACAACATGACGACTTAAATCACTAAACAACAAGGCACTGATGCACAACGAATCCCCACTGTTCCAACCCTATCTTATCGAACAAAACCTGAGCTCCTAGTGGGAGACCTCGCTTCCTCCTCTATCCACTTCGCCAAACGAGGACTGCGATCCCCCGTCGATCTAGCCGCGCATTGACGAGAGAGGCCATCCAACTTCTCACGGGTCGAGAACGAACGCATGTAGTCCGACGTTGGTGACAAGAGGGAGGCCCAGAACTTGCGTTGACGCTCGGGCTCGGAAAGTGGCTTGCACGACGTGCTCAAGTCGGTGAGGCTGCACTCGCTCATATCTTGGTCAATGGTGAAGGCCGAGTCCGAGAGGCAGGGTGAAGAGAAACACGAGACATCGCCACTTGAGATGGAAGAGGTCTCGTCGTCCGATGAGGAAGCGTACGAGGTGAAGCGTGAAAAATCTGGTAGCGCTGGGTTGGGAGCGAGGAAGTGGCGTTGAAGCGGCTTGCCACCACTGCATGGAACTCCGAACCAACTCGAGGTGTCATCTTTCGGCGTCTTGTTCATAAATTCATCGCCGTTGCCAAAGAAGAGACCATGTTCCTCCGCGATGTAGATCTGAGGTTGGACAGGGTCCTCGCCGACCTCCTCGGCGCAGAGTGACTCGGCTCTGAAAAAATCGTGTCGCGAAAAGGCCGAAGTGTTGGGCATGACAGGACTCCGTGTCATCGGGCTTGATCGAGGTGAAGCTGACATTGATGAGGAAAGGGGAGTCGACGAGCCGCTTCGAGACATGGACGGCGAGGAGCGTCGTGACCGGGAGGGTTGCTGAGGCGGGCGCCGCACGGTGCTCGGTCGCCACGCTTCGGCCAGTCCAATTTGCGTAGAGAGGTCGGGCGAGGTCACGATGGTGGAGCAGGTGTACTGGAACAGAGGTACGCGAGGGGGTATATCGTCTTCAGAGAGTGTTTCGCCTTCATCCGAGTGGCAGGTCGTTCGTCTCCGCTTCTTGGACTCGAGCAGTTGTGGGGGTGAGCGCAGGCGCGACTCGTCGAGGTCACGTGGTGGGGAAGTGCAGGGCCAAGACATGGCGCTGGCGGTGAAGACATTGGAGGACGACATGATGATGATGCAGTGGGCACTTGATGTAGTATGCCTCTGAGCTGTGGAGCTTGAGCAACGGGATGGGATGAGATTAAAAGGGAACGCTCAGCCTGAGACTTGGTGGGTGCCACTGCCGAGCCGTATGTTTGCGGTCGGCCGATCGTTGTGAGCGAGCACAAAGGAAGGCCGTTCGTTCAGGAGGTGCGAGCGCGCACCCGTCGGCGCGCCACTCGTGACTTAACTCGCGAGCCTCCCCCTCCGCCGAACAAGGTCACTGCGCCGGCAAGGTTGCGCACGACCCATTTTTCACTTTCGAGGATAAGGCAACAAGAATTTTAGCCAGATATACGCGATCCCACTTCATGCGCAATTTCGCTCTCTAGCTTTAAGTGGGTAAAGCCACTCCGGTCCCCAGCCTAGTGATCGGGACGGCAGCGGCCGTTGCTCGACAACTCGCCGGCATGGAAAATACACACGACCCGCTAGTTGTTAGATTCTTGGCTTCAGTTCTGCTGAACAAAAATAATCACAAGGCCCATTTCGAAAACACTCACCGAAGTTGGAGTATCGGCCGGAATGCCCACAGGAGATATAGGAGATATAATTACCTCCTTTTCCTTTCCATGGCCTTTGTTCCCCCCGTTCGATAGGGTTTTGCCTTGTCTGGTGCCAGTCCTCACTGAGCCAATCGTCGATTCTTCAAATCCCGGTCTTTTTAAAACTCTCGCTAGTCAAATCCAATAACCTCAGGCAAGCTACCAGTCCTCTAGGCAATAGACAATGAGAGGGGATTTGCAGCGCGCCACGGTGACGAGGCCCGTGTGCTCTCTGTTCCTTTCCCTTTTTCCACGCGTCGGCGAGCGTCGGAGGCAGTGGCGATCCATGCTCTGAAAGGGCAATCGCACACGGCAACTTTAATGATTTTGGGATTGCTGATGTTTTCAAGCATTGAAAGCCCCGCACCAATTCATTATCTCACGCCCTCCTCAGTTGTTCAAAAAGCTTGGCATGATGGGCGGTCGGTCCCGACAAAGGAAAGGGAAGATCGATCGATCGGCCGGCGTTTTGAAGTCACGCGTCATCTCGAAGTGATGAAGACGTTCTTCCTTTCATTGAGCCCAATGTTCTTCGACCCAGGATATTTTGTCATTTTCTTTCGTTTAGTGCGCCACGCTTTCCCCCGTTTAATTTACGGATGCAAACTTGTGACAGGGCCCGCCTGAGGGCGCTACGCGGTGAGAGGCACGACGAGGACTTCGAAGGTCACCCAGTGCTTCAACCCGCGACGGGTACCCTGGCTCGACCTGAGCGGCTCGTAAGATCGCTGATTATAAATTGCACCATTACAAGACACTAGGTACGAATGTCTCACCCGCGTCCTCCTTCCTCGCCAACTCCTTCCTCGCCTGGGAGATTACATCCTCCTCACTGGAGCCAGTTGGCCCGCTCTCCCGTCGGGTCAATTCCTCAATCCATGAGGTGAAAGCCTTATTGGTGCCGTAGATCTTATCCAAGATGCCTGGAAAGGGTACAGAGCGGGGAAAGGCAAACCCACGGATGTCAACAAGGACCCGACCGTGCGCGTTGGTGTGAGCTCTAGAGTCGAGAGACAGACAGGGAGCTGACTCGTAATCCCGAGCACAGTAATCCCGAGCACGGTCCCCATCACCTCGACCGTTGACGAGGCGATCTGAGACAAGGTCACAGTGCGTCCCAACGTCTGATCACACAATGCTCGTGCGGAATGACCGACAGACGTGCAAAGTCCTCTTCAAAGAACTTACCAGTGGGCCCAAAATTTTCGGTATAAGCATAGTGATGCCAATCGTGTTGGAGCGCGCTGAAGCCGCCGACAAAGTTGTAGCCCGAGTGGGTGTTGAGCGTGCCGAGCTCGAGCGAGCAGAAGAACATGATCATCAAGGACCAGTGCGCGCCGAGAATCATGATCCCCAGGACGATGGGGAGGAGGTTGCTGAAGAGGTGTTCAGGGAGGGTGCAGCAGGTCGAGGAGAGCGCGACGGGGGCGGTGAATTCTGCGAGGCGGAGGATAGGAGCGCATGCAAGTTCGAGCTCAGCAACCTGTTCCGCGATACGACACCGAGTCTTGACCCATCGATCTGATTGACTCACGATGATGCAACTTGTGAACATGCTTGTACAACTTGGGGTGATGGAACAAGCGATGAACGTAGAAAAACCCGGCCTCCATGCAAAGCGTGCAAAATATGTACGTGTAGAAGGTCTCGAACGCCCCCGGTAAAGGCGCGGTCGTCGAAAGACGTCGATACGTCGCCATAGCCCACGTCATAGGCAAGGCAACGACCATTTGATTCCTCAAGACGATCCAGCATACCTTCTTGTAGTCGGCCACCGAGACGCGCTTGTCCGGTTGAAGCTTGTAAGGTTTCAATACGTTGTGTAGAGGGTCGTACAGATCAAACGCCATGAAGATCAAGCCCCCGATCCAATACACGACGCTGGTGATGATGAAGGTACCCCACAGGTTGATAGTGTAGGGTGAGAAGGAACGGTTCAGGGCTTTGTAGGCTTCGTGGCCGAAGGTCGATTGATTGACCCAGATCGTGAGGCCGATAATGAACACGTTAGGCATGGTGCTGATGATCTTTCCGTTGAGACGCGTCTCCCTCTTGAGTGCCCATTGATGTTCCTCTGAGATGGATTAAGTTGCATGGTCATGTGCGCGCGAGTCAGCTTTTGCGATGCAAATGCTGTTGGCCTGGCACAAAGTGGGGATTCCTGAGATTCCCCACTGCGGGCGACTGCCCAGTGCCAAACCGGGCAAATTGCGGAGTCCGCAAGACACCGGAGCGGGGCGATCACGAGACGGGGTCGAGCATGTACTGGGACCAGAGACTATAGGACTCACTGCCATCGTAAGGGATCTCAGTATCCGGTGGTGCGGCCTTCATAGTAGAAAATGGATGATGAGATGGAGAGTGTAAAGAAGATGTTGTGGTGGGAACGAAAGAACGTCAAAAGAGGGCGTCAAGTCGAAGCAGTTGAAATCCGAACCTTTTGAACTCGTGGAACCAAGTGCGAGCGAGTCCGACCACTCTCGGGGTGCCGCGTGCCGACGGGCCCATGGCTTCGGCCTCGGCGAGCATCGGCCGCGCGGCACTGCCTCTGCGCAACGATGTCGTCCTGCCGCCACGCTGGCAGAGCTTCAATGACGAGAAAAAATGGGGTGCAGCACGAATCGATTACAGTGCCTTGGGACATATTCCAATGCAGTGTGAGATACACCCCATTCTCTCGGTCTCGGCGTACTTGTTCTCTACTAATTCAGGGTGACGTAGTGGTTGCAAACCCAGCTGGCCGGCCATTTCCCACGAACAGCCCCGAGTGCGCCAACAAGGTGTGATGGGATGTATCATATACGTGCATGTTTCATTCATCAAAAGAAGAGAGGTTGGGTAAAACACATGGGGAAGTGCAGGCGAAATGAAAAAGGCAGTGAAGGATGATGAAATAGAAGGAAGAGAATGAGAAGATCCCCCTCCACGGCGCCAAAACAATTGTCCTATAAGGATACACAGCCATCGACCTTTATGACGGCCGGCCCCTCCCTAACCCTCCCTCACTACAGCACCTCGGAAAGGGTCGAGAACGCCTCCTTATAAGCCTGCAACAGCCCCTTGATCCTCGTCCTCTCTGCCGTCAACGCTTCATCCTCATGCAGCAGATCCGCAAACAAACTCTCCTTGTACAACGACGCGACGAGACGGTTCTGGACGGATTCGCGGGAAAAGTTGACGAGGAGGTGCATGATGGCTTTAGGGACGAGGTCTTGGATCGTTTGGCGCACGATGGAGAAGTAGGACGAGATGAGCGCGCGGATCAAGGTCGTTTCCATCTCTTCTCGTTCGGTTAGGCCGTTATGAGGATCGGCTGAAGCGGCGGGGCTCTGTAGGTGTCAGAACGGAGAACGAGGTCAGTACGTTTTGTTTCAAAGCCCGTGTAACGCTCTTCTCAAACTGACCGCTTCAAGATGTTTTTCCAACGACTTCATATCAAACGCCGCCGCATTCCCTTCGAACCCTCTCCTCCCCGAAAGCGGGTTCTCTCCCCTCTCATGCAACATCGAAGCGTGGATACTACTCGCGGCGCCTCTCGATCCCAACGCATGCTGCATCCCATTCCCACCATGGTCGGACCCGGTCAATTCCGTTCCGCCGAAAAAGTAGTTGAGGAACGACTCCTTTGCTGATGCGTGAGAGGGGGCTGAGGATCCGTAATGAGAGTCGGGGAATCCAGCCGGACCTGCAACACCACTCGCAGTGAGATTCGACGATGCACCATTCGCCTTCGGGACTGCCAATGCTTTGCTCGAGCCCGATCCGGTCCTCCGTTGTCCGGCTCCGGAAGCCACACTCGGCCCCCCAACGAACTGAGCAAAATCGGGTCCATTACGTGCACGATCGTGGATCGTCGATGAAGCGGACCGAGTCTTGGATAAAGGTTCGTTTCGTCCGTTGCGAGCGACAAATCCACCCTGATTGAAGTCGTCTTCTTCTTCCGGTCCGGAACCATCTCGTTCCTCTTCTTCGGACGAAGACGACTTCTTGTCCGCGATCGCAGCTTGCCGCCGTCGTGCGACCTCCCTCGAAGACTCTTGCGCCGCCGTCGCTGAACCGGCCACGAAAGCGGGGTGGTTCGTGTTGATGTAAGCGGCTTGGATCGAGATGAGCGACTGCACGTATTCCGAGGTCGGGCCCAGTCGTTCTCGCAACAGTTCAGAGACGACCTCGATCAACTGAGCGTGAAGTCGAGGATATCGCTGCAGCTCGGTCGAGGTGCAGTTGTGGCAAATCTTCATCAACTCCTCGTACACGAGTTCGACGCAACGCAGCGATGGCGGTTCGAGCAACTTGATCTGAGGCTTGACGAGCAAATCGAACGCGACTTCGGGAACGAATAGCGAAGGTCGAGGTCCGGTCGAGTTGCGGATCGCGGTGCGGATATCCTGTACGGTCAGGTTGTGCGTCGGATTGATCGATTCGAGCGCGTGGCCAAAGACGTCGTTGAAGATGTAATAAATGCGAGCTCCACCGCACAACTCCTTTGTTGAGATCTCCAACGATGTACCGTCGATCGAAGCGACAAAGTCTCGCACAAACTGCGTCATGAGCTGCAGGATGAGCGACCCGCGGTGCTGCTCGCCGAGGAAGGTCGAGTCACCGAATGCGTTAAGCTCTTGCTGCGTCTGCCCCATCAACGTGTTGAGTCGCGCCTTCATATCGGGCAACTTGTCACGTATGTGGTTCATCAGGACCTGGTTCAACGTCTTGGCGAGGAACTTTGTGCCGCAGCGATGGGCGATGTTGCGATAGCCGGGGTGGTTGCGGAAGAACTCGCGTTCGGAAGCGGCATGATCCTCCATCGACTTGTTGGCGATGATGTCGGCCTGACTGCGACCGACGACGCCGACAAAACCGAGCTTGAGCGGGTAGACGCGTCCTGTGAGGATATCGAGCGCGTTCGTGCCGGCGTCCATGATGTCGAGTTTGGTCAGCACGCCGATGGTGCGTCGCCCTTGCGGGTCGACCGTGCGAGCGAGTTTGAGTGCCTCCGAGTTGGCGAGATCGACGTTGGCGGGGGAAATGGCGAGGATGACGCAGTTGGGCTTGGAGACAAAGTCGAGGACGAGGTTGCGGATCTGGCGCTCAATGTCGGTCGGTTGGTCCCCGACGGGAATTTTGGTCAGGCCGGGCAAGTCGACCAAGGTCAAGTTGAGCACGTGCGGCGAGTAGATTTCTGACGGCAACAGCGAGAGCTAGGATTAGTCTTTCATCACGCGCAGTCTGGTGAGATGGCACGGTGACTGACTGAGATGGATCGGTAACCGCGAGATGCCCTTGTTGCCGCCGGCGACGCGCAAGGTCTCGTTCTCAATTTCCTTGCGGATCTCGTTGAAGTCGTAGTAGCGTCGATCGATGTGCAAGAATTCGCCATACTCGACGGGCATTGAGACAGCAGCTGTAGCCGAGGAGGACGACGACGACGAGGCATAGTTGTTGTGGTTGGGGGCTGCGTCGGCGAGCGAGGATTGGGACGAGGAGGCGACGCCCTCGTGGCCTACGATTGGCAGCAGCGGAGGCGTGTGAACAAGGTGCAGTACGAGTGGTCGTCGCGTGACGATGCCTTGTCCCCGGGGTAGAAAGTCCTTGCCAACGATGCTACGTGAAGGTGCGAGCGAGCAGGGACGCAGCGCGTCAATGAACACGCTCAAGTGCGAAGCCAAGTGCTCCATTAAGACGTAGACCTACGTTTCGAGTACGGACGACTTTCCACTACTTTGTGAGCCACTATGGGCGGGCAGGTAGAGAAAGCGAGGGTCAGCACGATGCCCGCTACAGGAGCGGGTACAGGTCGAACTCGTATTGGGCCGAACTTGAATGCTCACACGACGACAATCTGGGGCAAGTCGACTGCATCACCACCCACGGCAGAGAAGGCTGTTTGAACACGGGACGCGGTGTCAGTTACCAGCCGCCGTGCCGGTGCCGAATGAACGCGAGTGAGTTGCAACCCCGGTGCGACACGATCGAGGAGCGAGGGGGAGGTCAGAGGGGAACTCACTGGCTTGCAGTCGATTGACGACCGAAATCAGATCGCTGTCCATCGGTGGCGACTCGAAACCGAAGCGCTCAGTGGGCGGTGAAAGGGTGTGAAAGGCGTGAAAGGTGTGAAAGGGGCGGGCAAGCGGCGGGGCGAAGAATCGAGCGAGGCTGATGACGCGTGTCACCGGCCGCGCCGAAATCAAGGCAGGCAGGGCAGGCGCGCGGCCCTTATACGCCCTTGAGCGCTTGAGCGGCCAGCCAGAAGCACGCCAGAGCAAGAGGTCCGAGCTCAATGATCGACCGACCCACGAGCTCCTTTCCGCTTGCTTCGTGCTCCTCCGTCCGCAGCCATCACGATTCACGAGCCCCGATCACATGCCTCGCCGGTGACGCGCTCTGAGCCCCTGAAGCTCTGACCCCACCCCCACTCTCCCAGCATGAGCGCCAACATCGACGAGTTCACCGACACGCTCAATGCCGAACAGTCAGTCGTCCCCCACCTGAACTCTCGACGGCGACGCGCCCACCGGCTCCACCGGCTCCACCTCGCTGACTCTGTCACATCCTACCTAGATACGTCGACTTGCAGAAGCTAAGGTCCTACTCTCGTTACGGCATCCCTCCTGCCATCCGAGGAGTACGTCCTCCGTGTGGCGCCCAGCTCATTGCTGGCGGGAAATGCAGCCGCACCTCTTGCGCGTTCAGCTCACACCGTGCTTTTGATGTTGCTCGTATCAGGAAGTCTGGCTGTATCTGTTGGGCGTCCTATCGCCTGATCGAAGTAAGCCACTTTGTTTCGTCCCGTCGTCCGTCGGGGAGTATTGGTGCTGATCTCGAGCCCCTCTTTGCCTCCTCACCAGCCAACGAAATCGTCAGTCATCTATCCTATATCGCACTTCGGACTCGAAAGATCAGACGTCCCCTACCAGGTCTCAGCGCTGACTTCCGCCCCTGTCCCCCACCGACTTCCTCCCTAGACGTCGGTCCGATCGAAATATGCCTCCTACGCCAACATGGACAAGCTACCGCCGACCCACGCCCACCGCCTCCGTCTCGAATGCACACGCTACTACAACCGTCGTCTCGTCCCTTACGCCCGTAGACGACGCCAACCCGGTCTCGCCCCCAATTCGATGACCACCTCCGCGATGATTCGTCTCTCCCTTACCACGTCAATGCCCTCGACGTCGCCGGGGACGAGTTCGATCGCGGTCAAAAGCAACAATGAGGACGAAGCGATGGATATCATGGCTTTTACGACCTCGGTCGAGAATGTCTTGTCCGCTTATTTGAATAGGAATTTGGCGACAGAGTATCATCATGGGTTGGTCCCGTTGGTCGCGCCGGTCAGTGAGGAGGATTTATTGAGGATGGGCGAATCGTATAGCGGACTTGCCCTCATGGATTTGGTTCTTTGTGTCGACAGTTGGTCTGGACGCTCAAGACGGAAGCGGGGATGTACTTCTCCTTTGAACGCCTCATGACCATTCGAGGTCACTCACCCCTCACCGCCTCCCCGAAGAAGCCCCATCCTCAAAAACTGACCCCTCCCACCTCCCACGACCCACAGAAGAATACACCTCGAAGCACCCCCTGCCCGCACGCCTCACCTTCTTCATGACCATCTTCCGACAATTCCTCCCCGACCTCTTCTCCTACTTTGAAGAAGAAGCCGTCGATACGCGCGAACTCGCCGCCGCCTGGCTCGAATCGCTCTTCTCTCGTGAGATGCCAATAGGTATGTTGATGCGAGTTTGGGACGTTTATTTCAGCATCCAAGACCCGATGGAGTTTCATCCGTTCGTGTGTTTGGCGATTTTGACGACGTGCAAGGACGCGTTGGAGGAATTGGATCAGAGTGAGGTTAGGAGTATGTTGTTAAGTTTGCCCGTGATGGATGTTGATAGGGTCAGTTCGAGGGCGCATGAATCAGTCGACACTGGTGAGGAGCTGTGCTGATCAGGACCCAGCGATCTGCCCTTTTTGACAGCTTGTCGTGGAGGCGCATAACCTTCGACTGTCCTATCAACACTCGCAAACGAGGGGTGGAGGTCAATGGGCTGTCGATTATTGAGCGGCCAGATTCGAATCACGGCATTGGTGTCGTAAGGGCGTGGTCTCTTAACATGTTGTAACATCAAGCGAAAATTTTCCAGAAAGTCTGTTCAGCAACTTCTCGACGCAACACAGAGACAGTGATACCGTTGATTTACACGAGACGAAGAAAGGGGTTGAAAGAAAGACCGAAGTCGCAGAAAAGCCCAAAAAGAGACACACAGGTTGTTGCGGAACACAGGGGGCTAGAGACAGGTTTCAAGGCGGGAGGGTGAGAAAAAGGGCCAAAATAACACGGGATCCGAACCATGGGGGCTATAAGCGAGAAAAAAAAAATGCGTTTTGTTGCTGCTTCGAAAGGCGGTTGGGAGGCTCCGATCTCTTCTTTACTCGTCCTATCATTCGGGCGGAATAGAACGTGTCAGTCGAGATGGATACAGGGGCGGATGTGGGGCAGCTTACGGCGATCTTGGGTGCAAGGTAGTATCGGATGTGTCCGCCCTCGAACGGGTACTCGACGAGCAAGGGCACCTCGTTCGACATGTGCAGCTATCGAACGTGCGGACGAATCGGATCAGCTTCCGGTTGCCAGACTTCTTTCGGCTGAGTTAATCCAAAAACTTACGCGAACGGTTTCGCTCAGAGGTGTCGACTTTGCAAAGTTGCTCAAGTACTTGATCGAGAAAGTCAAGTTGACCGCCTATGAAAGAAGATTTCATCAAAAGCGCATGAGCAAGCCATAATCCACAAGCAAACCTCGCAGTACCTGCGCGACTGACCTGTGAAAGATTGATGGTGACCTTGCGCGCGGCCGCAGCATCAACATCGCCCTTGGCCTTCTTTCCCTTCTTGCCATTCGCTTCCGGCGCCTTGCGCTTCTTGGACTTGTCCTTCCCGTTCGCAGCCGCCTTCTTGCCCTTGCTGCTTTTACTCGCGACCACCTCCTCTTCGTCCTCGTCTTCCTCGTCGGCATCGACTTTGGGCTTCTCGTCGGCTTCCTCGTCCTCGTCGTCTACGATGACGGCCTTCTTCTTGCTCTTCTTGGGCTTGACATCGGACTCGTCTTCATCCTCGTCATCAATGACGACCTGTTCAACGCGAGGTCAAAGAAGCAAATCAGCGGTCAGACCTTCCTGAGCCCCACCACAAAAGGGAAGCTTGACCTACCGCATCCTCCTCCTCCTTGGGCTCCTCCTCAGCGACCTCCTCCTCTTCCTCCTCAGCATCCTCCTCCTCCTCCTCCTCGTCATCCTGCTCCATCCTCTCCCCATCCTTAGCCCCATCACTCTGCTTGAGCGTAACAGCCGCCGTACCAATATCACCCTCGCACGAGAACCTCACGCCGTCCTTGGAGACCTCGATCTTGACGCTCTCTCCCAACTCCTTGAGGTCGCGGATGATGCGCGCGAACTCGGCCGAGGGGAGACTGATCTCGGCGTCGTAAACGGTCTCGGGAATGCCAAGGTGCTCTTGGTCAATATCCATTAGCTTCATCTCGTATTCTCCCATGCGGTCGTGCTCTGGTAAGAGAGAGCGCAAAATTGAACATCGGACGAAGGAAGGAAGAAAATGGCCAAGCGGTTTCGATCAAGAGGCGAACACGTCAGTTCAATACATTTAACCAACATTGGACCCATGGTAGGGACGGTCCAAGGAAGAGTAGACTGACTGCCATTCTCGAACAAGAGACCGAGGACATCCTGGCTCTCATCAGCGCGCAGGGTGACGATGTCGTCGTTGCTGGCGCACTTGATGATCTTCTGCAAGCTCTGCAGACTCATACCGAGGGACCTGGAAAAGAGACGAAATCGCGCATGAGCACACAGATGAACCATCGCAGTCGGCGGGCACACGACGCGTCGCCTTGCGCGTCCCCTCAAGCTCGCCCGGAACGTACATGTTGCGATCGCATCGATACCTCTGGAACCCAGTAGCGTCGAGCTGGAGCGAGACCAACGCGACGTGGGAGTTGTCCATGGCTTGCAGTTTCTGTGCAGGTGAGGGAAGGGAAGCGCAAGATCGTCGAGGGCCGACGCGAAGGGAAAGAGTTCAGCCACCACGATTTGCTTTGGAGTCATCTCGTGAAGAAAGGGTTAGCTTACAAGACCCTCGTCCGAGCAGTCAAAGTTGGCATCGGTGACCAACTCCTTGATGGCTGCGGTGAAGAGGAGTGTAGTCGAGCGTAAGCATGGGTGGTCAAAAGTGCCTTGGATGACTTGGGGCCACCAGGACTGGACGGGCACGCGACTGACCATCGAGGACCTGTACGATGACGCCGACACGCAGCACATCAGCTCGCTGTTCAACACCCTCGTGAAGTACCCTGACCAGAGTCTGCAACGTACCTTCTTGAGCACTTCGGCTTGTTCGAGACGCGCTTCCTGTGGGCGTGCGAGGGCATTGATGCGATGAATCGCTCGGCTCAGCGCTCTGCGTACATCGACATGACATTCTTTCTGGTTGTCTGCTCCATCCAAACACCCTCGACGAGAGCGAGGATGCAGTTGGACCAGTGAGGTACGCGTGCTACGGCGTGAACCGGCTTTGACGACGCGTGCTCGTCCTGCTCGACGCGACCTCAATTACTGCGGTACGCGTTGGGCGTGACGCGTTCCCAAGCGAGAACACGGACTCACAAACATGGTGAGAGATAGACGGTGAGGTGGAGGAGAAGTCAAGTAGTTCGACGAAGGTGGTCGTACGGAGTGAGCGGGTTGGTGTAGACGGTAGTGGGCGCTGCAGGGCGGAAAGCGGGAAAGAGAGCGAGCAGGCGCGTCGACGCGTGCAGTCGTGTAGGCGCCGCCCCCCCGCGAGCCCCCGGCGCAGAAGGGCGCGGAAGCTCTCCTCGTCGTCGACCTCGTTGCGGGCCACTGCATGCAGCTCGAGCCCAGCTTCTATATCTCAGCACAGCGTATGCTGGTGCAGGAGATATGAGCCAGCCAAAATAAATTGATATATGAAGTTCTACATATCATGCACTACTAGCCCCTAAGGCTACACACAGAATCGGCGTAAATAAGCTGCTGAGCTCGGACCCCTTCTGTCTCCCAAGACTGGAGTCTCCTATGTGGACGCCCGCCGAATCCGATTCGTTGTAGTCCATGTTATGGTAGTCGTTCGGGTCGTTCCATCGCTCGGTACTGTACAAGAAGCACATCAGTATCATGTTCAGTTGATGATTCACTTGCCGCAGATCTTGGCGCAAGTCGGCAGCACCTGAACTGCTCACCTCGAGCAGCAGTCGAAGCAGGTCTACAGTACGAGACGACAGCAAGAAATAATCAGCTCAACTTTACCTAGTTGTCACGCCCCCCCATGCCCAACGTTGGAAGACTCACAAGCCTGCATATCAACCCATCTCCAATGCCCTTCCGTCCACTCCTTCCCCTGCATCGCAATCTGCTCCGTCGACACATCATGCCCACCCTTCCCTTCCAGATCACCCTTGAAGAACGCCATAATAGAGTACAGATCTTGGTGGTCGACGTTCACGGGTACGTAGTGGTACCAGGGCTGGATGCGTTCGGCGTACCATTCGGGGAAGATGGTCGATTTAAGGACGAGGCTGTTGCTTGCCATCAGACTAAACTCAGAACGGTGAGTTCGTCAGTCCATTCCTTGTTCAGCAAACGCTTCGAGTAATGTATGATCAGACTCGTTCCACTCACCGATGAAACCTCCCACTCCAACCATTCCCATCCACGTCCAAAACGTACTTGTACTCATTCTGCTGCGCCTCACTCATATACGCATCCCACCGATGTTCAGCCTCGAAAGAGCGACACATCGCTTGTGTACCACATTGTTGAGCGCAGCCAGAGAACTGGAAGTCGAAATAGTGCTTGGCCCAGCTTGAGGCGGGAGCCGAGTGGAGGGTGAGGTTTCCCGGTTGGTTGGGTTTATCGTCGACGGATACGGATACGGCGACGGTGATGTTCTCGTTCGTTCGGCCCACTTCAGTAATAGCACAAGGAGAGTCGGACTTCAGCTCCGTTTATCGAAACGTCGTCACCCTCGTCACGTATCAAACTACTGGCTTTTGACCAGTCGCGGTCTTTGACTCCATTTGCGCATATGGTCAATCGAGAGAGCGGACCCCGTTATCGACCCTCGCCACAAAGCTCGTTCTTCTTCTTCTTGCTCCAAATCGGATCAGGACCAACTGGTCGTCCATACTGCTCTAAAGCGGGTAGGAGGAGATCATTGTGGAGGTGGGAGGAGGTGAAGGAGAACATGGGGAAGAACAAGGCCGGTCTTGGGCCATCCCTGATCCGCGGTCGAAAGCAGGAGGTCAGCAACGGCAACATAAGTGCTGTTAATGCATAGATTGACTACGTACCAGGCAGTGAACCCATGAAGCCCTTGATTTTCGGGATGATGACACACGTCCATGGAATCGATGTGATTCTCGATCAATGTCAGACCCGACGGCGGCTTCCACTCCATTCGCGCGTCGAAAGGGGTTGCTCTTCGCAGGGGCGAGCCAGGGGGACACATCGACGCCCACCCGCCGCGGCGTCGATCGTCCCCGAAGTCTTCTAGATCCATGTTCCTGAGATATTTTAAGAACGGGAATTATTGCTTAGTAACAGGAGAAGGTAAGGCTGCTCAAAACCTTAAAAGACTCACATCGCTTCTCAATAGCAGCCGCAATGTGCTTCTGCTTCTGCTCGCCACCGACGACGATCCAGGGAATGTCGTGGCCTGGCCAAACGAACATGATTGGGTCAGTGTACGGTCTGTAAGAATTTTCATGTGGCATTTTCACTCACCCGTGAAGGTGAAGTTGACATCCCTCGGCAACAAAGGCACGATATCCTTGATCAGCTTCATCACCTCGTCGACTCGATGCTTTGAGCTCTCCATCATCGGCCCACGAGCGGTGACATTCTTGCCCATATTCTCGATGTTGATCGTGATTCCATGGTGCTGCAACCAAAACTCCTCGCGATTCTGCGACATGTCCGCCCGAGCCTTCAAGACATGTTGAGGGATCGCCGCAAAGGGAAGGATCTTCTCGTAGATCGAATCGTATTCGTCGATCATCTGCACATTGTTCTCGACCGCGAACGCGTACCACACCTCAAACCCTTTTGGAGGAGGTTGGTCGTACCGATGGTGGTACTTGGCGATCGCTTCGGCGAAGGATCGGCTCTGTCGAGCGACCTTTTCGTTCCATTCTTGCTCGGCTCGTTGCATGAGATGGTGGATCGGGTGAGGCTGGTCCGGCACCGACGATTGCCGTTTCCCTGCACTTTTTTGCCCGTGCTCGGGAGTTGATGCTCGAGTCGCAGGATAATGGAGCACACCAAAGTCCTTTTTGTAGGTGAGCGATCCCGACAGAGCATCCTCTTGACCCAACTCGATCGCGATCAATTCGGAGCTGTTCTTGCCTCGGTTTTGACTCGAAGCGCACCGACGAGTGTACCGCCCCAGCATCCGACAATGGTGTTGCAAGACTAAATCCCGCGTCTATCCAATCACTTCCATCTTAGTACGAGATCGCGTCGAAACTACCTTTGACGAGGAGTCCCCCGTCTTGCCCACGGACGACACCCACGGCGGTCCGAACCGAAACCGCAGCCCGAAGATGAGAACGAGCCCGGCGGCCCAGATGCGCCGAGGTCGATGCCGAAAGACCGAACGCGTCACGGAGCGGTGCATCCCCAATTTGACCGTCTTGGAGAACGAGCCCTTGCGTAGATCATCATCGTATTCGTTGAGGTCGTTGTCGAGATCGACAGGGAGCGAAGTCAAGCCCGTTACGGGGTCGTACTGCCGTAGAGCCGCTTTGACCGGCTGACTAGCGATGCTGCTGAGCAGACCACAAGTCGCCGCGCACGAGTTCGACGATGCGAGAGAGAGAGGACGATGACGCTGAAGAGGTGAGCCAGGTTGGAGGTGTGAATTCGCAGTGTCTCGAAGGGGAGGAGAAGCGAGGGATAGCGGAGGAGAAAGGGCTTGGGCAGATGCTCGCTTCAGTCACGAACGAGTGGCCCCCAGCCTCGTCGCCGAGCATGTCGGAGACCGCGGCGAGCGACGTTTCGGAGTTAAATCTTCGATTAGAAGCCGCCCGAGCCGAACTCAACAGTACAGAGCACTGTCGAGCAGTCGATAAAGAGGGCCGTACACAAGTCGTTCATGAAGCAACCCAACAACCTCGTACCTCAATGTCATCGATCTGAGCTTTCGGCCGGCTTTCGCTCTAATGAAAAAGCCTTAAGCATTTCGCACCCAAGTATACGCCAATCTCAACGGGTTTGGGTTCGGGAGGCTCCAAGTCGTAACGCCGCGGCGCTCCTTCCGGATCGGGGCGACGCGCGCTCGTGTCTGGACTCGCAGCGCGGAAGCAGGAAGGCTCTCGCAAGTCGAGTCGGATCACGTGACTGGACTCGACAAGCTGCACGTTCGAGCTTTTCAAATCTGCAGAGGCTCGTGCTCCACACCTTTGCAATATCTTCAACCATTCTAAAGTCTCTACGATCGGAGGTAGGACAGGGAGCCCTCGTTGCTGTCCATCGGCGGCCGGATACAAAAGTTCGCTACCCGAGACCGAGGGAAACTCAAGGCGGCTACTCTGCGGGATTTGGCTTCCCGGTACAATACGAATGCAGCATTACAATCTGGACAGTGCAAGATATGAAAATGGTACTAGAAAATGTATTAAAAAATATGTCCTTCGAAGAAGAGACACATTCACTCTGCTCGAAGATCGAAATACGATTCGTGGAGGAAATTGAGCACCTCGAGCTCTCCATATCTCCCGATTGATTTGCTGGCGTCAAGTGTAATTGTCAACCTAGGAGATGCGTGACATTGAACGGGAACGGGCCCGCCAAAGACAAAGAGGGAGAGGGAATACAACAAGAGGATTTTCGATATTTTAGAGCTTGCTCTGACGGTAGCGTACGATCGCAGCCACAACAGCTAGCACACCAAAGAGGGACTTGAGCGACCACTTGGACTCGCGCTTGATCACGGCCTTGGTCGCAAGTAACATCATCTTGAGTTTTTTGGCTGCGATCAGAGACCGAGTGAACATGAACTGGTCAGTGACTGATTCCTGAGACCACGTCTTTAAATGTGTCCAGCACTCACGTGTGTAGGGAGGGTAGCGCGAGTTGAGCGCAAGGTCCATCCAGGTCGGGATGTGGGCCGACGCGCGTTGGTGGGAGAAGGTGTCGAACGACCACTTGCCGTGGTAAGCTCCGATACCAGATGCTCCGGCACCACCAAAGGGAAGACCAGGGATGGTGAAGTGCAGAATGGTGTCGTTTTGGACGAACTGGGGGAAAGGCAGCAACGGTATCAGAGTCAGTCTCTGTTCTTCTATTCCGATCAGCCAGCGAGATACAAAAACTCACTCCACCCGATCGGGTTCGCTCAAAGATGTAGTCCCTGTTCTTGGTCGACTGTGTGAAGACGTACAGCGCCAGCGGGTTGTCACGCTCTTGGATAAATTCGACCATCTCCTCCTTGGTCTGCTTGACGACGATCGGCATCACGGGACCAAAGATCTCGCCTTTCATCAAAGGATCATCGGCACCGACGTCGGCAATGATCGTGGTTTCGATCTTGCCCGCGTCCTTGTTCCTGCCACCGCCGACGACAACGCGTCCCTTCGTCTCGTCGAGCATGGTCGAGATGCGGCCAAAGTGGTTCATGTTGACGATGCGTGCGTAACCTTCACCATTGACCATTGACTTTTCCTGGCCTTTGGTATCGGTCGTAAACTCCTTGTACACCTTCTGCATCGCCGCAACGAGCTTGTCCTGCACGTCGGCCGTGCACAAGACGTAGTCGGGGGAGATACACGTCTGGCCCGAGTTGACGAACTTGCCCCACATGATCCTGCGCGCGGTGATGTCGATGTTGGCATCGTCAAAGACGACTGCGGGGGACTTGCCACCGAGTTCGAGGGTGAAGGGGGTCAGGTGCTCGGCGGCGGCCCTGGCGATGATTTTTCCGATACCACCGGATCCGGTGTAGAAGATGTGGTCAAACTTGAGTTCCAAAGCGCGCGTCACTTGGTCGACGGCACCGAGGATGATCTTGTACGCCGAGGTGTCGAGGTACTTGGGCAAGAGCTCTTGGACAAGCTTGGCCACGGCCGGCGCTTGCTCGGCGGGCTGCAGAGCCGTAATTCACATATCTTAACAAAGATTTACACGAAAAGGGTATCAATCTGTTGCGGGTTGCTCACCTTGAGGAGAGCGGTGCAACCAGCAGCGATGGCGCCGACCAAAGGACTCAAAAGGAGCACGAGAGGGTCTGAGCGTCAAAATGAAAGGGGCAATTAGACTCGGGTGTATCTTCAAGATATTTCCTTCAAAAATCACAATTCCAGGTTCCAATGATGAAGACGGCACCTGATACAGCGAGTGGGACAGGAGGTAGAGAAATCAGCATCAAGATTTTTCGCATTATTCCAGGCCCACCAAAGATGTCTCGACATACCCTTGGGCTCGTTGTAGATGTAAGCGTTGGCCAAAGCCCATACCGCGGTCGTCTTGGCCTTGACGGGCTTGGCCCACTTGTCCAAGTGGTCGTATGCTTCATTGACGTCCGTCTTGAGCGGGTTCAACTCGGCGATGGTCGTCTCGAATTCGGGGCGGGACAAGTCCGAGCGCAGCGCCTCGATGAAGGCCGCTTCGTTATCTTGCTGTGAGTGGTGGACGAGCCGGCGTATGACAGAGAGATGTCAGTTCATCTCTGGTCGCGGTGAACGGGCCATCTAGCTTCATGACGGAGTCCCGTGGGCGTGATCGAGATCATCCTCAGCCATGGCTCGCGATGGTCCCGGCTGCTTGAAACAACCGGAGCGCCGTTCTCGCCGAGGCCCGGGCAGCGGGCAGTGGATAGAACGGCGCGCGATATGACAAATTCGAGTAGAAGATGGCTCTTACGATGAGAAAGCCGAGCTGCTTGAGCTGTTGCTTGCGCCACTTGATCGAGCGGGTCTTGCCAGTGAGGAAGGTCTTGACGATCTCGTCGTAGGCCTTGTGGAAGGAAGGTGTGCAGTCATTAAAGGAGCGTCAGCGAGGGGGAATTGCCGCGAATTGGCGCCGGCGCTGGCGTGTCCCCCGGCGACCTCGAGCAAGGTCGAGCACGCCGAAGATGAACCCATGCTATCGTCACCCGTTTGAGGCCAGTTTTGACAACGCCCACTTCGTCATACAAAGCTACTCACAGGCTTGATCTGGTCAACAGGGGTGTAGTCGCTGCTCATGGTGACGTTTCGATGGCGAGGTTCAGGAGGGTAACGAGATCAAAGGTTGGGGGTGAAATGTGGGGCGGGAAGGCGAAGACCGCGAACGGGCGCGAACAGCAACGGCTACCTGCTTGCGCCTGCTAGCGCCTGCTTCTGCCTGCTTGCGCCGCAGCCTCCGCGGCTGCCGCACGTCACTAACAAGCGCGGTCTAATCAGCCGGGAATACACAATCACACCTCTTCGAGGAGTGGCAGGTGGCTGTTGGGCAATTTTCGCGGCTGGTTAGGAGTGTCGGCACCTCACGAAGTGGCGATAGTGTCTTGCTTACGGGTGTCCGTCACAAGATTTTCAACTCCGCTGTAACATCTTCAAAGGATTCGATGGTACTAAACGAGCACGACCAATTGCAAAACTTGACGGTCAGGTAAAAAAAAACCACACCCAAACGTCCGCTCATCTCGAGACCCCCTGCGGCGCCGAGGAGTCTAATTCCTTTCGTCCCCAGTTCGGAGAAAGGCCGATCCGCTCGGGGAACTGAGGACAACACCCGACTTGCCCTTCTACTCCTCACATCCCGAACCATCTGTCGCCTTGCAACCACCAAACGCGGCTTCGCACTCGGCAGCTGAGTAGCAGTTCCTATCCTCCACCCCATCCGATCATGCAAACCAGAGTCAGCAATTCCCAATCTCTCGAGATAGGGTGGGGGGGGGGGAGGGGGGGAGGAGGGGCACACATGGCTCGAAGTGCAGGTGTCACATGTGTCACGGGCTGAACCGGTAGAGTGAGGACTCACTTCCGACATTTTGGAACCATGTACAACTTATAACACGCATCCAAGGCTTGCCAACTCCTTACGGGTCCCCACTTGTGCTTGCAATTCATTGCGCAGTTGTGCTCGCCGTAGCTAGTAAGAACAAAAGTTCGGGCGACTGTGCAAGTCAGTCTTCTCACGCCACGTGGGATCCATCGAATTCTCGAAGCAACGACTGACCATTGATCCTCGCGGCACGTTTTTGATGCATCGGAGCATACGAGTGTGATGGCATCGTCTTTCTTCCATCTGGTTAAATATCCAAAATGGTATAATTTCGTGAAGCGTGAAGGGTTAGCGGGTCATGTGTGTGAGGACGGGCAGGGTAAACCATTGCACTTGGTGCTTACCCCTCTCCTCCGCACAGATCTGGCGTCGCAACGATCTCGCCCGCGACGAAGTGGTTTGTGAGGGTAATTAAGCCGATGCCGAGTGGCAGTGAGAGTCTGGAGAAATGCATGTTGAGGGAGTCTCGTTGAGTGGAAGTGGAGGCAAGAATGACGCCGGGACGAGGGAGCGACCGGAGCGAAGGGTTCGGCGGATGAGATGGATTAGAAGGAGAGAGGAAGCCCTGCGACGAAAGAACACTTATGCGACTCAAATCAGTTTCGAGCGGTCTGGGGTCTCCTGTTTCGAGGCTTGGCCCTTCTTTTCTCGGTGGTCTTTCTCGGGGCCGAGTTCGCCCCCGAGAGAAATAGCGAAGTGCACTCAGGGGGAGCGGTGAATGAACTGCTTCACTTAAAGCCCCTTGGAATCTCGTCGGACGCACAGCGTTCTGAAAAATCGGGTGCTTTTTTATATTTCTCACACGATCGAGAATTCGAATCGTCTCTCCCGGCTTTCCTCAGCTCAATGAACCATCTTGCATCAGGCATCCCCACAGCAAACCTGCCGCCATTCAAGTCACACCCTCGAGGGTTTGAGAAGAAGCTGGTACCTCCTAATTATGGGCCCGCCCCCTTGTGCGGCATCACCTCGTGCCTTCGTGACACCGAGACTAATACACGCATATGCAAACGAGAACAAAGATGCCCTGACCACATCAGTATCAAAAAGTCGCAGTCACAGCAGCGTACCTGTAAGGGGCTGCCTCACAGAAACAACCCCATAAGTAGCCTCTGAGTAGCTAGAACTATCGAGTTCTAGTTACGACTTGCTTTTAGCCTAGCGATCAAGAACGATAGATTGTATTTTATGCACATCAGAGGCGCATACCTTACAGTACCATAGGCTGAGCGTTAAAGCCTCAAACATCGGGGATCCAGGAGAAGCTGTGCCAAATCATGCTTCCCGCCCTCTCTCACCCCCTAACGCTCGGACGTGTCTCAGAAGTTCACAACCCCTTCGCGAAGACCCTCTCGCAAACGTCGCACAAGAAATCGAAAGGTAACAACTCAACTGCCAGTGTTCGATATCAATCAAACCAACCCCATCAGTTCATCTTCCTTTTCTCAAAGAAACGATAATATTTCGAGACTCACATTTCTCGTATCTCTGCTTAGGCGGCCCAATCGCCACCACGCGTTGTGTAGGATCCTGCAGCTCCACGGAGGGACCGACGACGGTTGGACGGAGCAAGGCGTGTTCGGAAGAAGGTTGGTCTTTGAGCCATGCTTGCCGAGCTGGAGGAAAGCAAGAGACGAACAAAAAGTGGAGGGTCAGCGGTTGTGGCGGTTTCCCAATTCGGCTCACAGCATAGAACGAACCTCGCTCGGCGGCTTTGGCAGCGACGTCGGTGTCGCTCGATGTGTCCCACAACGAACATTTACGACACTCGTTACAGGGTCGTCCGGCTAGAGGGGACGAAGGAAATGTTTCAATTTCGCGAATCTCTTTATGCCGAGATGGGCTGAACTTACGAAGCGGCCTAAAATGCTGGCAGAAATGCGCGTAGCTTTCGTCCCCGATCGTCTGACGACAGACGTAACAGCTGTTCGCTCCGCAACGAGGGCACGTCATCTGAGCCAACGTAACACCTTACATCAGTCAGAACCGCACTCGATTCAAACTGCGCTTTAAGTACTCACCTTATTGCACCCCGACTCCTTGGTAAAAGCGACCCCGCATCTCGTACAAACCCTTTTCACGGCCTCAGACATGGCAGTCTCCATCGCCAACCTCAAACTCTCCTCCCGATCTTGATTACACGCATGCATACCCTCCGAAGGCACCACCTGATGACACAACCTACACGACGTCCTCCCACACCATTCTGGATCGTCTCGATCAAGGGAGTTGGTTTTCGTGGGTGGGTGGAGGGCATGGATTGGCCACCAGGGTTGGGATAATAGTTCTGCGAGCGTTCGAGTTGCTTCGACGTTACGGCCGAAGGGAGGGGGGGGGAGCGAGTTGGGAGTGTTGCGGCATCGGAAGAGGGTCGTTGAGTTCGAGCGCGAAGAGCGTAGAAGTTGAGTTCGAGCTTGGGCCGCAAGGAAGCGAGCCCCGGTGCGAAAGTATCGGTTAGGACGAGGAAGAGGATGACGGTGCACAGCTTGGGGTGCAGGATCGTTGTCTGCCAAAGCATTGATGTCGTTGGCGTTGGCGTTGACGTTGGCGAAGTAAGGTGCGAAAGGATCCGGATTAAGCAACATGACGTAGATCGTGGAAAAGTAAAGCAAGGGGAGAAGGCACAGATTGAACAGGGTGAAGGCCAGGTCCGAGAGCACGGTCAATGGGCTCGCCGGAAAATCCCGCACCAAGAGAGGGAAGAAGCGACCCCAAAGTGAAGCTTCGACGACCTCCTCGACGTAGGGACAAAAGGAGCATCGCACGAGGGCGGGGCGACGACCCCCCTCGCTCGTTCCGGCCCAAGCTTCGATCTCATTCTGCGCCAGGCGATGATCCCAAGCTTTCTTGACCGCCGACGGTAAGACGAGGTCTACTCGATCGCGTTCCATCATTTCTTTGCAGTCGCCGATCGACATGCACTGAATCGTCGGCTTCGCAACGGTGCCACCGTACACCATCTCTTGCACGATTCGGATGAGGCAGGTGCGACAGACAAAGTGTCGTCCCGTCGAACAAGGAACGATCTCTTCGAACGTCACATCGTCGGAGAAACAGCATTCGCACTCGAAGCGATCGACTTGAGGCGTCCAATCGGCATTGAGTTGGCGCGCAAGGTCTTCGTCCCGGCGCTGGAGGAGGGTTTGTTCTTTGCGGGTCACTTGCGCAAGCTCTTCCACGAGCTCAGGGGGGTCAGTGACAAGTGCCGCAGAGGCATGGAAGCTGAGAGGACGAGCAGGAGGGGCGGAGAAGAGGTCGTTGAAGAAAGCCTTGAGTTTGGATTGGCGTTGACGCCAGTTCAGGACAGCTTCTTGGATGGTCGAGTACGATCCGCCTTCGGCGACGAGGGACCGGATGCTCGAGGTGGGTACGTTGGGATACATGCGCTGGAGATGGTCGACGAGGTGTGAGACGTGGCGAGGGGATCTGAGCAGGTCGTCTCGGGTCAGAGTAGGTACAGGTGGAGCCGGTTTGGCTCCTCGAGTGCGATTCTCGTTGGGAGTGAATGTGAAAAAGGTGTGCCAGTTGAAAGCGGGCATGGTCGACTTGGCCTTGATTGGAGAACGTTGACGCAAGAGCAATTCTTCGGTAGCGAGAAAGAGGTGCGAGTGGGGTTGCATGGCCACGACGTCGCGCAAGTCCGAAATAGGGGTCGTCGGAAACAGCGTGTGGAGGCGAATTCTGGGTGGGGCGGGAACGGGCAAGGGGTGAGCGGAACGGCTAGCAACGGACGAACACACTGCGCCAACATACATGGCCTGGTTCATCATGAGCGTACGATCGAGCGCCAAGGTGTGAGGTGGTAATACAGGAAGGTGCTTTTGCTTGCGACTGCCACTACTAGTACGACTGCGACTGCGACTGCGACTACCATTCTCACTGCCACTGAGCGTGACCTGCTGCTGCCGCCACCTCTTTTGCACCTGGTCATGGCGCAGGATCGACGCAGGGGGGAGCGCGTCGTGATCGTTCACAGGCCGCCTGACGCAGCGCGGGTACTCGTGATGGTTGATCTCGACCAGTTTGTGGTACACTTGGTTGATGAGTGCCTTGTGCTCGTCCTCGTGATCGTCTCCTGCGCCGCCGTCACCGTACGATGCGCTGCTGTTGCTGGCGAGTCCTGCTCCGAGTCGGCGTCGGGGTCTGCCCAGTGTGGCGGCAGCAGGGTCCGTGCGAGGCTGCGGGCGATGGTGCTCGATCACCTGAGCGAGGTAGGCCGGATCAGCCGAGGGGAACAGTTGCTCGAGTCGGAGTTGCACAGGATCATGGTCATGACGTTCGGGGAGGTCGAGTGGGTGGCGACTTGTGCTCGCTCGTGGCATGATGACGGTGGATGCTGGCCAGCAGTAATAAGTGTGTGGCCCATCTCGTTCGACGCGGGGAAGGAGAAAGCGAGAAGGAAGCCCGTCTGAAGCCACTCTATCAGTAAAGCGTGTGCCATGTCAAATCGAGCATTATCGCGGAATAGCCCAGCGCTAATCTGCGCCCATCGACTGACTTGCCCGCGCTCCGGGAGGGCGTTCGGGCGGTCTATTAGTCGCAGTTCAGCTGTATGGCAGCTGTAGCATCGGCCACCATGTCGATCGACCTACCACGGCTACACCGGCGGGTGACAACTCTCTCCCACTCGTTGGGGAAACATACCTCGAGTCGTAGGCGGTTCGTGCCTCTCACCTTTTGGCGACCTTCACTTGCGACCTGGACCTCGACAGTCGTCCGATCGCATTCTACATCGCCTCCAACGCGGCATCGTACTCAAACACCCGGCTCCACGTGCACACCACGATGCGCAAGATGTTTCTCTTCCCATGCACCTCGAACAGCACCCCAGCCAACCTCCCCGACCATACCGAAACCCGTCAGTCCTCCGTCCCATCTCCTCGGGTTCGGACTCGACCTCGGAGCATCAGCTACGATGCAGACTCTGACATTCTTCTAGCTCCAACAGAGCCCTTCCCACTTTGATCTCTCGCACTACCCACCCGAACGGATCCGCAACTTTGCCATCATTGCCCACATCGGTCAGTTCTCGACGCTTCCCCCCCACACTTTTTTCTCTCTGACCTGGCTTTTCGCGCTCTCTGACTCGCCTTCTTTTCCCTCTCTAGATCACGGTAAAAGTGAGAGAATGCATACAGGCAGCCATTCACGACACCCAGAGAAAGAAACTGACCGCCATCCGACCCCCCTTACACCTCCAGGCACCCTCGCCGACCGCATGCTCGAGAGGACGGGCACGATACCGCCGACTCAAATTTCACACGACCGACTCGAAGAAGCGCAAAAGAACGAACAGGTCTTGGATACCCTCAAGGTCGAACGAGAGAGGGGTATCACCGTTAGGGCTCAATCGGCTTCGTCAGTTTCTTTGATCCCCGCCGATGCGACACTCGAATATCTCGGGCGAAGCACCATTTTCTTCGTCAGGGCAGTCGGGCCGAGAGGGGAAGACGCTGACGCGAACTCTTTGACTTTGCCTGGGGATAGTATGTTCTACACCGCCCAAGACGGTCATCAATACCTTTTGAACTTACTCGATACACCCGGCCACGCGGATTTCTCCTCCGAGTTGTTGAGGTCCCTATTGCCGAGTCAGGGCGCACTGTTGTTGGTTGATGCGGCGCAGGTGAGCCAAGGAAGGAAGGGAGGGAGGGACGAGAATTCTCTGGAGCTGATGAAGGGGGCCTTTTGATTTGTCGTGGATTGCAGGGCATCCAAGCCCAAACTCTGAGCGTCTTGGATGAAGCGAGGAAGAGGAATTTAACCGTGCTTGGCGCAGGTACGTCGAACACGATGCTGAACCCATTCCCAACAACCATTTGATCACTCATCAAGGTCCTTCCCTCTACCCAGTCAACAAATGGGACCTCGTCAAAGACGACGGACGAGGCGAGGCCGCCGTCCAAGAACTTGCCGCTTTACTCGGGTGTGAAGAAGACGAGATCTTGCGCGTTTCGGCCAAGACGGGATTGGGCGTACAGGATGTCTTGGAAGGCGTCGTAGAGCGGATCCCTGCGCCTTCGAAGGGGGACAAAGGGGACAAGTTGAGTGCGCTCGCGTTCGATAGTTATTTCGATCCGTTCAGAGGGGTCGTTAGTTTGGTCGCGGTCGTGGAGGGGGAGGTCAAGAAAGGTACGTGGCAATTCCTGCTCGAGGGACGTTGCCGTGGCTCAGAAGGACTGACCATGCCCGTCGATGTTTAGGCGATTCGATTACGTCGACAACGACCAAACAGGCTTACCCCGTCTTGGACCTCGGGATCCTCTCCCCTCGCGAGATTAGTATCGCCGAACACAAATCCCCCGCTTCGAGGATCCTGAGAAAGGGGATGGTCGGGTACATCGTCTGCGCGATGAAGGACGTTCAAGATGGTGGGTCAACAAGATCAAGCTTGATGGGTAAAAAAGTAACTTGCAACTTGAGCTGATGAACATCCTTTCCTTCTAGCTTTCCTCGGCGACACCTTCCACCTCACCTCGCACCCTAAACCCGCTCTCGAGAGTTTCAAGCCTTTAAAATCCATGGTATTTGCCGGCGTGTACCCCGTCGAACCCGGAGGATTTCCCAAACTCGAAGACGCGATCCGTCGTCTCACCCTTACCGATCGATCAGTGACGTCGAATCGAGAGAGTTCGACTTTTCTAGGCCAGGGCTTCAGGTTGGGTTTCAATGGGAGTTTGCATATGGATGTGTTTAGGCAGAGGTTGGAGGATGAGTATGGCGAGGAGGTGATTGTCACGAGACCTTTGGTGCCTGTTAAGAGTGAGTTGGCTTGCTTGTTGGAACACCAGTAGTGGGGACTCATGCTTAACTCCTCGGGGTTGTCGACACCTTCTTACAGTCATCTACAAGAATGGCAAGGAATCCATCATTGACAACCCGGAGGACTTCCCCGACCCCGCGGAAATGAACAAAGTCACCTCCGTTCTCGAGCCTTTCATCCGAGCCACGATCGTCGCACCGGACGAATACATGGGAGCGATCATCAATCACTGCACGACCCACCGCGGGGTACCCCTTTCGCACACCTATCTTTCGACCGCCTCAACACCTTCGAACCTCTCCTCTTCAACAGGTCGCATCACTCTCCTTTGGTCCCTGCCTCTATCCTCAATCGTCACCAACTTTCACGCCGGTCTCAAATCCGTCACGTCGGGCTTCGCTTCCTTCGATTACGAAGAAGCCCCTTATGAAGAATCTTCTCTTTGTCGACTGAACATCTTGATCAATGGGACCCAAGTCGACGCTTTGTGTTCGGTCGTGCATAAGAGTTTGGTCGAAAAGGAGGGGAGGGAGTGGACCAAGAGGTTGAAGGAGGTCGTACCGAGGCAGCAGTATGAGGTCGTTATTCAAGCCGCAGTGGGGAATCATATGTAAGTTTGTGGGAAGGGGAGGGATGGAGGTGAGGCGGAATTTCGGATCGTTGCTGATTACGAGGATGTTTTTTGGGGGGGCCTCACTTGATCACAGCCTCTCTCGAGAAAGGTATGTTTTTTTTAGACCTTGTCCACGACGGACACTCGTCACTGACTTCGCCACGTCCTTTGCCTTACAGGATCGCCCCTTTCAAAAAGGACGTCACAGCAAAGCTGTACGGTGGTGACGTGACTCGCAAAGTAAATAACTATCTCGGTCTTTGACTTGTGCAGATTCCCCGACGGTCGAGACTAACACATTCCTTGTTCATTGTTCTGCGGCGCACAGATGAAGCTCTTGGCCAAGCAGAAGGACGGCAAGAAGAAGCTAAAGGAGAGGAGCATGTACGTTCTTCGCTACCACACGGATATCTCCCATCCCCAACATTTGATCCTGATGCAGCATTTATTTCACCGACAGTGGTCGAGTAACGATCCCAACCTCGGCATTCTTCGCTGTTCTAGGTGGACAACAAGGCAAGCGGAAAGGAGGGTCGTAGACGAGCGTTTCGCTTGCGTTGGCATAACGGTAGGAATGAAGGTCGTAAAAGATCAAGAAGTACAAAAATTGGTGTTGAGGGGCGTCTCTCGCAGAGAGTCCGAATAAATACATGTACAGAAGGGCTCGGGAGCCGTCTAAGAGTGTGGATCACTTTGTCGTTGGGGTTTCGTTAGATCATATCGGTGCCTAATCGATAGGCTACCAAACCGTTGATCTTGTGTCGGTTCGTACTAAAGGACCTCAACTTGACCTGAGCACGATCGATCATTCGACAACGAGAGAGAAAGTCATCAATGACGTGCCTTCTGACCGAACGAACGAGGGTCTTTGGATGGTACTCACACTTTCGGCTTCACCCACGATCATATGCGGATCCGAATCGATGAATTCCTTCGGTACGGGCGCGTCCTTCTTTGCATAACTGAGGATCGTGAAAGTATCTGCATGTGCAGATCCAATTGGAACCCGATCAGTTAGCTCAGACGTGCCGAAGAAAGAAGAATCAAAACTACTCCACGGGCGTGGCGCGAGGAGTGAAGGACTTGCATTGGTCCTGTAGAGCGGGGAGGAAGGTGACGGAGGAGGTGATTTGACGCATGATTTGTTGGATGTCGCGTTGGATGTCTTCGGGAGTTTTGGTATTGCGTTTGGCCGATTTAGACTCGGGGGTGTTGGAGTCGGGTATTGTTTCGGATGAAGGGGACGGTCTACGAAGGAGAAAGATGACCGAGGACGAGTCATAAATTGCTCTGCACCGAGGGAACAATCCCTGCGCTCTCGGTCGTTGCCCACCCAAACCCAAGGAACTGACTGATTCTCCTTCTCCTTCTCCTTCTCGCCTCCAAGATCCTCAATCTCGACATCGAACCTCCACCTCTCGACGACCTCCCTCGTCTCGCGATCCATAATCACCAACGCCAAACTCTCCAGCTGGCCTCCCAACATCCACGTCGAGACTTGCTTCATCACGTTCTGGATGTAGCGTTCCAACGATTCGTCGACGCAGGTCCATAGGGACAGACCGTACTTTTTGACGAGCTTGAAGTCGTCGGGCGGGTAGATGCCTCGTTGGTAGAGGATGCTGTTCGAGCGCGCGGAGAGGAAGGGGAGTACTTCAGCCCTCGTCAAGGTGGGTCACGCGTGAACTGTTCCTGTGGGCCAGGATGCCAAGAAACGCACTTGTTGACGGAATACTCAAAAAACTCTGTACATATCTTGGTCGAGCCTTTGATGGAGAGCACTTGGTTCTGCTTGGGCCGGGTCGACATCCCAGGTATTCGTCCGCGCGTATACTTGCACTCGCGTTCGTGCTTTGCGTGAGGGGGCCAGGGGGGCGAGCAGTTGGGTTTGGCCAAGTTGTGGGTGGAGGGAGCCTGGAGCTCAAGGAAGACGTTCGGTTCGTTTACGGTGTCGTAGTGGGTGGTAAAGGGCAAGGAGCGCAAAGCGTGGCCGAGCGTGGCCGAGCGTGGCCGAGCGTGGCCGTACGCGCGCTTCGGAGATCGATCGTTCGTCGTTCAACCTGCACGCCTCAGCCTGGTAATAACCTCGAACTAACCCCCTAATGGCGGATTAGGATCACATAATCACGTCCCCCCCCCCCCCCCCCACATGCCGGTCCGAGTGGCATTCCCGGCTTTTGTCTTTGTCGCACACTGCACACATCACGCTAGCATATCATGGTACGTCGCTACAAACACATACCACCACGAGTGTTCCTAAGCGAATAGTATACCCCATGTCGTGACAGAACATCACCGTCATCAACAACGCCGCGCATCTGAACCAATGCACGGGGGCCGGCACCGTCAGCATCATCGACTTTCATGCTGTGAGAACAAGGGTACGTATGAAAGCACATGAATCCCCGACTGACCCGTATTCTTTTACGTTCCTCATCGCGCGACGCGACCAGACGTGGTGCGGCCCATGCCACGCGATCGCCCCTGTCTTTCAAGCCTTGGCCCAGCAATACGCGGGTAGGATTCAGGTGCGTCGTACAAGGGTCGAACCTAGTCTCTAGGAAGAGGCTAGCAGGGCCCGGACTGAGACCCCTCCGTCGCCTTGTTGGATCCACCACAGTTCTTCAAAGTGGATGTCGACCAGGCGCAAGACGTCGCAAGTCAATTCGCCGTCTCGGTTATGCCCACCTTTGTCGTCCTGAATGGCAACAAGAAGGTAGCCGAGGTGAGCGCCAACCACGATGTAGGATACAGAGGCTCGTACGAGCAGGACCGCTAAAGTTCTGACTTTGGTCGGCCCCCAACAGATGAAAGGAGCCGATCCGAACGGGTTGAAGCAACTCGTGGCCAAGCATGCGCTAGCACCCGGGGCATCGACTTCGGCTGGTGGCAGTGCTTCTTCTTCTTCTTCTTCAGCAGCACCGACGGAGAAGGGTCTTGAAGGCTTCGTGAGTGACTTGGTCATCACTCGAGTAGGCACCAGGTGTTGTCGGTTCGATCGAACTGACTTGATCGTGCGATCGACACTGGACGCCTCCTCGGATCACGGTGTCGAACCTCATAGACCGTCGTGAATTCGGGCATCGATATGGCTCAGGTGCATTGCCTCAACGAGTCCGCCGACCACACTATCCGACACTTGCTTCGAGGTGAAGGAGACAAGTACTTGGAGTCCGATGCCGACGAGCAATTGTTGTTGCAGATCCCGGTACGTCCGAGACTCGGGTCGTGTCCTCAAGGTTAGTTTCACATAAGACTTGTTTTGGAAGCTGATATGCGACCCCTTTTAAAGACCCAAGCTCTTCGCATCCGCGCCATTCGCTTCAAGACCATCTCCTCCAAGCTCCCCCAAGCGCCCAAGAAGATCCGTCTCTTCGTCAACGCCGGCTCGACCCTAACCTTCGACGATGCCGAATCGCTCGAACCCGCTCAAGAGATCGAATTGAGCGAGAAGCAAGCCAAGGGTGAAGAAGCCGTTCAATTACGTTTCGTTAGGTTCCAGAATGTGACCCTTTTGTCGGTGTTCGTGGCTTCGAATCAAGGGGGCGAGGAGGTGACGAGGTTGGATGGACTCGAGTTGATTGGGGCTTCGATCGATGGGACCGACATGAGTGCATTGTCAAAGGGGGATGATCATGATCATTAGAGAAGCAGGGTGTATTAGATCGGTTGGTGCATACTTTTTTTCCAGTGAGCGACATCACATGTGCAATCTGAGCAATTCTTGTCGATCTCTCTCCCTCTCTCTCTCAGCGAGCGATACGCCACAAGCAGGCCATTTGATCACAGTGTAGAAACCAGCAGGATAGTATTGAAAGAAACGTGCAGATCAAGTCGTACCAAACAAGCAAGCCGAGGCCCCACATCTACCACCGCTCAGTCCCTACGTTGTCGCTTGTTTCCCCCACCTCGTCCTCCACCCCCACGGCCACCCCTTCCACCCCTCCCACCCCTTCCACCACCCCGTCCGCCACGGCCTCCTTCCTGACGCGTATCGACCGCAAAAGCTTGTCCAGCATGATACCTAGCCCTCCCAATGACATGGGCCCTCTCTTCCTCCTTGGTAGCACGACGCCATTCGATCTTCCTTCCCTCGTATTCAGAAACTTGGTCTTGAATCTTGGCCAAGATCTCGTCCGTGACGTGGTCCCTGAAGGTCGCTTGACAATAAGCGGGGTATTCCTCTGGGTTCACGCCGGAGGACGAGGAAGAAGACGCTTCGGGGGTTTTGATCTCGGAGGAAGATTTGATCGTAGGCGGCGCGGAGAGCTTTTCCGAAAACTCGCTAGGCTTCGGAGCATCGACGTTCATCGAGTGGTCCTTCCCCGGCGCGAGGTTAACGATTGGACGGGCCGACGTTCCTGCACCCACCAATTCGACGAAGCCGACCCTGATCAAGGAAGAAAGTTGTTCCTTGATTTGAAGATGATTGAACCTCGAACCGGTTTCCTTCTCGCCCTCGGTCGAACCATCCTTTTTGGAAATGACGAAACGCAAGACCTTGCCCGTAGGCCATTCGCCCTCCCCCATTCCGACCTTATCCTCATCGACGATCTCAACTTGACCATCCACTCGACGGGCGGTATAACGCACCCCGTCGAACAAGACCTGTCTCTCCTCCGGTCCCTCGTCATCGGCCTTACGCTTCTTCCCCTCCTCCGCATTCGCTCCTCCCTCCCTAGCCGCAGCGGACTTGGGGTCCAAAGCCGGCCACCCCGATTCGGAGATGAGTTTCGCGGCCCAGGCATTATAAGGCTTGGCGGATTTTTTGTAAGGGTTCGCGGGCACGGTCGGTTTCTCGAACGGTTTCGAATCGGGGGCGTAGATGAGACGCTTCTCTTCGACGTAGGCGGCCTTGGACTTGATTTCCAATTCTTTGCCTTCTTCGAACGCGGGCTTGGGGTCGAGAGCAAGGAATTTGGCTACGGCGTCGGCCGAATCGTATTCGATGAAAACCGAGCCCTGGAAACAGAACAGAGGGCGGATCAATCTCGAAGGTCAAATCGCCACCCGCCGCCACAGCCGCGGCCCCTCCACCGAAAAAAAAAAAAAAAAGAAAAAAAAAAACTGACCTTGAACTTTCCACCCCCCTTGACGGGGTTCTTTCCCGCCGGAACGGGTCGGTCCTCCCTCCTCATCCTCAAACTAACGAGCTTCCCGACCGCCAACGCCTTGGCCCATCGTTCCAACTTGACCTGCAACTCGGCTTCGTTCTCCTTGACGGCCTTCTTCCTCTCGGCCGAATCGTCGACCGAAACTTCTTCGACGGGGAACCCCTTGACGTACACGGATCGTTCGAGCGTATCCTGCGGACGCTTCAGTTCGACGCTCTTGCGCACGTACCACCCTTGACCTTCCTGTGCGGCGTCGGCGGAACCGAACTGACGGACTTGGACGAGGGAGGAATGGTCCTTGACGACGTTCGCGACGGCGTCGATCGAACCGAGTCCCGTAGGAGCGGGGGAGAGGTAAGGCGTCATACGCTTGAAGGAGGTGAGTAGGGACAGCGGGATCCAACCGAGGTGGGAACGAGGGTGCTCGGACTCGGGATGGGCGGTCAAGGTCGAAGGGTTCGAGCAAGGGTCGTCGGCGGTCGAGGTGATGATCGACGCCGGTTGGTGGAACGAACGCGACCAGACGTCGTACAGGTACTTGTCAAAGGGGAGGTTCGAGTCGGAGAGGTAAAACTCGACTGTTGGGCCGAGAGGGGGAGAAGGGTGATTGCAGATAGGGGTGTGTAAGGGGAGCGGGATGGGCAATGGCAAGTTGAAAGTTGGAGCGACGAATCGGGAGCACGTTCATCATCGGAGAAGGGTACGAGGTATTCCAGGGTCAGCACAGACGAACATTGATCACGCATAACGCGTGGGAGGTCTTGCACCTCGTACTGACCTTGCGCAACCACGGCTTCTTCAACGGCCCGACTCAGGCCGTCCTTCGCAGCACCAGCGGCAGCACCAGGGGCAGCAGCAGCCGGCTCAGCGGAACCCGCCGCCGGAGCAGCGCCATCGACGGCAGGAGCAGGCGCGGCGACAGAGGCAGAAGGTTCGGTAGGTGCTTCACTCATGGTGTTGTGGACGTGCAGAGGGGGCAAAGTAGAAAGGCAACGGAACGAGTGGTGGAGCTTCCCGCGCTCGCTTCAGCGCTTCAGCCCTCTTCAGCGCTCTTCAGCCTGCTTCAGCACTGCTTCAGCACTTTGCGAACCCACGCCCACGCGCGCCTGCGAAAGTCAAGTTTGAGCTGGGACCACGTCGCCGCCGGCTCTGGTGCCAAATTTCTCTCTCGGCTATTCTTGGGCCCAGATCTGTGGTGCATTCATTCAATTCAAACATTGCTTTTAAGAGGCGAAAGAACAAACGAGTCTAGAAAAGAGATGATGCGAAAAAGGAAGAAGGACAACTAGAGCCACGAGAGAGAAAAAAAATGACCCAACCAAAAACAACGTCTGGAAGGGGAAGAAGTCAAGTCCTCCCCACCCTTTATTACTGTCTTCATCGATAGTCTTTTGCGCGTTTAGTCGACCTCCTCCATCGAGCTCACTCCGGCGGGCTCAAGAGCGGGTGCGTCCGACCCTTCCTCCACCTTGGACTCCTCAACGGCAGCGGGCTCCTCGTCCTCGTCGATCGAGAGACCGAGCGAGATCATGCGGTGAATGCGTGCGGCAAAGTCCGTAGGCGCGTCCAAGGTGAAGCCCGAAGTGAGCAGAGCGGTCTCGTACAAGAGCGTGACCAAGTCGCGCACGGTCTTGTCCGCGGCGTCCTCCTGGACCTTGGACCGCAGCTCCCTGACGATCGCGTTGTGCGGGTTGATCTCGAGCGTCTTCTTGGACTGCATGTACGACGACATCGAGGCGTCGCGCAGCGCCTGCGCCTTCATGATGCGCTCCATGTTGGCTGACCACCCAAAGGCACCGGTGACGAGCACGCACGGCGAGTCCGAGATGCGGTTCGAGATCGACACTTTCTCGACCTTGTCGCCGAGAATCTCCTTGATCGTCCTGGTCAGGTCCTCGAACTCCTTGGTCTCCTTCTCGCGTTGCGCCTTCTCCTCGTCGGTCTCTTCGAGCTCGAGGCCGTCCTTGGAGACGCAAACGAGGTTCTTGCCCTCGAACTCCTTGAGCTGCGTCGTGGCGTACTCGTCGATGGGGTCGACCATCAACAAGACCTCAAAGTTCTTCTTCTTGAAGATTTCGAGGAAGGGCGAGTCACGGACCTGCAAGAGGGACTCGCCGGTGAGGTAGTAGATGTTCTTCTGCTGCTCGGGCATGCGCGTGATGTAGTCCTTGAGCGAGGTCATCTCCTCTCCGGACTTGGTCGAGTGGAAGCGCAAGAACTCGGCGAGCTTGGAGCGGTTCTGCGCATCCTCGTGGATACCGAGCTTGATGTTCTTGCCGAACGCCTCGTAGAACTTGCCAAAGTTCTCCTTGTCCTCGGCAATGTCCGCGAGCATCTCCATCGTCTTCTTGACCAAGTTTTTGCGGATCACCTTGAGAATCTTGTTCTGTTGCAGCGTCTCTCGCGAAATGTTGAGCGGCAGGTCTTCCGAGTCGACGATACCCTTGACGAAGTTGAGGTACTCGGGGATGAGGTCCTCGCAGTCGTCCATGATGAAGACGCGGCGCACGTAGAGCTTGATGTTGTTGCGCTTCTTCTTGGACTCGAACAGGTCAAAGGGCGCGCGCTTGGGGATGAAGAGGATCGCCTTGAACTCGAGCTGACCTTCGACGGAGAAGTGCTTGACGGCAAGGTGGTCCTCCCAGTCGTTGGTGAGCGACTTGTAGAAGGCACCGTACTCGTCGGCGGTGATGTCGGTCGGGTTGCGTGTCCACAGGGGCTTGGTCTTGTTGAGCTCGACCTGCTCGGTGACGGACTCCTTGACCTTCTTCGTCTTCTTCTCCTTCTTGTCATCCTCGTCGACCTCCTCGATCTTGGGCTTGTCATCGTCGCCTTCCTTCTTCTCCTCCTCCTCGTCGTCCTCGACCTCCTTCTCGACCTCCTTGACGGTGACGAGCTGAATCGGGTACGAGATGAACTCGGAGTGCTTCTTGACGATGTCCTTGATCTTCTTCTCTTCGAGGTACTCGAGCTGGTCGTCCTTCATGTGCAAAACCATCTGTGTGCCTCGGCCGAGCGAGGGGTTGACCGTGTCGGGGGTGATGGTGAAGGTGCCACCGGCGGCGGACTCCCAGATGTACTGCTCGTCGTCGTTGTGCTTGGTGATGACGGTGACCTTGTCGGCGACGAGGTAAGCCGAGTAGAAACCGACACCGAATTGTCCGATCATGGAGATGTCGGCACCGGACGAGAGCGCCTCCATGAAGGCTTTTGTACCGGACTTGGCGATTGTACCGAGGTTGTTGACCAAATCGGCCTTGGTCACTGGGTGTGGCGAGAAGAGGAAAAAAGAGAAGAAAAGGTTAATTCTTGATTCTTTCGGGGACAGTGGAGCGGTGTGGGCAGTAAGGACTCACTTCCGATACCGGAATCACGGATGGTCAAGGTCTTGTTGGCGACATCGGGGGTGATGCGGATGAAAAGCTCCTTCTCGGTGTCGAGCTGTGTGGGGTCGGTCAGGGCCGAGTAGCGAACCTTGTCTAGGGCATCGGACGAGTTGGAAATCAATTCTCGAAGGAAGATCTGGGAGGAGGATGCGCAGTAAGGTCAGTCTCGTTCGTCTGTAGACCGTTCAAGACTCAGGCTATGGCTCGCTCCAGTCTGGGCACCCCCGGAGTGTGAGGTGCCCAGAAGGGTCGAGGAAAAGCAGCTGTCGATGCGGCCTACTCACCTCCTTGTTCGAGTAGAAAGTGTCTGCACAAGTTCAAAGCAGAGACGAGGTGGTGGAGAAGAGAACACGTCAGTACATGCCGGGGCTAGCAAGAGGGAGGCTGGAATGGGTGATGGAAGCTCATGGAAAGACGTCGACTTGGCGATGTCTTTTCTCCCCTCTAGCGATGCACTACGTACTGATGATGAGGTCCAAGAGTTGGGCTGTAGAGGAGTAAAGATATATTGTGAGTCATAGTACACAAAGGGGTGGTACTCGGTGCCAAGGCGACTTACTGATCTCGGCCTGGAATCCGACTGTGGTGGTGGTGATGGAACGTGAGAGAATGGCATTGCGAGAATCAGCATTCGAGATCAGTCGCAGCTCGACAGCGCACGGGGAGGGGGCAACGTACAGGTCTCGGGTTGGGCGGCAGACATGATGGGAAGGGTAAGCTGGTGATGAGGGTGGTGGTGCGTGTGTTGTGGTGGTGCGGGGGTGCGATATACTGTGTACGTGTGAAGGGAAAGGGAAAGAGAGCGAGCGAGCCAGCAGCGACCGACCTCGAGCGCGCGTGGCGCCCGAATCGAGCGGAGCCGGGTGGAAGGTGCTGGAACATTTTCCCGAGCTCGCTGATCCGCTCGAAGCCCCTGCTGCGCCTCTCAGAGCCATTAAGCCTTCGACGACATTCGATGACTTCGACACACCTCCGCAAAGATGCAGTAGGATACCGATGATTCTCAGGACTTGAAGTCTTGCTCCACGGTGCTGTAATGCACCACCCCACCTCAAAAAGAGCTGGCCGGGGCTTTCAACGACGAAATTGACAAGCCGCTCGCACGGACCTCTTCGGGAGGACTTCAGCTGCCAGCTCACTCGGACGGTCCGAGTCATGGGCTCGAATTCAAGGTCTTTGCCATGCTGCCCTACTCACAAATTGTGAAGGGCCGGAAGGAAATCGAAATACAGGTGTAGTGATCTGGGTGCAGGGTGCTCTCCTGGCGGCCCCCTGCTGAGCCTTGGCATTTGAATGAGGCCCCTGTCTTTCATCTCGTCCCACCGATCAACGCTGCTGTCACTGGGAATGGATCATGACTTACGTCACCGGCCCCTGTTTTTCTGATTCATGTCACTGGTACTTCACTTCAGCTTCGTCGCTCTCAACACGGAACCTCGGTCAACCATTTTCCACTCCATCCTCGATCTCGGCCGAAGGTTCACCAGCGATTCATAACTTGAGATCGATCATCTTGCTTTCAGCTTCCGAGGCGGTGTAGCGGCATCAAGCTTCTAACTACGTAGCTTCTCGCGGAATATGCTGTTCGGAGAGATGTGCTCCCAAAGTGGTCCTTGGTGGCTGTGTGCTGGTCAAGGTTAAAGATGGCGAGTTATTCGCGGAGACCAGGTGGAGCTCGAGAGCCGTGCACCGCCTCGGAGGGCGGCGAGCGCGGCCTGGTCGTACCGATTGAGCATGACTTTTTTCGGTCGTTCAACATCTGATTTCTCAGCCGATATCGTGACATGTTCTGTCTAAAGCAAAGAGACCATGCGGTTCCTTACTATACCTCTGCGCTTTGGGAGCTCGATAACGAGTCCTGTCAGAGGCTGAGCAGTGAGAGTCGATCTCGTTCCCGCCGCACGGACGGAAACCATCATTGGGCTCTGCTCCTTCCTTGCGTTCCCTCCCCCACCTCGTCACTCCAACCGCGCTCCCTTTTCAAAGTCAAGCAACATCGAAGCGTTCTGTCCTATATCTCATACGTGAGTCAGACTCTTACTTTCTCTAGTGCCACGTTCCCCGTATCCGGATTCCGCTTCTTGCTCGAGGCGCGCGCGCGATCGTGGTCGATGTCGTCGGTCGCCGAAAAGAAGCCATGACAGGGCTACGATCACCTCCCATGATACCCCAATACGACGGAGATGGATTGGGTGCATCTCAGGGACGGTTCAGTATGGGTCTCTGCGACTGGATCTGTGTTGAGGCGGTGGTATCGATCGATGAACACGGGTCCCGTCCTCTCGAAGCGGGTGTCGGACGCGCGTGCGGGCGCGCGAAGGCCCTTCCGCCTTGCCCGCGCCTGCGCCTCGGGACGGAGCCTGGCAGGGCGCGCGCTCCTGCTCGATGATTAATGATCGGTGGGGTGGAAAGGAGATAGGGATCGTAGTGGGGGAACAGGGACGCAATCGTGGGTTGGGCCATGCGGACCTGGTTGGTTCAGCTCTGCTTCCCCTTCCTGCCTCTTTCTTCTCACCCACTCTCATGGTTTCACTGTTCTCGGACTGTCGAGGTCCGCGCTGAACGTATTACCGGACCCCACCCGAACGATCGCTTGTGGCAGTCTTACTCTTCCCGCTGCCTCATTATCGTACTCGTCGACCTCACCTGTCTGTCTTTGATCATCCACCTTCCTTCCCCGACCGGGCTGTTTGGGGCTTGTAGACAATCGTCGCTGACGGCCCAGGTGTTCCACGACACGTCGACTTGGTATCGCGCAGACCGCGCCTCTCTCCGCCTAGCTTGACCGAACAGACCAGCTCTCGTTCATCATGTAAGCACGACGAGTGCAAATACATCCCCTTGCATGGTGAAGCTTACACCTAACATCTCGGTTCACGCTCGTACAGGTGCGGCATCTTTGGCTACGCGTCCTACCTGTGCGAAAAGGTTAGTCAACGTACCCTATCGGCCGCAAACTACTCCAAAGCAGACTGCTGAGATCTTTCCATTCACCCGTGTCACCCTAGGATCGTCGATCTGTGCTCGAGATCCTGCTCAATGGTCTTCAACGCATGGAGTACCGAGGCTACGACTCGGCCGGCCTCGAAGTCGATGGCGACAACCCGGGCGAACCCATGATCTTCAAAGGCGTCGGCAAGGTCCAAGTCCTGAGGAAACACTGCTACGAGTCCAAGGTCGATATGGACAAGGTGTTCTTGAGTCAGACGAGTATTGCTCACACGAGGTAGGTTTTTGAGCAGACGGACACGTGCCTTGGGATTGGGATCTCCGAGGTGTCTGCTCGGTAGTGACTGACAGACGACTTCTGAACGTCTGGTTTGTTCAGGTGGGCCACGCACGGTGTTCCCTCAAGTGAGTCGGAATAGAGGTCTCTTTTGTTCCGTTTCCGTTCCGATCATCTCCGCTGACGTACACATGCCAATCGTTTCAGTCCTCAACTGTCACCCCCACCAAAGCGATGCCTTGAAAGAGTTTACCGTCGTCCACAATGGCATCATCACCAACTGTACGCCATGATGATCTATGACGGACCCAATTCAATTCGTGTTGAAACGTCCCCCGATTTCACCTACAGACAAGGAGTTGCGACTTGTCCTCGAGAAGCGTGGCTACGTCTTCCGCACCGATACCGATACCGAGGTCGCGGCGGTCTTGGCCAAGTACCTGTACGACTCGCAGCAGGGCAAGCAGGTCTCCTTCACGTCGCTCATCAAGAGTGTCATCATGGAATTGGTGAGCTTTCTGGAACCTTATCTGGCATGCCCGAGTGCACGGTCTGATGCTGAGGGCGTCCTGCTTTCGTCTGGACTTGCAGGAGGGTGCATTCGCTTTCGTGTTCAAGTCAGTTCACTACCCGGACGAGGTCGTCATCTGCCGACGTGGTTCGCCCGTCCTGATCGGAGTCAAGACGGAGAAGAAGCTCAAGATCGACTTCGTCGACGTCGAGTTCGCCCCGACCGAATCCGACATTCCCGAGATCCCGGCCAACCCCAATGGGTTGCTCGTCCCCGCCGCCGCTTCCGGTGCCAAGGGTCTGATCAGATCCCAGTCGAGGGCCTTCTTGAGTGATGATGGCATGCCGCAACCTATTGAGTTCTTCATCGCTTCTGATGCGTCGGCGATCGTCGAACACACCAAGCGAGTGTTGTACCTCGAGGATGATGATATCGCCCACATTGCGGAAGGAGGTGAGTTACGAGTGGTATCCCTTAGACGAGACTGCGATGACCGACCTGCGTCACCACACCTGCAGAGTTCCATATTCACCGACTCCGCCGCGACGACGGTGTTTCGGCGATTCGTGCGATCGAGACGCTCGAGATCGAGCTCGCGGCGATCATGAAGGGGCAGTTCGACCACTTCATGCAGAAGGAGATTTACGAGCAACCCGAGTCGGTCGTCAACACGATGCGAGGACGCGTCAACTTTGACACGCACACCATCATGCTCGGTGGTCTCAAGGCGTACCTGCACGTCATTCGACGGTGCCGAAGGATCGTCTTTGTCGCTTGCGGAACGAGTTACCATTCGTGCTTGGCCGTGAGTCGGAGATGCATGCCTACATCTCCCGAGAGGTGTCCTGTACTGATGCAGTGAATTGCCACGAGGCTCACAGACGCGTTCCATTTTTGAAGAGTTGACTGAGATCCCCGTCTCCGTCGAGTTGGCGTCTGACTTCCTCGATCGCAAGACGCCCATCTTCCGTGACGACGTGTGCATCTTCGTCTCACAATCCGGCGAAACGGCCGACACGATCCTCGCGATGCGTTACTGCCTCGAGCGAGGCGCGCTCAACGTCGGTGTCGTCAACGTCGTCGGGTCGACCATCTCGCGTGAATCGCACTGCGGTATTCACGTCAACGCCGGACCCGAGATCGGCGTCGCCTCAACGAAGGCCTATACCTCGCAATACATCGCCTTGGTGATGATGGCGATCCAATTGAGCGAGGATCGTCTCTCGATGACCGGTCGACGAAATTCCATCATCGACGGTCTGCACGAATTGCCCGGTCAGATCAAGCAGATCCTGTTGCACGACAAGGAGTTCCAGGCGTTGGCGCAGCAGACATTGGCGAAGGAGCGGTCGTTGCTGATCATGGGGCGAGGGTACCAACACGCGACCTGCCTCGAGGCGGCGTTGAAGATCAAGGTCAGCTCAAGTGCGCATTGCTCGGTCATGAAGAGGCCTCTGCTGATGCCAGTTTACGTGCTTTCCTCGCCCCTCAGGAGTTGACATATATGCATTCGGAAGGCATTCTCGCTGGCGAGCTGAAACACGGGCCTTTGGCGCTCATTGACGAATCGTGAGTCGGCGCCCTAAATGACGTGATGCGGCGCTCGGCCGCTGACCACAAGGATCTGCGTCCACACTTCTGCAGCATGCCCGTCATCTTGATCATGACTCAGGATTCGCTGTACGCCAAAACGCGTTCGGCGTTGGAGCAAGTCACTGCACGCAAGGGAGCGCCCATCATCATCGCCAACGACACCGACACGTCGCTCGACAGCAAGGTGCACCGCGTTATCCGCGTGCCGCGAACGGTCGACTGCCTGCAGGGCTTGCTCAACATCATCCCCCTTCAATTGCTGAGTTACCACATGGCCGTCTCGAAGGGATTCGATGTCGACTTCCCAAGGAATTTGGCCAAGTCGGTCACTGTGTAAGTCGTGTCCCGCGTCGCCGAGAGCCCGAGGTTGAGTAACGCACTGACGAGCTGGCTTGCCTATCTTTCGACAGCGAATGATTTCAGATCGGCGCTCAAGCATTCTCTTCTAGAAACGGACACATATGTTTTTCATCCCTTCGACTGCCTCTACCTTTGTCTTCTTGCACATGATCGTTGTGGGGCTCTACGTCCCTATAGCACCCTTCAACCCCTTTACATCTCCTGTGTCCGTTGCCCTGTTCTGTCTATGATTGTTCCATCTACTTCCTCATCTCGTGCAGCCATCCTGTTATCGACCATCTCAAATTATCATCGTTTGGGCCTTCTTCAGCTATGCTATGCTAGGGTATTACCCCTCCCTTCCGTCTTCTCCTTCCTCTCTTTGTTTGTGATCGGGCCTTTTACACAGGTCCTCCTCCTTACCTCGTGCACTGCTGTTCTTTTTTTTTTTACTTCCACCAAGTCGTCTATCCTGCAATTTCTTCATCCAACTTGTTCCATCCAACTTGTTCCTTACTCAAAACACCAAAAATCGAAACAAAATCAAGATCAGATGAGAGAGTCGCAAGGTGAAGCCTGAGGAATAATAAAAAATGGATTCCCAGCAGGATCACGTAAAACGGTCGGGCCGCCGCGCGCCAACCTAAAAATGACTCCTCTTTACGATTTGGGCCACGCGGGGGAACCGACCTTACAAAGTCCGAATTACGGAAGGGCTTCGGGCATGGATTGTGAGGACGTAAACAACGCGACAAGCCATACAGAATGGCGGAATATGCTCATAGTCACGTCCTGATCTATTTGCAGGCATAGTTTGGAGCCTAACTTACGCTTCCGCGTCGAAGCACTTGATCTCGGTCGGTCGGGTACAGCTTCAGATGAGGAAGAATGTCCGCTACCGAGCGAGGATCGGGGGAGACGTCGGGGTGGGGGGGGCTGGGAGGGAGACTGCTCGGGGGCCAATCGTAGGCGCGTGGCCGCGTCAAAAGTCTACGACAAAAACTTATGGACAAAATCACAAAAGAGACCAGCGCGCGCGCCAGTTCGTTCTGCCAGGTCTGGACAAAAAGGACCAAAATGCCCCCAGGCGCGCGCGAGTAATCGAGATAATCCTCACATGACCCACGCAGTATTCAAAGAAGGTCGAGAGATGACCTCGGATAAACAACAGCAAATCATGTAATAGTTAGCAGGACGATGCATGTTAATGAATGACGCTGATGATGAGGATTGAGCGTGTTCGAGTCGACCTAAACCCCCTGTGCGACCGATGAGGACGAGGGGGAATGTCGCACGAGCTGACTCGCCATACTTGGACGTCTTGTGAGCTTCCCCAGCTTATCGAACGGACACTCCAAAGCCCAGCATCCCGTCTTCCAGAGCTAGACGCGAAGTAGAGCCGAGGCTTGCAAGCTTGGAAGGCTTTTCGAGGTCGATCACTTACTCTACCCCAAACACGTGCAGTGCAGATCCTGTTCGAAAGGCGGATCAAAGCGTGGCCGCTCTCGACGGGAGATGGGTCCAAGTCGATATAATGCAGACTGACGAACTTGGGACAGTGTCCGAGTAGCAAAGTGAGCACCGTCAGATCGAGGGAGCTCGAAGTGGTCGAGGCGACCTCCTCTGTGCGACCGATGAACCGCCCGGGAACTGGCCGCAACGTCGCTGACTCTTCATGCCGCATACTGTGCCATTGATCAATCCTCGTGGATCGTGGTCTTCGCCCTGTTCGCCTTTTCCACTCGGATCGACGCAGTGCATTCGGCGGTGGGCGAAGGAAGGGGTTCCGCAGCCGGAAGCAGGTCGCGGGAGGTTGATTCAATCCGAGCGTGCACGAGGATGCATAGCTGTGCAATGTCGTGCAAAGACGTTTGACTGGGAGAGAACGAGTATGCAGTGCACCTTTACACTCATGCCCTCGTAAGCAGGGATGACGGAGGCTGGAGTACTCGTTTGCCAGCGACCGCGACTCCGCCGGTTTCGCGTCATCGAGTGGGGGTGGGTCAAATACTCAACCTGAAAGCGATTTTGCCGCGGACGGCGAAATTGGCAAAAACTGGCATAAAGCCTCAACCTGCGCGTGGCAGCCTGTCGGTCGCGGGTGTCACATGTTCTCGGCGATGGATTGACACATTCACCTTGACTAACCCCTCCCCCCACCCCTTCAGGGCCTCCAACTGCCCTCACAATTCATCACCCGGCCGTCGTCGCGAGAATGTGTCATCGTCTCTTTCGCTCCTCCCTTACCTCATCTCTGTGGCTTGTTGCCGGCACATCACTTGGAGAATTTCGACGATGACGACCACGGACGATACCGCACGATCCGATTTGGGAGTCGCTACACCTTCCGCCGTTCGACTGGACAACTCGAGTGAGCGGAGAATCGACTCGGCGGGCCCGAAAGCGCACGCGGCGGACGACGAGGCCTCCCCCCGGCCAACGCCAGCAGCAGCGGTGGTCCCTTTTTGAGCGGCAACGGTTCCGTTTCGAGTCACAGCGACCAGACTTTACGGAACGACTCGACCGATCTCGAAGCACAACAAAAAAGCAGGGTTTCGTCGGAGAAGCCGCTACCGTCGTCACAAGCGGCGGGTCCAGCCGCATCGGGGGCAGGGGATCCGTTTCTGGTCACGCTCAAGGGGCGCGAACATCTCGATCCGCAGACTTGGTCCGAACCGTGGAGATGGGTCATCACGGCGTTCGCCGGTCTCTTGGTTCTGAATGCAGGTGCGTTTTCTTTTTTTGCCTCTGATCCAACGAGATCTCGGTTCAAATGCGACCGCACAACGATGTGACAAGGTCAGGCTTGGCGCCGAAAGTGATCTCGGGGAGGAGGCGAGAAAGAGCTCCCAAGCTGTCATTCGGCACCAGTGTACGCTTTGACCTTGGAACAGTTTGGGCTGATGTGCTTTTCGGACTACCACCTCCCTTTTTTTCTATCAAAATTTGCAGCTTTCGCCTCTTCTGCACCATCAAACTTGATCCCGAGCATCATTCGCCATTATAACGTGTCGGGAGAGGTGGGCGTGCTCTTGATCTCTAGTCAGTGCCGAGTTCCCCAATACTACGGCTGCCAAATCGGACAGGTCATTACCATCACTCAGCTCATCACCATCAATCACCTTGTTCTCGCTTCCTTCTCACAGTATTCGTCGCCGGTTACTGCGTCGGCCCTATTCGTACGTGATTGGGGCTCGAGTATGTTCCCCACGTTCGAATATAATTGACACCTGTATCGACTCATTCCTTGCTGCACCACAGTGTGGGGCCCTCTGTCCGAGCGATATGGGCGACGAATAGTCATGTTCATTGCTTGGGCCCCGTACGTTGCGTTCCAAGTTGGGTGTGCTCTCGCTCCGAATATTGGATCCCTCCTCGTCTTCCGCTTCCTCGGAGGTTGCTTTGCCGCCGCGCCGCTGACAAACTCGTGAGTCACCGTGAGAGTGTCACTCGACGCCAAGGTCTCAACCGCTTTTCTGAACACCGTCTTCCGGAATCTATCACGCAGTGGTGGTGTTATTGCCGACTTGTGGAGCGCCGACAAGCGCGGTGACGCTCTCGCCTTCTTCTCGCTCATGCCTTTCGCTGGACCGGCCTTGTCTCCTATCATCTCCGGGTTCATGGAAGTGACCAAGACCAACTTTCGGTGGATTTTTTGGGTGCTCACTATTTTCGCTGGTGTATGCTTCGTGTTCATAAGCCTGCTGTTGCCCGAAACGTACGTGCCTTACCTGTTGCATCTCGAAGCCAAACGCCTGCGCAAGGAGACGGGTGACGATCGATGGCACGCGCCGATGGACGACAAGAAAGAGACCACGAAGGAAATGCTAGACCGCACAATTTATAAACCATTCAGGATGGCGGGTCAGTCACTTTCAATCGGATTCGAGATACTTGTGTTAGCCTGCTGAGTCCTGACCAGTTTCATCTCTCCTCTGCGTTCCATAGCGCAAGAGCCGATGCTCTTGTTGCTTTCAATCTACATGAGTCTCGGTGAGTGCTCACGCGCAGGTGGGGGCAGTCTCGAGTTTGGACTTATGCCGGGGCTCCTTTGTGACTGTGCTACTGCAGTCTACGGTGTCCTCTACCTCTTGTTCGAGGGTGAGCTCTCACTGCCGCCCGCCGCTTGCCGCGCTCTACTACTTACTGACCTGTTCTGAGATTTGCTTCTGGACGTGATAGCCATACCGATCATCTTTGAAGTGAGTTGGCATGCCATAACTTCACAAGAGCTTGAGGCTAATTTTTGGTCCCACTTATTTCCATACTGCCAGACACAACATGGCTTGAACCCCGGCGAAAGCGGTCTTGTCTTCCTTGCGCTCTTGGGCGGGGGAGTGGCGGGCGTGTTTGGCTACGTCTTCTACATCAACCCCCAATATACGGCATACCATCACTCGTTGAATGGAAAGCCGGTCCCTGTACATTTCTTGACTCTGTATCATTTAGTTGTTGCCCGCCGAGGCTGACAGGCCCCCTTCTGTTGCCAGCCCGAGTTCCGCCTCAAACCCCTGAAGTTCGCGGCTCCTCTCTTCGCTGTCTCCTTCTTCTGGATCGGTTGGACTTCGTACCCGAGCATCAATATTGCGTCTCCCATCCTCGGCATCTTCCTGCTCGGCGTCACGATCCTCTACATATTCCTGGGCATCTTCAATTACCTGATCGACACCTACCTGATGAACGCCGCCTCGGCACTCTCGTTCAATACTGTGTGCCGTTCTTCGTTCGGTGCAGCGTTTCCGTTGTTTGCTACACGTTCGTGGCTTCCCTACAGATATGTGTTGCAGAATATACATCGAGACTGACCGCCGCATCGTCGTCTTCACCCTTCATTTCAGAAATGTTCAAGAAGCTCGGCGTTCCGGGCGCTTCAAGTCTGCTCGGTGGTTTGGCTATCTTGTTCATCCCCGCACCTTTCCTGCTCTACAAATACGGGAAGAAATTCCGCATGATGAGCAAGAACGCTATCGTGCGACCGAACGAGGATTGAAGATGTCGGACCGCAGTCTTTTTTTCCCATCTGTATAGGTGGTAAAGACATTCGTTTGATCGGCTACGAGACTGTACCACTCTTTCACGTATAAAGTCATTAGTTTCAGTAACCCTCCTCTCGACTGATAAATAGGTTTCTGCTCATTGCAATCACTAAACGAACCCGCTAATCTTGTAGAACTATCTTTCGGTAAGGAATCAGCGTCCCACCTTGTTATCACCCCGGCATGCCCTGTATTTCAAACAGCGAGCGAGAGGGCCGAGATAACGGTTGCGGATGGCACTAGACGGCGCAATTCGTAGCGGCTGTACCACTTGGACTGCAATGATCACAAGAGCTAAGGTCGTCGGTTACTACACAACACCACAGTGCAAGAAATTCCTGGTGCCACAACTCCTGTGCAAACCGACCTTTTTTGGTGGGAATCAACGAATGAAGCGAGCAGAGCTCGACAGCGCTCGCAGCGAATCGACTTCGGCATGATTGCCAACCGTGAACGAGAGGAGCCTAGTGCGAGGATAGAGCAAATTTTTCAGCTCGTCGGTCTCATAAGAGATGTTCGGACCTCGTATTCGAGCCCTATCTGGCACAGTTGCTACTGCAATGCGCAAATATAGCTGAGGAGCCGCCACTTCATGAGCGCAAGAGAGAGAGAAAACCAGGCACCACTCTCCCCTAGCTTATCTACCCATCTACCTAGATCCACTTAAAAGATTGCACCACAAACACCTCCATCAAATAAAAATCGCGCACGCGTGCGCGCAAACCTTTCTTTTCCCCCACGGTCCGGGAGGTTGGGGCGAAGCTCGCGACGGAATCTCGCAGGGAGGTTGTAAGGCATCCTTTCTGTAAGGCATCCCCTTACGGTGTAAGGCATCCTCCCTAAGGCCTTACACCGTAAGGGGATGCCTTACAGAAAGGATGCCTTACAAGAGGTGGGCGCATAGCCCTAGTGATAAGCTTATAATGGGCAGACCCGATCCGCACGTACGAGCGGAATCATCCGCATTCAGTAGTAGTAAACTTGCTGTTGAATGGTGGGCAGTTTTTTTATTTTTTATTTAATAGATTTCAGCAGTAGCTGGTAAGCGACTCAGCGAGGCTTGAATTCCGTTCGAGACACGGACCAGATGCCCAATTCCCAAGCTCTGATCGAGAAAGTCGGCTCATTATTTCGCATCGAAAGGTTGCACATGCCAAGATGCCGCAAACCGCCACTTATGAGACTCGACAGTCGAGGAGTTTGTCGGTCGCGTGATTGGCAGCTGGTTGCGTCGGTTCGGTTGCACAAAAACCGGCGATGATATCAATCTGTGCAGATTGCCGATTCTCCTCTCGCTGCAGCTTATTGTGCCCGTTAGCCGCGCATCCCATCCGCGTTGCGAAGAGCGGCGGCGATTTCAAGTTGGCATGGGCCGGTGCAAGCTGTTGCAGCAAGGAGGATGGCATGCGGTAGAGAGATCATTTCTTGTGGCAGCAATTGGCCTATATTTCAATTTTCTCAAAATTCACAGTTTTTGTTTTCTAGGGCACTCCAAGCTGCTGCAGCAACGATCGAGTCCAGGGCCGAGCCGCCCGAGAAGCTGTCGCGGTTTTGCCAAGCCCGCGCGGGCACAAGAGGATAAGCCAAATGCAAGGACCCTGGATTCGGGCGATTTTGGACCGAGTGGAACTTTGTATGAGCCCCGTGGCTCGATGGCGGCCCCGGGCCCAAGCCGGAACGCAGGCCCTGATGATGATGATTCACTCGGACCACATCGCAGGGTTCAGTAAGTGTAATAAAAGGCCTGGTGGAAACGAGTTTGGAGGACCGCCCAAAATCAAATAACAAGTTGGACTTGCCGACGGCTTGGTGCGACTACGGCCGAGGCTGGCGGGCGGGCGGTCGAGTCTGGCCAGCCGGCAAGCAGGCCGGCAAATGCCCCTTCATCAAATCGTCGCGAAACCGATGATGTCGATGAACGCCCCGTCGCCACAGACTCCGTCTTTTCCAACTTGCCTCTGTGCTCGACTTCGTTCACTCTTGTCCGCTCTCCCTTCTCGACCATAGCAACCGAACGAAAACAATCATGAATGTCAAAGACGAAGAGAAGACGACCGGCAGCTTGCACGGTGCTGATGGAGTTGGCGCTGAGAAGGTGTTTGTCGACAACGCGAGCACCGTCTCGAACGAACGGTTCGCGACCACCTCGGCGCAGCACAGGACACTAGGTTAGTTCGTGGAACGCCAGAGAAACTGAGCAGTATCCTTCGTAGCTGGTAACTGACCTTCGCCGCCCTCAACTTCACCCAGAGTCATATGTACGTGGGAATTCGGCCCTTGCACTGGTGGTCGGTCGGGGGTGCCTGCCCTACCCTCCTGTCGTCTCGCTCGCTGCCTCGCCCTCGGATACCCCGGGCTTGATACAAAAAAAAAAGCAGCGCTCTTCGATCGCTCATCTCATGGGTCCAAGCGCCCGCGATCGAACCGCCCGCGATCGAACCGCCCTTGCGATCCACAGTACTGACCCGCTTGTCCCATTCGACAATCTACCGATAGCATGTCAACCTCATCGCTATTGGGGGCACAATCGGAACGGCCATTTTTGTCTACATTGGCGCCGGTCTGACCGCGGGAGGACCGTTAATGTTGCTGCTCGCGTGAGTCCTCTCGCAGCCTAGCACGGGCCTCGCGAACGATGCCTCTCATATCTGCACATAGACTCGAGAGCGACAACTGAACCTTGAGCTTTCTTCCCCTTCATAGCTACATCTACTGGGCCAGCGTCATCTTCATGATCGCCGAACTGCAAAAGGAGATGGTGTAAGTGCATCTCCGTCCAATGCCGTGAAGCCCTGTCGTCGCACGAGCTAATCTCGAGAGCATTCTGCTCCCGTTTAGCTGCCTGTGGCCGACCGATGTCGCCTTTGCCCGAAACGCTTCGCGATACATCGATGATGCCGCCGGGTTTGCGGCCGGTTACAACTTTGTACGTGGTGGTGGCAACCGCAAGCTCCGAGTCGCAGACGTGATCGTTTCGGCGAGTAGGGCTCTCCAGACTGACCTCGCGTGTGATTCTCCGACTTGGACAATTTGCAGTGGATCTCTCAAGTCGCTCTTGCCATCTTTGAAATCGTCGCCTTTGGAGTCGTCATTGGGTTCTGGGAGAGTACGCGGCGAATTAGCGTGAGTCACCCCTGATCGGCTGAAAAAAACCCTCGTCTACAGGATGTTGACCCGCATGGTACGAATCCCCTAGGCGGCCGTCTTCATTTCGATCCTCATCGTCGCCTACATCGCTCTCAACATTTGGAACACGCGCTTCTTCGGAAACGCCGAGTTTGGCTTCGCCATCGGCAAAGTCTTGTTGATCACCGGTCTTCTGCTCTTCACCTTCATCGCCATGCTCGGCGGTAACCCCCTGCACGATCGATTCGGCTTTAGGTACTGGAAAAATCCTGGTAGGTCAAATCTCAGACGTGATCGACCCGAAGAAGTGGGTGCTACCCTCCGGATCAATCCGCTAATCTGGAGATGACTCATTGCGCAGGCATGATCACGACTCCTTACCCCGACCATCCCACCGGCGTCGGCAAATTCGAGGGCTACCTCGCATGCCTCACGAACGCTGCGTTCACGATGGCAGGTCCTGACTAGTGAGTGCATACATCTCGAGGAGCTTGGATATAACCTCGACGGCGCCGAGCGTTGACGACTTCTGGCTCGATCACTTTAGCCTGTCCATGGTCGCTGGCGAAGCTCGAAACCCTCGCCGCACGATGCATCGCGCCTTCAACTCCACGATCTACCGTCTCATCATCTTCTTCATTGGTACTGTTCTGGCCGTCGGCGTCCTCTGCCCCTACAACGACTCGGGATTGATCTCTGCGCAAAAGGCCAGTGCCCCCGGTGGTGCTCGCTCGCCTTACGTCATCGCGATGAACCGCATGATGATCCCCGTCCTCCCCCACATCGTCAACGGTCTGATTCTCACCTCGGTCTTCTCGGCTGGTAACGCCTACATCTTCACCTCGTCGCGAGGACTGGCCCAAATGGCTCGTGATGGCCAAGCGCCCAAGTTATTTGCCCGCAGGAACAGAAACGGTGTCCCCTCGATCGCGGTCGGTTTTTGCATGCTCTTGTGCCTGCTCTCGTACTGCCAGGTCTCAACGTCGGCCCAGGTCGTCATCAAGTACCTCACGAACCTGGTCGCGTCGTCGCAATTGGTCAACTGGATCTTGTTGGCTTTCACCTGGATCCGATTCAACGCCGCGCACAAGGCGCAGGGAATCTCGCGCGACTCGCTCCCCGTTCGATCGCACTTCCTTCCATTCGGTACGTCACTCATCAAAGATCTGGTCAAAAGACCACTGGAGTTCACTACTGATCAGCTGGTTTTTTGGGTGTGTGTAGGTGCTTGGTACGCCTTCATCTCGTCGATTTTCGTCTTGCTCATGCAAGGTTACTACGTTTTCCTATCGGGTGCATGGGACATCTCGGCCTTCTTGTTCGCCTAGTGAGCTCTAATTTGGGCACGTGTTAAAGCTATACAGCAGATGACTGATCCCTCTTGCAACAGCATGATGCCAATCCTCTTCATCGCCCTGTACTTGGGCTGGAAGATCCTCAAGCGCACTCGCTTCTATCGAGCCAGCGAGGTCGACATTCTCTCGTTCAAATACGATGCTGAATTCACCGAGCATATCGAGTACGATCAGGAGCGTTCCAAAGTCGGTCTTTTGGTTCACCGTGCGCTTTCGACCATGTTCTGAGCTACGAGCTCGTGAGGAGGCTTCGCTGTTGGCTGTATTCTACATATTGGGACTTGTCATACAGGAGAATCATGTAACAATTTGTTCACATATACTTTTTGAAGAGTGCATTGTAGCTCACGATTGCAATTATTCACCTCAAGACACCAAGACTTGAAACTCATTGACCGGATTCACAGAGTACATTCGCAACGCCAAAGAGATGGATCATGCAGATATCAAGGATCTTTCTGACAAGAGTCGACCTTCTTCACTTCTTCAAGAACTTCATCCCCAGCCCGATCATGTTCTTGTGCGATAAAGCACCACCCTTACCGCCCTTCTCTTCCTCTTCGCGTTTCCATTCTGCGATCGGAACAAGAGTGGTCCAGGATCCGTTAGCTGATTAATCTGGGGTCGAATTCCATGGCAAATTTCCTTACCTTCCATTGCCAGACCAGTCGCAATGATGGTGAAAAGCTCGGTTTGGGCGTAGAACTATAGAGAGAGATAGGAGCTCAGCATCCGAAATTTGCAGCTTGCTGAGCAAGTGCACCTCCGTCTTGGCCACAGAAAGAAGGATGCGACATACGGGACTGATGAGGATCTTGCCGTCCTTGCCGTAAGAATAGCTCTTCTCCCATGTCGCGGCGATGTGACCCGTTTGAAGGTCGATGCACTGTTGCGCGCGCGAGGCAAGGATGATGCAGCATCAGCGTCACTTCGACGAAGCCTCTTCCTATTCCCGATAAGCCAGATGTTTGGATTCACCTTCATCGCTTGGCTCAAAGGCCCATCCCCCTTCCACTTGAATTTCCGACCACCCAAACCCGTAAAATCATGCGCCTTCGAAATCAAACTCGGGCGAGCAAGGACGGTCTTGAACGGTTGTCCCGAAGGGAGGGTGAAGGTGAGAGTGATGTCGTCTTTCTGAAGTCCATAGGATGATTTGGTTAGAGTCGCGAGGAGAGCTCCATCGCGGGATGTGTGGTGGAGGGCTAGGGACCAGGAGGAATGGAGGGGCGTATGGGGGAAAGAGAGGTAGAAACTGAATGGTGTGAAAAGGGGTCGTGCACATTTGTGAACCAAGTCAGTTTATCCCGATGCACGCGCCCTACGAGAAAACGATGTAACTCACATAGGATTCCCTTGAGCATCCAAGACAACGTCATCTTTGCTGAATAGTCCTCCGGCCTTGTGGACGTGAAACTCGAGGGGCGTTCCGTTCGTATAGATGTCTACATGCTCGATCGGGCCTTTGACGAATCAGCACCAGCAAGTATTGCCAATTTACGGCGTTGATCGTCGATCGAAGGGAATGAAAGTCAAACAAAAGGAACTGACCTCCAACAATGTTCACCTTCGCCAAGGCATCCGCCTGCCCCTGCAAAGCCGTCGCTAACGTCGCTCCTGTCTTTCCCCCACGCTTGTTCAGTTGTTCCTTGACTTTATCGACGTTGGCTTGCAAAGTCGAGACTTTGGAAGCGGAGCCGGGGGTTGTTGGGGAGGGAGTAGTGTGTTGGGATCCCGCTTGAGGAGGGACGGAGAGTTGGGAGGTTTGAACGCCCACGTGAGGGTTTGGCGAAGGGGCCGAGGGCAAGGTGGGGGCGGCAAGTTGCTGGTGGGAAGTGGCAGCAGGATCGGCCACGCAGGGAGGAGCAGGACTGGGGATGGGGGGTACATTCGATCCCACTCCTGAGGGAGAAATTACAGCTTGAGCTGTTGGAAGAGCATTGTTGGGGTAATCAGTGCGGGTCAAGTGCAGAAGTGGGGGCGGGCGCCGAGGACGTGAGTACGTTCAGGAACCAAGTCGCCACAGGGATCTCGATCACGTGCGCTCCGTCTCAGGCTGGACTTACGAGGAAGCGGGGTGGTCATTCGATGTGTTCTTGGGTTGGGGTGGCTTTCGATTGTTCAGACAAGTGGAAGAGTGCGAATGAGAAAGAAGTGAAGAGAAAGAAGAGAAGAGAACACTCACAACTACACCAGCTTGATCAAGTGAGGAATTTGTGGAGCGTGCGCAAGCGGTTCCCACGATTTCTTCACGGAGGAAATGAAAACACTGGGCTCTAGAAGCAATGGGAGACCTGAACGTTCATTCACGGGGGAAGTGGCTGTATTGAGAAGTTCCCTCGTGATACGGAGAGTGACGGTTGATTCCGATTGGAGAACCGACCTTTCGGTAGGTGCATCGTCAAATTCAGGTCATTCTGTCAACCGGCCACCGGACCTCGACGCGCGTTGTGGCTGTGCCCCCCTGTCAAGTAGAGCTTCGCGAACCGGTTCTCACCCTGCACAGCCCCTCAGCACAGTCTTGTCTGTCTACAATTGGCTCTGAGAGATGGGCCCTTGCTTGAATTGATCAATGGAATGTCTTGCTGGGGGTTGGCGCATGCCGTAAGAGTCTGTGTAGTAGGCAGCTGCTAGCTGGATCTACGTGCGTGAAATTTGAATCCGTCTAGAAAAGAGCTCTGACTCAGATCGAGCATCAAAACGAAAATTGTAGTTCAGCTCAAACCATCCAGAGCGTGTAGAAAGTATGAAGCAACAATAGGGAGAGCAGCAAAGCAATAGGGACTCGGAGGGCACCTGTAGTGAAGGGGTCTCACGTTTTCGCACCCGTCTCCGTCTGAAGCTCCTCACTCGGCTCGTTGTACGTCTCAACGAATAGCTCTCTGTGTTCCTCCCCATTCTTCCTATATACCATCTACGTAATTTGGCTGGCTTGATATGCACTGCAATGCTCGTTTTGTTCACGAGTTTTTGACTCCGAGCTCGATCTGTTCCAGGCGTAATCACGCAGGAGGCCCGGGCGACTCGGTCTTCTTCAACGCGGCAGAATCATCGGATCCGTTCGTGTTGCGTGGCCCTTGGCTAGTTCGTGGTGCACCTTCTCGCACTTGAAGTCAATCGCCATCGTCAACACGAGCGTTGTCCCGCGGTAGACATAAACCAGGGCATCGCTCTCAGTTCGGTCCGTTCGTCCAATCTCCGAGAACAATTCCAACGAGTACGGGTCAATCTTAGTAGTGCCGGCTGCTCCAGCTTCAGCTTCGATCAGGTATGCGTAATGATCGAGCAAGTCCCGCGTTGCAGCTCGAAGGTCGAATGTGAAAAAGCTCGCGAATGCGCGATCCACATCGGTTTCGAAGGTGCGAGCGAGGGCACCTAGGATCCATCTGGGCGAGCGCGGCGATCTTAACCTCGAAGAGCGCGAGAAGAGTTGTGTATTGCAGGAGCACATTGAAAAACGATTCAATGACCTTTCTTGCAGGAGATGACGCCTCGTCCCAGCACATTCCCGCCCCCCCCCCCCAAGCGGGGAGGGAGACGGGAGGAGGAAGATGCAGACGGGATAGCAGCCGCCTTAAGACTCCTAGCACTGTCATTTCTGGGAGCTTCAAGCCGAAAGTTAATGTCAAAGTATATTATTGCTATTTTTGAATAAGAAACCCTGAACGAGAGCGTTTTGTTCTCCTTTCTGGCACCCAAGAAAGAAGACAGAGAGAAGAAAGGGGAGGGGGGGGGTAAAAGGGTCTATAAAATGGTTCCGCGTTGCCATCCACAACTTCCAATGCGACGCTGAACAAACCCAAAAAGTTTCGCAAGACAAGAGACGACCAGGCCAAGCAGAAATTATTATGTAAGCGGGGCTTGGGCCATGTAAGTGACTTAGGGAAGGGCTGTCCTGAGTTTCGTGAATGGGGTTTTTCTTTCATTGCTCGGATCCTCGCAAGACGTAGGTTCGACGGTGCTTCTCGTCGTTCTTGACGAGGTAGTAGGTGCCTTCCGCGATGTCCTCAATCTTGCCGTCGGGTGTCCAGTTGTCGATGTTGTGTTTGTGTTCTCGGAGCTACAAGACGAAAGAAAAAGGGTTCATGCCACTTAGTATGGCTGACACGTGAGAATAACTAGTGGCCGAACTGTGAGTATCGACTTACCTGAAGAGCATCAAGATACTCCTGGCAGGACCTGACCTCAGTCTTGCCCAATCGCTGCTGCAAGCTCAACTGCATCTGCATCTGCTCCGTCGAGCCCTTGACCTTCAACGAAAAGAACGACGCCGCCAGTCCCGAACCATACGAATACATCCCGATCCTCTTGCCCTGCAATGTCTCGCTCGACACGGTGTCCAACAAGGACGCCAAGGCACCGTACAAAGATGCGGTGTACATGTTGCCGATCTTCCTGGACGTCAACATGCAGGGACCGGTCTTGGCCGCGAAAGGCTCCTTCGAGACGGCCATGAAGGCCTTTTCGACGTTCTTGTCCAAAAGGGTCTTGGATCGGTCGAGATCCTTGAGTTCGGGGGGGACGGAGGCGAATCGCTCGGCCGTCGGGTTCGAGAGGTAGTCGTTGTACATCTGCGGCCACGAGTAATCCACATAGTCAGTTCTCAAGTGAAGGGAGGAAGAACCCGCCTGCGAATTTGTTCTCACCAATCGAGCGAAACCCTTTTGTACGAGTTTGCCATAAGGCGAGTGAAAAGCGAGGTAATCAAAGTCCTCGACCGAGGCGGCGGACATGTCCCCCTTCTTGCCCAGTCGCTGCGCCTCCTTTTGGCGCCAGTGGTCGTACGACTTCTCGAGCGCTCCAGGGTACGAGGTTTGGGTGAGGGGTCCGTCGACTTCGGGGTATTCGGAGGAAAGGTGGGGCTTGTAGAAGTCGTAGCTGGATCAGGAAGAGCTGGAGGTCAGTATCAAGGGTCCAGAATGAAAATTTTGGGTCTACTCACACGTTGGCCATGTGAGTACCGTGAATGGCTGGAAGTGAAGGTGACCTATCAGCACCACAACGGAATGACCGAGCCGGCTTTTCACTCACGTTCCATGACGAGGGGAGCGTTGGGGCCAATGAGCATAGCGACGGCACCAGCACCACCGACGGGTCGAGCGCCTCCAGCGGCGTAGATGGCAATATCACCCGCGACGACGAGGGCGTATCGACCGTCCCAGTTGGACGATTCGACCCAGTTGCACGCGTTGAACAGGGCCGCCGTTCCGCCGTAGCAGGCGTTCTTGGAGTCGAGGCCTTCGATGTCGGTGTTGCCGGGGAAGAGGTCCATGAGGTGCGACTTGACCGACTTGGCTTTGTCGATCAGGGTCTCGGTACCGACGTCGATGCGACCGATCGACGAGGTGGGGACGTTGTACTTTTTGAGGAGCGATGCCGTGGCTGCGAGGGGAAGAGCACACAAGTCAGCTCGGAACCATGGAAGTTTGTTGTGTGACCATGATCGTTTTTTCTGATCGCGTATGTTCGGGATGGCGATAAAGCGGAAGTGTCGGGCCAGGTGTCGGTGGCGCGGCGGAAGTAGATTTCCGACCTGCGGACTTGCTTTGCTTGCGACGAGGCCTCGAGAGTGGGGGAACACGCCGGCGCAGAGGACCGGAAGAATGCGACGACTAGAGCTGGGCCCCGAAGCTCGACCAAGAACGAAACAGGATGATATAGGAAACTGACCGGTCATGAGGAACGAAACAATGTCCTCGCGGTCATCGCAAAAGGTCATCTTTTCCTGGCCGAGTCCGATGGTGTACTTGCCCGCCGAGACGCCGTCGAACTGCTCGAGGTCGACTTGGGAGATACCGCGCATGGGGAAGTACAACTCGATCGCGTCTGGTGGAGGACATCGCAGGTGGGTTGGTAATCATTGCATGCATTTGGCACGGTGCGCGTGGGATCGGGTGCGAGGACGAGGACGAGATTTCGGATGAGGGGGCCACAGACACCAACGCGCGGTTTCGCGGTTGGGTTGGGGTTGGAAACGGAGCGTCGCGTCGAGCGAGCGGTGCAGCGGTGTAGCCGATCCCAAGATGCAATGACACGACGCGGAAAGATCGTCCAGAGGGAATATAGGTGGAGGAAGAAACAGTGGTATCAGTGCTGGACTCGGGTCGGTTGCGTACACGCCCCTGTCCTGCTCGGGGCGTGGAGGGTTCAGTGTCGTACGAGCTCGCCGACTGCGAACCAAGCGCCCCAGCGCCCAAGCGCCCAAGCGCCGCGCGTGGTTGCGACCGACCGCGACGCGCGATCACGCGGAACCACTCACGAATGCCGACATCCTTGGGTCGTTCAGCCGGTCGAGGCTCGAAAGGTTGGAAAGGGGAAGAGGATCCGTTGGCAGACATGATGCGTGGGGGAAAGTGGTATATGTATGCGGTGGGAGAGTGGAGAGAAACGGGACACGACTCACGAGGGACCGCGAAAGGCGGCAGCTCGCCTAATCGATTACAGCTCACTCTAGCTCACTTCGGCTCACTGCGGTATGGCCGAAACGGAATTCCAATTATGAACGCGTCCGCGCGTCCAAGCGCCGCGCGTGCTCGGCTAAACGCGTCCAATTGCCGCGCGCTTTCTGATGGCTGAAATTGGTCCTTACAAACAGGAGAACTTCGGATTCCGTCGTCTCGCGCGCTCCGGCTCCCGCTGCTGCCCATCGCGTCTCGCCCTTCACGCAGCAGCTGTCATAGTCAGTCAGCCACTCTTCTTCGTCACTAGCAGGCTCGCTGTGACTCCGTTCGAGCTTTGGCGCTGCATCGTGTAGAGCTCGACCGCTTGGCTCGCGTCGCCTCTGGCCCCTCCCTGCCTCGACTGTGGGTTGCTGCTGCTGCTGCGCATCTCCAACCAGCTGGCCAGCTCCGGCCTCGGAAACCGCCCGCCGACCCGTCACCGCCAGCATCATCATGTCGAACGACAAGCTGCTGCATCGCAAGGCAGCCATCACATCCCATGCCAACCATCTCAGCCCTCAAAGCCAGGTCATTCCTCCAAAGTACGATGACGTACCTTCCGACACGCAACCTCTGATGGCCGCAACATCGGCATCGACTGCGAGCAGCTTGACCTTGCAGCGTGGACGTGAGCGGGACGACGACGGCCTCGCTTGGAGGGATAGCAGCACCAACCCAGCTCGAAGAAACACCGCGTCCAAGCCTTCAAGCGTGAGTTCTACCTCCGTACTCATCTGTGTGATTGGGAGCTCCAAGTGGGCGTTCCAGAAGGCTGAACTCAGAATGCTTTCACCCTGCGCTATGACGTTGACGTGTCCGCCCGCACCTTTGGCGATTAATCGCACTCGAATATTTTTCGCCTCACCCGTAGTCCCCGGATCACTTGGCCAACACCAACGCCAGGGTCGAGTGGGTCGTGTTGGGCCTCATATTTATCGTCTCGGCAGTGTTGAGGTTCTGGAGGATCGGTCATCCCCACAGTGTAGTGCAAGTCATGCTCGCTTTTCCTCTCACCGCAAAATCTGCTTCAGTCCAGCTGACCTCGCGCTAGTCGACTTGCAGTTTCGATGAAGTCCATTTCGGCAAATTCGCATCCTATTATCTGCGGAGAGAGTACTTCTTCGATGTGCACCCCCCTCTGTACGTCATCTGTGGCTGCACGCCTTTCTAGCCGACGATACTGACCCCTACTCGGTACATTAGCGCCAAGCTCTTGCTCGCTTTCGCCGGCTGGGTCATCGGCTACGACGGCGCGTTTGAATTCGAAAACATCGGCGACGACTACATCAAGAACAAGGTCCCTTACGTCGCTTTACGATCGCTCCCGGCTTTGTTGGGAAGTTTGGTCCCTCCGGTCGTGTACGCCATCATGAGGGAGAGTGGGTACCCCAAGGTCATTGCGCTCCTTTCGGCTTCGCTTGTCCTCTTCGGTGAGTCGTAACCAGGTGTGTGATGCATTGCGATAGCGGTGCCCCTGATGCTGGTCATCTAAACACACACCCAGACAACGCCCACGTCGCCCAAACTCGATTAATCCTTCTCGACGCACCCTTGGTGTTCTTCATGACGCTCGCTTTTTACTGCTACATCCGCTTCCACAAATTACGCTACAAGTGGGTGACATACTGCACGGGAGACAACGGGTCATGATTTTTTTTGCTGATCAATCATCTTCTCACGCCAAACAGCGAATTCACCAAATCGTGGTGGACATGGATGATCTTGACGGGCGTCTTCTTGAGCTTGACCATTTCGTGCAAAATGGTCGGATTGTTCGCCTTCTTGACCGTCGGGACGTGCGTCTTGATCGATCTCTGGGGATTGCTCGACATCAAGCGAGGGCATACACTCGTGAGCACATATGGATGCGATTATATCCCGAAGATTTTGACGCTGAAGGGCGCATCGTTGTCAATAGGAACACGTCGTCAAGCACTTTGCTGCGAGAGCATTCGGACTGATCGTCGTTCCTGCCATCGTCTACCTCTTCTGGTTCTGGGTCCACTTCAAGGTACTCAATCGCTCCGGAACCGGTGACGAATTCATGTCGTCAGCGTTCCAACAGACCCTATTGGATTCCCCCATGACGCTCACCGCAAAAGAGATCCACTACTTTGATACGATCACATTACAACACCGAACAACCAAGGCGTTCCTCCACTCGCACCCCGATCGATACCCGCTCAAATACGACGATGGGAGGATCTCGAGTGCGGGTCAACAAGTCACGGGCTACCCTTTCAACGATACCAACAACCATTGGATCGTCGAGCCGACGCGCGAGATCCCCGAGTCTGGACGGGGCCGCATCGTCCGACACAATGATATCATCAAACTGCGCCACGTCGTGACCAACACGACCTTGTTGACCCACGACGTCGCATGCCCGACCATGGCGACCAACACCGAATTCACGACCTGGGACGGCGTCGACCTCGCCGCCGAACCCAACACCCATTTCCAACTCGAGATTGAAGAAGCCCACGAAGGGTCGCAGTGGATGTCCAAGTCGAGTCATTTCAAATTGATTCATGTACCGACGCGTGTTGCGCTGTGGAGTCATACCGATCCTGCGTTGCCGGATTGGGCGTTCAAGCAACAGGAGGTTAATGGGAATAAGAATCTGAAGGATAGGACGACGCTTTGGGTCGTCGACGAGGTCATTCCGGACCCCGGTTAGTTCCCCTTCGTTTCCTTGCCCGGCTTCATGAAACGAGAACTGAGCCCAATCTGGTCGCACCTTACAGACGCGGTCGAGATGATCAATCTCTCGCACCCCAAGAAGGAGAAGACGATCGTCCAGCTCAGCTTCCTGCGTAAATTCTTCGAGCTCCAGATCGCCATGCTCCAACACAATGCCGGCTTGACCGATTCGCACCCTTACGCTTCCGGACCCATCAATTGGCCGTTCATGCTCTCGGGCATCTCGTTCTGGACCGGTCAGAGCGAGTTGAAGCAGCAGATTTATTTGATTGGGAATCCGGCAAGTTGGTGGTTGAGCGTTATTGCGATGAGCGTCTTTGTAGGAATCTTGGGCGCGGATCGATTGGCCGAACGAAGGGGAATGTACCCCATTCCGAGGCGTAGGTTCTGACCTTAAACAAACTTTGCTGACCTTTTTGAAGCTGACGCCTCAATTGTTTAACTCCTTTGCAGCCGTCCGCAACCGCCTCTACAACTCCGGTGGCTTCTTCATGATCGCCTGGCTGTACCACTACGTACCTTTCTTCACCATGTCGCGCCAACTCTTCCTCCACCATTACCTTCCCGCCCACGTATGTTCAGCCCTGTTGACAGGCGCGGTCTTCCAATTCGTCGTTTCGGAAACCATCAATTCGCCCATCTCCATAGCCCCGACCATGGCTATCGCAGCGACGACGTTCAGGAGACAGAGGAAACAATTCGCCGAAGTGGGCAAAGGGATGATATTGGGCGTGATGGGGATCGTAGGATTGTTGGTGCTGGGTTATAGTTGGTTCGCACCTTTGACGTATGGGTTCCCTGGGTTGGAACCGGAACAAGTCAATCATCGGAGGTGGTTGAGTACTTGGACTTTGGTGAGTGGAACGAACTCATGCTCAGGAGGGTTGCATGCCACAGACACTAATGTTTCATTTATTCATTGTCTGTCGATACAGCATTACGCCAAGTGATTGCCTGAATGTGCGAGTCGCTCTCTCGAACGTGACGACGTCGACTCCAGAATGAAGACTAAAGAATGTAAGCGGGGGCAACCGCTGCGAGGTTTGGCCCCTTGATGATGAGCTTTTGTGGCTCCTTGTTGCTTTATGATGTGACGATCCGACAGTATCCCTATCATTATCTCTTCTCGATGTCTGATCAAAAACGCTGCTTGTGCTTTGCTACTATTGCTGTAATCAAACAGAGAAAACAAAGGAACGCGAACGAGGGTCGGGAAGCTGCTCTCGCGCGCATAATGTTATTCGCCACTGCTTACATCCACATCCACCACCAACAACAACGCTCTCAACTCCTGACCCAACATCTGCGCATGACCTCGTTCCTTCCCCTTGACTTGATCCAAGAAAGCGAACAGGTCATGACCTCGTTCCTTCCCCTTGACTTGATCCAAGAAAGCGAACAGGTCCGGGGCTGGGCTACCCTTCCTCGCTCGATGAATTCGCTCGACTTCTGATACGGTCAGTGGAGCGGCTTGTCGGAGCGCTCGGACGCACTGGATTGAGATCTTGTAGTTCAATATGATGAGTGGTGGCGTGGGCGGTACGGACGTCGTGCAGGCGTCAGTCGTGTGTTGTACCTGAGGCGCTGAGGATTCAGCCGATCGTGACTGCTGTAAAAGATGGATCAAGATCGATTCGATTCCGACCTGAATGAGGGCGTCCAGGATAAGTTCCCTCAAAGCTCCTCGCCAGCTCGTTGGTTTACGATCCTTTAGCCCAACCAGCCAATGACCTAACCCTGTAGCAGCGTTCCACCTCACTTTGACCCCCTTCCCTTTCTGATCCTGAAGGATCGTAATCAAAGTGTGCGTCACGTTCTCCTCGAACGACCGCGTACCGCAGGACGCTGGGTCGCGCAAGAGGAGACAGATCGATCGTATACCATTCGTTTGAATCGGTTCGCATGTTTCTGTCTTGAGGAAAGTATCGGCGATGTTGAACATCGCTGATGTTTCTTCCAAAGTGAACGCTAGATCGCTCGGTGTTGATGTCGAAGATGAAGGGAAGAGTATATCGATCGAGTTTGCAAAGGCCCAACTCGCCATCGAGACGACGGATTCGGAACACGATATTGAGCACCGCCTCATCAAAGCTGGCAGAATTTGGTTCCTCAAGCGTGAGGCAGCGTTGGGTAGTGTATTGAAATAATCGGATTTGATGACTTGGCCGAGCGAGCGATAAACGGCTGCGGCGACGAGGTCTTGCTCTTCTTCTGTAGTCGTTGAGGTGAGTGGGGTAAGGTCGAGGAGCTCTTGTATTACGTCGATTGAGTATGTCGAAGACGATGACCGGAGGAAACCGAGGAATTTCTCGGACACGAGCACCTGAGCTGTCGTGACCTTGAGAACTGGAGAAGGGTGTCGCAGGGCGACTCGTACGAGTTCGACTAGTCGCTCCTTCTCGCTTTCTGATGGGGGAGAGACAAAGATAGTCGAAGTTTTGAACAGCGCAGAATAGAACGAAATTTGCTCCGGCGTCAACGTTGCGTCGGATGTCGAAATGATGGCGTCGAACAAGGCGATGGCCGGTAGTAGATCTGATTCTGGGATATGAGGCGTGATGAGACACAGTAGCTCCCAAGCACTCTTGGCGATCCTGGGGTCGGAAGAATGCGGCGCAAGGATCATTACTTGGCGGATCATCGAGGCGAGATCGAGTGAGGCGGGATCGGAGGACAGGAGCTCGGATCGAGTGACAGCGATCAAGCCCGCCATGGCTGCGAGCGCAATCGAGTGTTCTGCAGGAAACTCGCTTGAGTACGTGCAAAAGAGTGGGAAGCGAAGAAGGGTTATAGTCACGCACCGTGATGGACCGTCAACTGCACCAAGGTCTTGGCGAGACCCCTCGTCAAAGACTTTTGGCGTAGTCGAGCGTATGGTGCATTGTTACCCAGCGTCTCGACGAGTGTCAGAAGCGCGAGCAATAGTTCAACGTTGGATGTGACTGACGGCGCGGATAAAAGCGACGTGAGCTTGAGGTGAAGCTCGGCGAGTAGCGTGCCGAGCTTGGAAGAGAGTGAAGTGAAGGAGGCTTTGGTCGGTCTGTAGTCCGGAGGGCGGAGTTGGTTCAGACCTCTGCGGCCGTTCCTGCAATCAAACTCGCCAACCAACTCACCGGTCCTCTGCGATCGCCAAGAACGCTCTCGATTCTTTGAACATCAACTCCAAAATTCTCGCCGCCCTCAGTCTGACGGTGACCGAACGATCCGTTTCGATCAAGCCTAACAGAGTCGGCTTGGACCGCACGTAGGCCGAATCGCAGAAGAAGAGATTCCATCTCGGGTACAAAAGTTTCGGTTGAGCCGATGCTAGGGTTTTGAGCACCGCAAGCGCATCGAGGCGAACATGACCCGAGGTGAGACGCGGCGCTTGCTCGGATGAGACAGAGGCTTGGTCGTCGTCGGTTTCCGAGTCGGACTTGTACGTGTCGGCGTGAATCGAGCTGACTGTATTGAGCGAGGTCTGAGAGGAGGAGCGAGACAGGGTCTTTCTGGAAGAAGGCGACGACGTAGGTGAAAACGAAGCCATGGCGCCGAATGACATCATGGCGCCGCTCAGGGGTTTGGGCGTGGTGGTCGAGGTGAACGGTGAGTTGGTCGGATGCGAGATGAGCCGATCAGGTGGAGCGGTGAGGCCAGGGCCCTTTAATCCAGGGTTTGCACGATCATAGTATATCCAATGGGCAATGATGGACAGTACCACGTCCACTCGCAGAGCCGTGAGGGCGCTCGAAGGAAGCTTGAGCAGCGCAGCATTTAGGAGTCGAAGCGAGAGTGAGACGAGCCGCAGCGCCGACGATGTCGGAGGTACGAGGTGGTAGGGTGATAGTGATTTCGTTATGGACGAGGCCAAGGTGTCGACGTGGTCGGTCACCAGCTGAGCCGACGCGGTCGATACGACGTGGATCAGCAGCGAGCTGGCTTGAGTGCGAACGGCGATGGAGACGTCGGCCAGGAGAGGGAGCGTAGTCGAGAGCAGTATTGGGTGGATCTAGATCCCAGTGATGAGCATTCCTCGTCAGCTCTCTGGCTGAGGTATGGACGACGTTCACGTGGTGCTGACAAGTGCCGAACTGACCTCCTTGGCCTCGCTCGACCACGAGCTGCGGAGCGCCTTGAGCACGAGTACACGCGTCTCGGTAGTCACCTCGCTTGTGTGAATGGCATCACAAAACAGGGTGATCAGCTCGATCGGTGGTAAAGGCAGGGCTTGTGTTTGTGCTGGGTCATGTCGCTGAGCCTGTGCGACGCGGATCGACACGTAGTCAGCAAGTCACGTGGTCGGGGCAATCGAGGAGCAAAATGGGAGAGGCGCAGCACGCACGAGTACAGCTGACGCCAGTGCAGTGACATCGATGGGTTCAGTATTCATGCCAACATGCTTCCGGGAGCAGAGTCGCAGCGGCAAAGGTGGTCAGGGGCAGGCCGCAGACGGGAACGTGAAAGGAGAGCACGCCGATCGGTTCAGGAGATGGCTCCCTGCGCGTGGGGAGGGAGGCGTCTGGAGGCGTGGGGCTGCGTGGGGGGTGCTGCGGCCGCGGTGACGTCGACCGGGTGCGCGCCTGCGGGCCTTGTCTCCTGCCGTGCGACCGAGGACAGCTAGGCTGTACGACGCAGCATGCACAGCTCGTACGGGCCAACCCCGACAACAACACCACGTCCCGCCTCACCTTCGAAGCAGCTGCCTCGCCTCCCGTCGTCTTCCTCGCTGGCATCGTCATCGTCATCGTCATCGTCATCGTCGTCGTCGTCGTCGTCGTCGTCGGCATCGCCTCGCCCCACTTCGCGGCAACAGCTCGGCCCCTCCACCAGCAACACAAACGGCCACTGCACAATCGACAAGCAACTCGAGCTGGATGCACCTGCAGCACAGGATGAACTGGCCAAGGCTGTGCAAGCACGTGATAGGACACGGCTGAAGCAACTCGCCGTCGCACCAGGCGGTTTTCGGTCCGATCAAATACGGTCACGAGTTTGGTCCGTCTCTCATTCCACATCATACTACCGTATCTTGGTACTGACGCCCCCGCGCAGGCCAATCCTCTTGGGTGTTCCGCGATCGAACGAACCTGCGGCCGCTTCGGTGGCGCCCCCGTCCAAGTCCAAGGGTGACCTCCCGCCGCACAAAGACGAGCATCAAGTTCATCTGGACATCCTTCGGAGTTTCGTATCGTATCCCACCGGTGCGTCCCCAACTATCCTCTGAACCTGCGCGATGAGCAAGCCGGCTGGCCGGCCGACTCACCCCACATGTCCAACTTTGACAGACGTCTCGGCCGAAGAGAAGCAACGACTCAGAGACCAGCTCGAGAACGTGATCGTCACCGTTCTACGCCGTCATCCTTCCTTGCACTACTTTCAGGGATATCACGATGTGCGTTCCAGCGCCACGTCGTCCAACGCCACGTCTTGGAGCACCCCAAGTGCTGATTTACGTTCGAGGGTCCCTACAGATTATTTCGATCCTGTTGCTCACCTTCAAGGATGAAGAGCTGACCATTCAGGCCGCGGAAAAGATGAGCCTACATCGACTACGAGATAGTATGGGCACAGGATTGGAGCCCGTGATAGGGTACCTCAAGTGAGTGGCCAGCTTTGTTCAGAGCCCTAGTGTCGCAGATTAAGCTGAGCGGATCCGGGTCCTTCTACCCTTTCAGAATTCTGCATCGGATATTGTACAAGCACGATGCCGACTTGGCTCGAATGGTCGACTCGTCAGTCAGGTCATCCCAAGCTTTCACCACCACACCCGGCTGACCTGGATTTCCTCTCTCTGCAGCGCCGCTTCCCTGCCATATTTTTCACTTTCGTGGGTCTTGACCCTCATGTCCCACGATCTCACCTCGATCGATCTCATCTCCCGCCTCTTCGATTTCCTGCTCGCCCACAACCCCGTCATGATCTCCTACCTGGGGGTCGCCATCGTCTTGCTCAAGGAGGAACAGTTGGCTCAGCTCGAAGATGATGACCCGGCGATGGTCCATCACACGCTGTCCAAGGTACCGAACCTCGTGCTGGACAGCCCCTCAACTTCCAAGGAGGTGCCCGAAGCGAATCAAGGATCGAAAGGGACTCGGGACGAAGACGACGATGAAGATCTCATGTCCACCTCCCAGCAATCCGACTCGTTCCTCTCTTCGTCCATGATCTCAAACTCGGAAGCTTCGACAGATTGGGGATCATCATCGACCCTATCCCAACTCGCTACTTCTTCGACTCACTCCCTACAAGCCCTCGACGACTCCATTTTTGAAGATCCGGATATCTTCGGTCTGGCCTTCCCTAGTTCAGCCTATCAAGTTCCGACGCAAACCAAACCGTCCTCATTAAATCCGGTCTTGCTCGAACGATTGGACGACGAGCCTCCGAAAACGCCAGCGAAGAAGAACCCCGCCCCAGCCGAGATCTCAATCGAGGACCTGATTCAAACGACCTTGAAACTCTACGAAGCCCATCCTTACCTCCCATCAGAAGATGGGGACAATTCGATTCAAGCCGACCAAATTATGGGACCTAAATCATGCATCTTCACGTGGCCGCTTTCGGTAGAGGGAACGTTGACGGATGCGGAGGCGGATTCGATTGCGGAGAATGGAGTGGATATCGTTTTGGTCGGGGTGGAGGAAGGGGAGGGGGAAGGGGAGGGGGAAGGGGAGGGGGAAGTCGTGGAGGATGCTTTGGAACGAAGGGCTAGACGAAGGAAGGAGTTGAAAGCTAGGAGGAAGAGGATGGAAGTTGGTGTAGGGGTCGTATTGGTCATTGCGGGAGTCGCGGGAGTGGTGTTGGCTACGTATGGCGGTACCTTGATGTTGGGGAATGGGGAAGGGGCCTCATCGTCTGGTGCGGGGAATGATGGTGCGCGGAGGTTTGGGTTGCCAAGCAAGCTGGTGTTGCAGGAATGGACAGCTTGGGGTGGGGAGGTCGTACAGAACCTCAGGTTGATTTGAGTGGGGACTATCACTTTATGTACTGTTGCGAGCTGCGATCTATGTACTACAGTAAAGTACTTGTAAATGCGTGCACGAAACGAACGAAACTAGAACTCAAAAGCGCAGGCACACGCCCCAAAGCTTAACCACGGCCGATTGTACCCATAAACAGACTTTGAGTCCAAGTCTTCGAGCTCGACGCTGCGACATGGTCATCATACCTGGCCCGTCTATAGGCCGTTCCGGCCGTGTTGCTCCTTTGAAGACCCATCGGCGTCGGGTTCCTACTCCTAGTAGTCACCGACGCCACAGCCCCAGCGACCATCCCAATCGGTCTCGTCAAGACCCTACCACCCTGAGCTGACGAAGCCCCACTTGGCAACCCGGTGTAAGAGCTGGGCTGTTTCAGCTCTCGTCTGAGCTCGGGGCCGGAGACGGAGGGGGCGGAAGATTCTTCGAGCTTGGAAACGAGTCGAGGTCCGGTGAGCGCTAGAGCCGCGTAGGCCTGTGGAGGGTCGAAGTGCGCTTGGGCGAAACGGAGATGATGGAGTGCCTATTCAAAGTGGTCAAGAAAGGTGTGATCAACTTTTGCGCAGAGCTTCAAGCTCGTCTCCGGACAACAGCGCAGCAACTCACCTCCTCGCACCCCCTAATTTGACCCTCCAAAATACCCCTCGCAAGCTCCTTCAAATCCTCCCTGCTCTCAACGTGGACCCGCTCTAGTTCGGCGCATGTGATGTTGAGGATTGTTTCGCATCTCGAGAGACATTCTTGGTAGCGGTCGGATTCTTTAGTGGATTGATCGATGAGACGAGATAGGCGCTCGTGTTCGAGGAGCACGAGGCGGTGGGTTTCGACTAGGGGCTAGTGACGAGGAAAGGACAGTTGTGAGCTCATCGGAGAAAGAATAAATACATTCTGTGTACTGACGAGGTATTGCGTATGTGGACGGTCCAGCTCCTTCAGCATCTCTTGTTGCTTCAAAAGGCTGTCCTGTGCCTGTCATTCGTCGCAGCACGCATCAGCCTCACGTCTCCGGAAGACCCAAGCTTTAAAGGATAACGTACCGATCCTTCCCAGACCTCTCCCACCGTCATCAGAGTTTCCCCAGTTGCTTGAACGGCCTTTGTCATGCTTAAGCTCTCTGCAATATGGTATGAAAACTTTGTCAACTGACTTTCAATCGTCTCCGGGAGCGCAACTTTAGTTTGACTCACCAGACTCGGTTGACTCCTTCCATGAAAATGCGCCTTGTTCGGTTTGGACGCACCACTGTTTGGCCCGCTCGTTCGAAGAGGTTGACATCCCCTGAAGCGCTCGGAATGATGATGGATCTTGAGAAAGGGGTGGGATTGCGCGTCCTGCTACGAGTCGGACGAGCGATCGACCCAGGGAAGATATGATCTGGGCAGCATCTAATGCACGCTTAGTCGCTCAATTCAGTACCAAGATCCCTTAACATTTCCGAAGGCAAAAACACAACGAATCGACGTACCAAAGACCGCCTCCCTATAGTTCCCCAAACCAACTTCGACCTCCTTGACTCCATTCCCAAGCTCGACGGCCTTGGCGTGCAATTCGAACCTTTCGATCGTCTCTCGAGCTTCATCAATATCGATGTTGTATTCGGGGTGGTAAACTCGGGAGAAGAAACTTGGACCGGGAAGAACGGCCAACTGTTGGTCTGAAAGGAGAAGGTGTTCCGATTTCTAATGTACGGAATCCCCGTCAGTTTCGGGAGTGCTGCGCCGAACCGATTCGAACCGAAGAAACCTTACCCCTTCTTCGTTCTCAAGCATCAAGAAATCCCTCAGTTCATTCGTCCCCTTCAATACGGGATGTCTCACAACCCTCCTAATCCATCTTTGTAGATCCCTACACCGAGACTCGACGAATCCTCGTTCGAATCGACGAGCATAAGCGCGGCTCGGTAAGTCCGGAATGACGAGGATGGGGTAGGAAGAGCAGAGAAGGGTATGGAGGTGGACAAAATGCGAGAAACGACGCGTGATGGTGATGGGGGGTGGAAGGGGATTTTCGTCGGCAGAGTTGGGGTCGGAGTGAAAATTGGTGGTGATTGAATAGAGGGTGTAGGCTGAGCCTCGAGGGGGATGGAATATTTCAGGATCGTGGACGCGGATCGATAGGTCTGGTAAAGGATCTTTCCAAGCGGGTCCAGACTACGCACCGGCCAAATGTGTAAGTCGACTCTTCCTCAAAGAGCCAAAATGCAGGTCAAAGTTTCTCTCACCTCGATATGGAACAGTTGCACCTCCTCAGCATCATCTATTTCCTTCGTCGTCGCCTCCTCCCCATACAAGATCCAATCGAAGATCTGGGCGTCCGCTCGAGTTTTGGGAACCAAAGGAGACGGGGTCAAAGGTGATGGCTCCGAGACGAGTTCACTGACCACCAAGAGCCCCGGTTCCGGTTCCGGTTCCAGTGAAAGCGACAGCTTGGGAGATGACAGATCGATGCCGGGTGGTTCTTCAGGCTGGTGGGAGTCAAGGAGGGGACGGTCGCTAGCTCCTAAGTTGTCCACCGGTGTTTCGTACGAGCTTTGTTCTGCTTCTTCGCGCAGCCCATCCATACCTTCCTCTGCGTTTCGTTCAGCTTGAGCGATCATCTCTGACCATGCCGCCTCTGGGTCCAAGCCGTTGGATGGTTGAAGTATAGCAAGGACCTCATGCGCGTCGACAAGGTGGTCATTCGATTCGCATGTCGCCACAGTCGGTGTATCCGAATCCTTCTTCAACCCCTGCTCGTGACGTCCCCCTATTTCCGTGCGCGTAGATCTTTCTTCATCTTCCGCACCTTCTGAAATAACCTCACCGAACCCATCCAACCCCCTACTCCCCACCGTCTCCATCACCCCCTCCACTCGCTCCTCCCCTTCCCCTCCCTCAACAAAAGCATACCAACCCCTCGGTACCAAACCCCTCCCCTCGACCCCCTCCAATTCCCTAAAGCCCAAACTCCAACCCCCGCCCAAATCTTCCAACTCGATGAATAAAATTTCACCTTTAGAGAAGGAAAGTTCGTTGAATTCAGAGTGGCCTTGGAAGGGGTGATGGGTTAGGGCTTTTTGTAGGGGAGGGGCTGAGGGGTGGGAGGGGGAGGGAGAGGAAGGTGATGAGGGGAGGTTGTTGAAGTAAGGGTATTGAGATGTCGGTATCAAGGGTCGAAGGGTCGAAAAATCGGAGGATCTCGAAGCGGGAGGCGAGGAGGAGGAGCTTGCTGAGCGGCGGAGCGTCGGCGCTTCGATCTCGCGCTTGGAGAAGATCGTGGGCGATGCCTTGGAACGATCGAGTTTTGTGCCGCTCTTGAAACACCCCATCATCCCTAGTGAAAGCTCGTCGACTTTACTCTGTACCTCCTTGCCGAGATTCGACGCACAGACCTCGTTCTCGGTCACCTCGGAGACAGTACCGGACCTACTCGACCAAGTATCGGAGCTCAAACTCCATCTCGGCATCTGTGGATAAGCAGTGCGAGCACCAGCAGCCCCTAGCGCGAACTCGTCGACTAGTAGTTGACCCTTCTGTCCAGCTGCTTCAGATCGGACGACGTCCAGTTCCGAGTTGGTCGCACGATGACGAACGCCCCCCACCTGAGCGAGGTTTCGCACCGAGCTGAGGTGCGCTGGTTTGGGAGGCCGGACCGGGGCGACTGGTATCAGAGGAGGGGAGCCAACGATAGTGTGTGACTCGGAGCTGGGTAGGTGCGGTGTCGTATGAGGTGGAATGTCCATCTCGGAGGAGCCTACACGTCGATTCCAAGCTAAGGATCGAATCAGAAGAGAAGGACCGAACGCGTCGCTACGCGATCGGGCCTCGAGAGTGAGCGGCATCTCAACGAGCCTCAAACGACGCCGGACCGCGAGCGAAATCCAAGCGGTTCGTGCACGCGCCTCCTGTTCCAGCGGCGCGCCAAGATCTCTCGGCACCTCAGCAGGGGGGGAAAAAGCAAAAAAGAGTATGAAAAATGTAGTGGGGTACAGAAGCCAGCGGGCCAAACGATTTATGCAATGGCTACGAAAACTTCAGGCTAAAAACAAACAAGTGATCATCACAATAGTACACGTCCCTCACACCAGTCAATGCCCGTGGCCGACCAAGCGCCCGAGCACCCAAGGCGTCAACATCCCCGCGACGACCCATACCGGTCCCCCACCTTTTCCATTCTCCTCTCCATCCTCTGAAGACTCACCACCTCTCCCATGGTTCGAAGAACCCCCCTCAGTGCCAGTGTTCTCCTTGATCACGTGCGTAGCCACGAACAAGAACGTCCCCCCGAGAAAACCAACGCTAATCCAGTCCACCAACCAATCCCACCTTGAACTCCTTCCAATTCGACCCCGACGAGTGTCAAGAGACCATAGGTCGTTAAAGCACCCAAAGGTGCTGCGAGGGAGAAAGCGAGGAGGGATTTTCGCAGGAAGGACGGGCTTACGGATCGGTTCGAGCTAAGGAGGGAGGAGAGTGCGAAGGCGGCGGGGGCTTTGTGGACCATGATGGCGAGGAAGATGATGAGTTCCAAAGAGGTGGAGGAGGCGACCTGGGTGACTGCTTGTTCGCCTGAAGGTAGAGAACTGGCGCCGAGGGAGACGCCGTCGGCTAATGAATGGACGACCAGACCGATGACGGTCGAGATCGCCGAAGCGGAGGAAGAAGGGGAAGAAGGGGAAGAAGAGGGTATCGGTTCATTTGGCGGGGAGGGGGGATGATGATGGGTAGGCGAGGACGATCTCGAAGGATTGGCACTGGTGCCACCGTTGATCGAACTCGAGCTCGTCGGTGCGAGTGATTTCCGATCTGCGTTTGCTGTGCCGAGGTTTCCATTCTCTGCCCAGTCATACTCGTCGTCCCCATTGCGGTAATGGTGCTGGTGGTGGTGGGACGAGTTGGCGTTGAGGGGTTCGAGTTCAGAGATGGACGACGATTGACGTGTGAGGTAGCGGTGCGGATGGCGCGAGTTGGACCGGTCTAGCCTGCCGACCGAGGAGGCTGGGGGATGACTATGGGTGTAGGTGTCGATGAGGTACCTGATCGGGGGACAGGGGGCACAATGCCATGGGTCAGCACCGGTGTATAAACGTGGCGACGAGGATGTGCACTGACATGAGGAGGAATCCGGCCAAGAGGGCCAGACCGATGTTGGTGGGGTTGGAATGCGCATCATGTCGGTACGGGCTGCCATGCGCCGCTTCGTGTTCAGCGGCATGATGGTGGAGCGAGGACGAGTTGGCGTAGACGGCCGCGACACCTGTCCGATCGGACTCGGTGGAGCTCAGCCTGTGGTAGTCCTGTCGAGACGCAGGGCCGGATCGACTGGGACGACTCACCTTCGGGTATGACGATGGTCAGTGCTGCACCGATCAAGAGCCCGGTCGAGTAGACGGACAGCTGGTGCAGCCTCCGCGGCGAGAACCGAATCCACTGCGGCAACGACGACGCGATCACGGTCGCGACCAGCATCACCGACGCGAGCACCAGCAGCCGAGCCAAACCCATCGCAGCTGCAGCGAGGACGAGGCGTGGCGTGGTCCGGGTAGGGTGGGATAGGCTTGTCGGCCGAGAGGTGCGGAGTGCTGCCTAGTCGATGTTGAGTGCTCGACCTCGACCTCGACAGAGCACCGTCGGCCCCAAGACGGAGCCGGAGCCTGGGTAACCGCAGGGGTGCCCGGTGATCATCGACCGCCTCGATCATCATTATCCGGCTCCGACCGAAACAAACCCAAAAATTAAATCCGGCATTCCGAGCAATCGATCAAGTTTTCAAGACTCGTTCGACTACTCTATACGTTTCGCATAATTTTATTTCTTTGCAACACACTCGGACGATGGGGGGTGCGTTGCGCGCTGTGGCCGGCGGGTGATCGAGCTCGGGGCCGGCTTCGCAAGCTCGGACGCGCTCAGCTCAGCTCTCTCCTGGTCAGCTCGCAGTCTACGATCCTACGCCCCCCGCTCCCCTCCACGGCAGCGCTATGGCGTCCACCCCCTCCGCCTTTGAGCTCTCATCAACCTACCTCGCCGCTCTCAGTGAAGCGCTCGGGCAGACGACCGCTCAAGCCAACGCACTGCCCGCCTCGAGCGACCTCTCGTTCGAACGAACGCTCTCCCGCGCCCTCGCCAGGAAGCTCGACGCCCACTCCGAACGAGTCCTCGCGCTCGTACAGAACCTCCTCTCCTGGTCCACACAAGGCATCGACCCCAAGGCTTCCCCTTCCCAGACGAGGCTAGATGCCGATCTGCTCCACGACGGCCTGTACACGAACGTCGTCGATCGCCTCGAACCGCTGCTCGAAGCCGCCGACGACGAGCTCGAGATTCACTTGGGGGTCTCCAAGAACCACACCTCCAAACACGCACCTCTACGCTCGAATGTACCAGGAATAAAGTCCAAATCCGTCCCGGGACCTAGCAAGGATCGACTCGCGCCTCATCTGCTGCACGATCCCAATACGGTCAAACCACAACTTGCATTCCCCGAACGCTTGTGTCTTCCGAGACCTGGTCTGGATGATCAAGTGCTACCACTCGAGGAACCCATTTGGAAACCGCTCTTGCGGCGCAAAGTGCACTCGCTCTCCAACTCGAACGAGAACGCCGACGACCGAGCCTCGTGGCTTCGAGTGGTCCACACACGACACACCGATCGCTTCTCCTCCATCACCGGCACAGAACCACCCTCCTACCCCATCTGTCTCCATCCGTACCAGGCCGAGATTGAACAGCTCTCCCCACCGGCGCACTATGCGATCCGGCCAAATCTTCCCGCGACACCCAACGAGCACTCGTTCGACATCACACCCTTCGCATGGGTCGACGACGAGCAAACGTTCGAGGCGATGCTCAGTCATATCCGAGAGATGGGGGAACAAGGCAAGAAGGAGTTGGCGATCGATTTGGAACATCATGATCAGAGGACTTGGGGAGGAATCACGTGTTTGATCCAGGTCAGTCCCCGAGTCCGAATTCATTCCGTTCAATCTCGTCCTTCTCACTAACGCAATCCCGCCGTCTAAATCAGCTGAGCACAAGAACCCAAGATTACGTCATTGACGCGCTCGATCCCATCGTCCGCGACCTTCTCGAACGTCTGAACGAATTCACGACCGACCCCGACTGGATCAAGGTCTTTCACGGCGCCGCATCCGATATCATTTGGCTTCAAAGGGATTTCGGCATTTACATCGTCGGCTTGTTCGATACATATCATGCGACGCGGGTACTAGGTACGTACCACTTTTCATCACTATGCCACCTCCATACCCTTCTCCTTACACGCCTTGTGAACCCCCCTCAGATTACCCACACCACTCGCTCGCCTCCCTACTGGAAAAGTACACCGACTTTGTCCCCGACAAGCGTTACCAACTCGCCGATTGGCGTATCCGACCCCTCCCCGAGGCGATGCTGCATTACGCCCGATCGGATACGCATTACCTTTTGGACGTATACGATCATTTGAGGATCGCTCTACACGAGCTCGAAACCCAATCCGATAGGACACCCGAGGGGGAAGGGAAGATGCTCGTCGATGGGGACGAGCTTCAAGTCAGTCCACTCGTGCGGGTCTTCAACCTTTCCAAAACGGTCTCCTCCTCCACCTTCTCCATCCTTCCTTACGACTCTCAAACGGGTCACTTTGAAAATGGCTGGTTAGGACTCCTAGCCAAGAACGGTCAACTACAGAATTACGCTTCCGCTTTACGCGTACCTACCCTTCCCATTCGATCAGGTTGGGGACCCGGTCAGATTCATTTCGAGTTGATGAAGGTCTTACATCGTTGGAGGGAGGCCGTAGCTAGGGAAGAAGATGAGAGTACGAGTTGGGTCTTGTCGAATTGGGCTCTGTTCAATTTGGCGGAACAGGCGCCTCGAGAGGGAGGGGAGCTCATGAGGATTGTTGGGGGGTCGATGGGGAGGAATGGAGGAGGCGTTGGGGAGGTGATGAGGAGGAGGAAGGGGGAAGTCGTGGAGTGTATTCTGAGGGTCTTACGAGAGGTTGAGAGTAGAGGGGAAAAGAAGGAGGGTGAGGTGGTGGTGGTTAGTGAGGCGCTGAAGGAGAGGGGCGAGGCGGCGAGCGAACCTGTCGTTAGGCCGGTGGTGGAGAGCTTGTGGAGTGATGCCGTTGAACAGGTGGCCGAGGTCAAGGTCGTTGCCAAGTCGTCGTTTTTTGGAGCGTCGAACAAGGCTTCAACGTCCACTTCGTCGACTCAGAATCTTGTCGCTTCAAAAAGTGGATTCTTTGGCTCTTCCTCGTCAAAGAAGATTCCCGCTCCGACAGTTCGAATTTCGGCGGATCTGACACCTCAACGTGCGGCTGCGATCGCTAGGATCCATTCGTCATTGTTGCTTGGGGGTGGATTGGCGTCGGTGAGTGGACCGCGTCGACCGCTTGGAGATGGGCTTGACTCGGACAGAGCGCTGACCTCTCTTCTGCTGTGCTCGCAGTCTTTGCAAGGTGCCAAGGTACCTGAGCCTCAAGCACCCACTCCTGTGGACACCTCCGTCGATACGAACGACTCAGAAACCCACGCCAGCGCACTGACAGGCGACCACTCCTTCATCCCCTTCGGCGAACGAACGACGAAGGACGCTCCTACACCATCCACATCAAAGCCGGAACCCGCACCAAAGCGTTCAGACAAGGACGTGATTGTCGTTTCCTCCCTCGCGGACAAACCCAAGAAGAAGAAGCGAGCGTTACCCTCGCCTTCTAATGAGGGTGACCTAACCCCATCGACCGCGCCAAGTACGTCGACTATGACTTCGTCCTCGGGTAGACCGAATAAACCCTCCCCTTCCAAGAAACCCAAGCGCTCAATGCTCGAAGTCGAACCGCACGATTACTCTACCTCCAAATCGATCCTCGACGCCGATCCTGCCTCCGTTGCCTCCCTGACTCAAGGTAAAAAAGGGAAGAAAAAGGCTAAAGAAACGGTCGGTCGAGCGGCAAAGGGTTTCGTGGTGGATACGAGTGAGTTCAGGAAGGAACCGAGGGTCAATAAAGCACCCAAGAAGGGGAACGTGTCGAGAAGTTTCGCACAGTAGAAATTAGAGGGGCTTGGTGGGTATTTTGTAATAGCATCCTAACATGGCTTTCATCTAAAATTGCCCCTTTTGTTCCGGGACCGTGAACGCCAATTTGCCCGTCTCGAGTCCTTGATTGAGATTCCTCAAACACACCGCTTCCATCTCCTCCTGCGTCTCGTACGTCAAAGTACCTACATGAGGTAAGAGAAAGGCCTTCTCGGACTTGAGAAGCCCCTCATGGATCTTGGGTTCGAATTCGTACACGTCCAAACCACAACCCCCGATCTCGCCTTTTGCCAAAGCTTCAACGAGCGCGCTTTCATCCACTACGGGTCCTCGGGAAGTATTGATAAGGATCGAAGACGACTTCATCATCTTGAACTCGTTCGGCCCGATAAGGTGATGCGTCTTCGGGTTCAGAGGAACGTTAAGTGAAACGACGTCCGACGTCTTCAACAATTCTTCCATCTTCGCGACGTAGATCGCCCCCGCTTCCACTTCCTCGTCCAATCGATTCCGATTATGGTACCTCAGTTCCATTCCCAAACTCTTACACCTCTTCGCGAAAGCCCTTCCGATCCCTCCCATCCCTATGATACCCAAGACCTTACGACGAGGATCATGGGACAGTTTCAAATCGGCGTTGAAGGTGCCCGATCGGAGGGACGTTTGCGCAAGACCGAATTGACGTAAGGAACCGAGGAGGAGGAAAAGCGCCGTATCGGCCGTGGCGTCGTCGACTGCTACGGGAACGTTCGAGACTTGGATATGGCGCGAGGTGCAGGAGGGGATGTCGACTAGGGGGAAGAAGGGATCGGTCAGCCTGAGTGGGGGAAAGCTCAGAGTGAGATCGCCACACCGAGTACTGACTTTGATCGTAACCAGCTCCGTTGTGGGTGACGAATTTCTGTCATACACCAAAGTATCAGTATCATAAACGTATTCTCTTTCCTAGATGGAAAGAACTCTAACCAGCTTCTTCGGTAACGCCTGCACCAATTCATGATCGAACCTGCCCGTAACTTTGGTCGAAGCGCCTTTGAAATGACGATACATCCCTTCCACGCCGGCGTACTTGTTCTCCGAAGCGCAATCTTGAATAAACTCCTCGCGCGTTTTGGAGGAAAGGGGCTAACGGGTTGGCGGGAAAAATCAAAAATCAGGCGCTGGTCAGCATTCTCGAGCATCATTCAAGTGGGGGGTTGGACCGGACCAAGTTTGGAAACTGCCAGCTCGACTGACGATCATTTCGTAGCGCGAAGCCAGATCCGCATAGTCCTTCTTGGCCAAAATGATCTCATCCATCATTAGGATCTTCTGTCTCAAGCCCTGCCCGTTACTTGATGATGCGGATATCGGTGTGACAGCGCCGGAGTGGAATGACCGCGGGACGATCATGGCGTGGGCGAAGCTGCTACAGCATGCAGTGGCGGAGGAGCAGGACCTGGTTTTGCTCAGGAGGTGTCTTGATGTTGATGCGAGGGAAAAGGACATGGTCGCGGCTTTGACTCGGCGGTGTCTCTTGGGGTTCTGAGGTGAAGAACGAGGAAGAGTGAGCAAAGGTCAAGCTTCGGACTTGTCGATCGGCTTTCGGCAACCCATCGTCTCCCATTAGTCCGGCCTATCCCGGCATCACGTCAGACGGATATTATCGGATCTCTATATACTACACAATCTCTCAACAAGGCTCACACCAAGCCCAGTATCTGACAAGAAATCAACTTCATTTTGTGGTCATTTTCATCACCCCACCTCAGAATTATCAAACACCCAACTCGCCCAGGAACCATGCAACTCTCCTCCCACCTTTCCCATTTCTCCGCTCAGAACCCCTCGGGCAAAGGTTCCCTCCCTTCCCCATTCCCATGACCCGCATCAGCAATACCATCGCCGTACTCGCCCCTCTCCTGATCCACCTCTTGATGCCCCCGAGGACCGGTCGGTGCACCCGCGGGTACACCATTCCCTTGAAAGTTCTTGTACCTCGCGTTGAATTCGATTTGTAGAGGGCGGCCTGGGCAAATTGTAGCAAGAAAGAAAGAGGATGAGTCATCACCCGCGAGATCAAGAGTAGTCGGAATCGATCGACTACTGACCTCCATAGGTATAACCCTGGAACTGAGCGATCGCCGTTTGCGCCTCTTCGATCGTCGCGAATTGAACCACGCCTGATCCTTTGGCCCGACCCGTCGCCTCATCGATCAGCATCGCCGCTTCCTCGACCGTGCCCGTCGTTTGAAACAATTCGACCAAATCATCATCCGCGGTAGACCAAGGTAACTACAGACAATAAGCCGAAGGAGACGTCAGCTCTCTGTCAATTTGGCACGATCCAGGGTGCGGCGCGGGTGTGGCGACTCACATTCCTAACGAAAATTTGCTTGTTCGGCGTAGCCACAAGCGGCTTGAAACCACCTTGCATGAACCCAGGAGGAGCGAAAGGAAGGTGCGGGGGCGGCGCGCCGAAACCACCGGTGAATCCCCCTCGGAAACCGCCTCGACCTCCGGCGAATCCACCTCGGGGTACGAAGCCACCTCCGCCACCGCCGGTCGGGAATCGGTCTTCACGGACTTCGAGAATCGCCCCGTCGATTTCGTAGCCGTTGTACATCGCTGGAGGAGATCGATGGCCTGGGTTCAGTAACTTAGCACAGAGTAGCTCGTCCGACGCCAACACTGACCAATCGCATTTTGAGCATCCTGGCTCGTCTCAAAGACAACCGTACCGGTGCCCGTGGGGGTCCCATCAGGAGCAGTCTTGACATCCGCACGAATGATCTGACCCGCAGCACGGAAAAGATCCTTCAACTCTTGCCATCCCGCATTCGCAGGAAGGCCTTGGATGAAGAGGTGACGTCCTTGACCAAGTGCAGGGGCGGAGGAGGCGAATCCGCCTCCTCGACCGACACCGGCGGAGAAACCACCTCGGGTAGGAGCGGTGAGCGCACCGGGTCCGGTATACCCAGGTCGGGGTCCTGAGACGGCCGCTGAACCGTAACGCGCCTCTTCTTCTCGGTCCTGTGAGTGTGAGAATCTCGGGGGTCAATCTCGGCTCGACGTGACGTGAGTGGCTTGCGACGATCACCCACCTCGCGCACGTAGACGGGTCGTCCCAACAAAGGCTGTTCGTTGAGTTGACTGATCGCACGTTGTGCCTCTTCAGGTCGTGAGAATTCGACAACACTGGATGGATCGGTGACAGCGTTCGTGGCTGAGTCAATTGCGCAGTTCGGTGCACGGAAGAGCAACGAAAAGAGACTGACCCGCATCCTTTCGACATGCCGTTGGGGAGAGTCATGATTTCAGAAAAGACGACGTTTCCGGCTGTTGGTGTGATGCGAGGCGTGTTGGCGATACAAGATGGCGAAGGAAGTCGATAGCCGTAGAAGTCGTCCATGATTTGACGCCGGTTTTCCATCACCCCCACCAATGACCATCCCAAACGCGCGCGCACACCCAGCAAAAAAGTACGACCATAATCAGCCTGTCTTCTTTCATGATCCCCTTCCAACGGTGTCTAGGCCTGTCCCGCGCGTCCCAGTCCGGCCCCACTGCGCCAAGCAGGGGCTCCGAGCGGTGTCGTCCCCAAAGGTTTTGCGGCCTTTCGCTAACCCCCTCCCCCACTGAAGCACAACCAAAGTAATAATAATAATAATAATGATAATCACTGACCCTCCCGCATAAAGTCCTTCAAATCGTTCCACTTGACGTTGAAGCTGAGGTTGGTGATGTAGACCCTATTCTCCTTCTTGGAATGCTTGCTCGCTTCAATCGCGGCGGTCTGTCTCGCCGCTGCTTTCCTCACGGGATCGTAGGGCGTCGACCCGGTCGCCCTCGAGCCGCTGTCGCGGTCGGGGTTGTAGCGCGATGAGCGGAACTCGCGCTTGGGTGGGTCGACGGCACGGTCGACGTCCATTTTGCGCGGTGGGGAGGCCGAACGACGCGGGGAACGGGAGCGGGATCGGTTTCGACGGGCTGGAGGTGGCGAGCGCGACTCGGAGCGTCGTCGGTGGCGGCTCGATCGCTGTAGGGTATCGATCGTCGGTCGCGGCGAACGATGGGATGGCGAAGAGGCAAAGCGTGAGCAATGGCGAGGACGCGTTGCCAGTTATGGTCATGACCGGAGCGGTGTTTTTGAGCGAGGACGATCAGGGTTTTTTCTTCAGCTGAGCACGAAGATAAGAGGACCGCATCGGTGACCATGGCCGCGATCAAACAAAGAAAGCTTACGTCTCGATCATCGTATTCTGGTAATTCCAGAGGTGGCATGAGGTCAGCATCCCGGTCGACCTGCCCAGCGCTCGTAGAACGCCGTGTGGATGAACCTACCCTCCCGCCTATTCGAATGACCTTCATCGTGTCGTAGAGTTGGTCTGTGAGGCCCATCGAGTAGGTGATACATCAGTCTAGGATGCATGCACCGTGACCGTCACATGCTCTGCCAAGCCTCGTGTGCTGCTCCGTGCTCGCACGCACCGGTCTGCAACACCCTCGGAACAGAGCTAGACGTCAGTACACAGTCTGGATCAATGATGTCGAAGTGACTGACCACTCATGTTGTCGTAGATTGTAGTAGATGGCAGCTGGGTCGGTCAAGATGAAGCCGAAACGACGAGTGCGGGCCCGGGGCGAGAGCGAGGTAAAAGCCGCTCATTCCACTCAAGTGACTTTTGAGAGTTCATTACGAAGATTGGCTAGCCTCAATACAATTATGCTGTTATTACTACTCTTTATTAAAGAAAACCAGTGGGAACCCGTTAAATTAACGGGAGGGTGAAATTCAAATAGCAGGAGAATCGAACAGTCTACATGATTTCAACAGAGTCAAGAAAACACACTACAAAGTACAGCAAAGAAAACAGGTCTCCATTCATCGCCCAAACAGCCCGCCCGCCGGTGCTTGGTGCCCGAAAGGTCGCCGTCGCAGAGTCGGTTCAACTTGACTTCAAACACTCGTGCAATGAGATCCGGGTCGGTTGCATTCTTGGTCGTTCGGCCCCAGTGCAGCCTTTATTTCCGGCCATTCGAGGTCGCACCTCACCGTGATGGACAGCGGAGGCCTTCAATGTTTGTCAACGCACGCCATCGCATCCTCGCGCGGTCTATTCTTGCGCCGCCTCTATGCAGCCAGCTGTGCAGCTCTGGACTGCGTTGAACAGCTCCAGGCAGAATCGCGCTTCCAGCACGTGATATTATCGGTACATCGTCCAGAATCTCCCAGAATGAACGAGCATTCTGGAAAACCATAGAAATACCACCAAAGCAAAGCAGGAAGAGGACGGTGAGGAAGAACTTGAAGCAAGTAAGAGGAATCTTGGCTATGCGGCACTCACCCTGACTCCGTGAAATGTCTGTGTATCGGGGGCTCGCACGAGGGCGCTCGATGCTGTCGACTTTGAGGCGAGACCAAGCCCTGATCCGACCTCTGAATTGCTTACAGTGTACTGCTGCTCTGACGACAACAACGATTGGGCAGAAAGTGGTCGTATTGAGACGGAAGGAAGTGAATTCATTTGAAGCAGAGGGCTAGTGGTGACGAATTCAGCCTTGACAGAACAATGCATCCATCCTTCAGTCATTGTCAGTCGGTAGGAAAGCTCGTCCTCGTACCGTCGAAAACAATGCCACCGTGTCCTGCGAATGTACACGTTCACGGTGAGGGCGCACAACGAGTTTAGTCCGATGTTTCCTTTAGGGCGATGGGTGAAAATTCAGACCTACTCTGGAGATGCTCCCGCTCGCCTTCGAGGAATCCAGAGGGTCCACTGGGCGTTGGATCGGGAAATGAGAAGTAGGCCACGCGATCCTTTCGAAACGACGGCAGCGATCCTAGGCGAAGGATGAGATTGTCGGATCGTCGAAGAGGAGGGTCGAGCTCGGGGTGCTTAGCATTGTATTCGGAGATGAATCTGTCCCGGAGGGCGTGTAAGACTTGTAGGATCGAATGTGAACAGGGGCGGGGGCGAGTCTGAGTCAGACACTACCGCAGCAGATACAACGCGGAGGTCACGAGAACACACAGAAGTACTTACGGTATCCAGAGTACTTGATGATCTTCCAGTAATCGTTGCAGAGGCCACGCTCCCCGTAATAGAACTTCATCGACTCTAGCCAAACCGCCCATACCTCTGGAGAAAAGATGTTCCAGCCCGAACGTTGCTCAAGTCGAGTCTCAATCTCCTCGCAGTAAAGTCTGAGTGCCTTGCTGTACGCCTCGAGCTCTTGCCACGTGTTCTCGGAGACGGCCTGCCAGATGATCTCGGCTTCCTTGTAAAAGCGGGCTTTCGGCCGGCGACCAGCGTACTCGAAGAAGCGAAACATCATGTCGGGAAGGAAGTGCTCTCTTCGGTCGATCAGTACTCGCAGTGGGATGCCCTTGGAGCGGGTTGGAGCTGGGGTTTCGGGCATGATTATGCTGGTGCGGAGAGGTGGCTGCAGTGGCAAGTGCCAGGCTGGAGTGACGCTCTAAGGTCAATGAGCGAGTCAGAAATCGAACAATGACGCCCGCACGGACGAGAAGGCGTGGAACAGACCAGGACCGGTTGGGATTGAGCACGAGCAAAGGGTTCAGTAGGCTAGGAGCGCACGCCCACGCGAGCTACTAAGAGGGAGGCTGAGGGAGGCAGGAGGAGGCGGAAGGCACAGTGGAGGCGAGTGGAGGCACACGCCGCGGCTCGCCGCGCTCGCCGCCGCTCAAGTTGTCAGGACGACTCTGCATACGTGACGCACAGGCTGCCTGCCACCACTGCACCAGTGGGCGAGCACTGCAGTGAACACTGAGGATCGTCCAGCGACCTTTGTGTCGCCCTTACCAAGTAAAGAGCACGCATAAACACGCGACGAAGCCTGTCAAGAGCTCCGCAGGAGCGGAATACTACATCGTATACGTAGTGGGAGCCTACTGAGTCAGGGGACGGTGAAAGCTCGGATGGCCAAGACGGACCCAAGCTATTGCCAGCTATACGTTATTACATGCGAGAAGTATGGGCCTACACGCCGACGGAATTAGGAACTCGACAAATCTGACGCAAATGAGAAGGGGAGTGAGTCTGGGTGAAGATGAGATCGCAAAATCAAGTCTGTCAAGTTCTTACAAGCCACGATTGGTACGGGGGGACAAAGCGCAGCCCAGTGAACATGATTGGGCTAGATGCACGGAGGTTGTGATGGGTGACTTGATGTTGTAGTAGAATAAATCAGAACTGCTCGAGCATGTATTAGGCACAGATCTAATGGATTCTTGCAATTGATGGAGCGGAAAGAGAACCGGAAGCCGTATCACTCGGAGCTGCATACAACGACTCGGTAGCGGCCGTAAGGCACAGGTCAATCGCGATCGCAGGTTCGGCGACTCGGAGGCCAATCCGAGCTACCAACCAGTCTCGAGTTACCCTTCTTGGGGACCGTTTCTTTGCGCTCGTATCCATCAGAGCCCATCCTGAATGATGGATACAGTCGTACAATTGAAGGTTCGATCAAGCACCAAGGTACCGAGGATGCCCCTAGAAGAAGCGCGGGGTAGGCTGCCGATCGATGCCGATGCCGAGAATGATCAAGCCGAGGTCATAAAATCTTGTCATACGGTCCACTAAGCATAAGCTCATGCCAGTTCCAGCTCATGCCCGTTCTTCTTCTTGGGAGCTTCGATGCAAAGCTTATTGGTAGCAGGAAGTGAAGGCCTCTTGGATGGAAGGTCCTGGAGCCAATCTGCGTCCTCCTTATATATGTTTCCGATCCTAGTGGTCGAATCGGTCACGATTTCATCCCGCCGCAATCCCAAAGCACAACTCGTCATCAATCGCCGAGGGTGCACTAGACCGGACACTCTTCCCGTCTGATGCTTGCAAAGTGTTTTGGGTTCTTCTTGGTAAGGATCGGCTTTGTTGGTTGCTCTGCTTGCCCGAGAAACGACGTCCGTTCGGATCTTCGACGTTACGGACCTGCTCAGCAAGTGGGCTCGGCGATTGATTGAAACTCGAAGTGAAGGATAGCTCAAAGTGACCGATAGATGCGTCGAGCTAGTCGGACGTGGTATCGGTACATGAATGGGTGTCGTATCGATCGTTTCTGGGGAAGCGGAACAAAGAAAACGCCGAGTTAGTACACCAGATCGAGCGACACGGCGAACGCGCTAACGGTCGGGCGACGAGTCACGGTAACCTTCTCGTACGGCTTCTATTTCACAGCAGATGCTGTGACAACGAACGTCAGCACAGCAACGGATCTCACAAAGACAACGCGTAGTATTCGATATTCGAGCTGTCACCACTGACCTGCACTCGTTCGTGTAGTCCACTGATCGCGCTCGACCAACGTTGGCTCCGACCTGATCCTTGTCGGCGACTCCTGAACATGCCCTATCTGAAGACCTCGTTCTGCCTGTATTCCAAGCTTCGCTACTTGCTCTTCTCTCGCCCTTCTCATCTCCAAGAACGCTTTTGTCAAGCTTGCGGCCCGCTTAGACAACGAAGTTGGCGAAGTTGGCAGAGGCGTGGGGGAAGTTGGTAGAACTGAGGTGGGGAAAGTTGGCATGGCCCACAGGAGGTTAGCAAAAGTCACGTGGTGCCTGGGACGCGACAATCGCATGAAGATCTTTCTCAGCCCCCTACCTGTCTCGAGTTAGGCCCAACGTCCGCACTTTTTTGGATTCCACACCAAGACGATGTGTTTCACCACGTCACCAAAGGACTCGCTGTCAATGGTTCATTCGTTCCGATGCCGTTCAGCAAAGCCGTGAACAAGTACTAGTGCGCTGGATCGGGATTGATCAGGCCAAGGTGGGCCTCATCGACCGGAATTACCTCCATGGCCTTTCAAATTACTTAATTATCGACTAATTGTCGTCCTTACATCGCCGCCGTCGACTTTCAAGCGTTCGCTCAGTCCAGCTGAGCCCGCGGCCCCAGTTCGACCCCTACGTACCACCGTCGGCCTCGTCCACGCATAGACCACAGACTATCACTTTCTGTTCTGTGTTTTCCTTTCTTTGCTTTGGCTTGTTTCCGGTCACCAGAAGACTTCGTTTGCGCTTCCTGTGCTTCGCTCTGGCCGTTCTATCTGCCACTGCAGTATCTCGCCTCGTGTAAGGTGCCGCTCGTGTGTGCGTACAGCTCAGCATGCCCGTCAATGTTCACGGGTAGCGGCGTAGCGTAAGACTTTGCTACTTTTCGGCCATTCGAGCTTCCTTCGCGAGCGTTGTTGTAGAACATTTGGTATTTGTTGGCATCGATATCGTTAGTCCCAGGCAGGGCACGGTGGCCCCCCCCCCCCCCGCCCTCCTCCTCTTCCTCTTTTCGGGGATAGATTCACCTCCTGTCACTGACGTCCAATGTCTAATTTCGTATCAGTTTTTCCATATCTAAGACTGCACAGCCATGTCAAGGGATCATGACTCTCTGCTTCCCAGACGACCTGTTTTGCGTGTCTACCACATCGTAGCGTAGTTCCTTCAATCATCCAGTTCCTGCCACTCCCGAAATGTCAGCTGCAATTTTTCACGTCCCGTCTCCTGTGCGACAATCTTCACGGAGAGCAGAGGGGCAGCAGAGACGTCGGCAACGTGAGCGAGCTCAGCGCGCCGCGCGCGAGGCTGCTCGCGTCCCTCCTCCTCCGCACAACCCCTCCTCCTCCCGCTCTAATCGCACAGACGCCGCCGCCAGCAACCTCAAACAATCGTCGAAGCTCAGCGGCAACGACTTCGCGCAGAATGGATCGTCAAGTCGATCTGCACCGGCAGCAGGCAGTCCCAATGTCGCCCGGCAAGTGCGACGGGCCCGCACCCGCAATCCTTTACCCCCGGGCTTGGGGTTCGTTCGTCCACGCTTTGAAGCAGTTCCAGACCTCTCTCGCGTCGCCGGTTCAAGTACAGACGCAACTGCAACTTCAGCCACTACTGTCGTCGATCGACGACCCGCGGGGCAGCGTCAACGACACCAACGCGCAAGAGAGCGATCGAGCCAGACCGTCCCAACTGCGCTGCTACCGTTGCCAGAAGGGCCTTTTCCCCGGCACGATCTTGGATCGATGACGTTGCAATGTCCGATCTGTTCGGCTCTACACTGGGAGTTCGAAAGATCACCGACCCCAGGCAGCGCCACACCCCCGGAGCTGCTCGCGCCTCTGACTGGCGATGGCCCAGGTTAGTACACGTCGATTCGTTCAACCTGCTAGATTGAGTACAGCGGACTAACGGCCTTGCTGACTATCCGTGAAACAGTTGAGAAGACTTTCCGGGACGGTATGCTTGCATTCAAAGAAAACCTTGCTATGGCATCATTCGGCACGAGCAAAGGCCACGACATCAACAGCCGCTCCGGGCCACCATCTTTCTACCTGAGCGGAATGGTATTTCACCGTATCGGAACCCTAGCACCAGCCCCAGCAGACGACCCGGTCTTTGCTCAGATTCTATTCCTGGCACCGACGGAACGCATTGAAGCCCGACGAAGATTCAACGGACCGCCTGAAGAAGTTCGACGTCTGGACTCAGCGTATCAGCAGATTGTTCCTCTGCTCGACGACATGCTACGACATCACAACAGGCGCGTCAAACTTTTCTTGACAGCACAAGAGTTCATGGACAGTGATGCGTCTCATATGCACCAGCTGCGTTTACTTGCACCGCGCAATCGAGATCCGAGAACCTACAACTTGCCGATCCAAGACGAGGTGGCCGTCATTCTACCCGGCCCGGAGACGAGACCGAGTACCGATCTTCAAGAAGAGAGTTCGTCGTTCGGTTACGTCACCCGCCAAACAATGACGGCCGCGGAATTCAACTTATTCACGATGGTCACCCTGCACTCATCGCACTCACGTACCCGCTATTGTTACCGTCTCGCGAAGACTGGTACCACGACAGAATTCCCCTCAGCCAAAACACTTTCGCAAGGGAGGCAGCTCGTCGCGTGCGGGACGAAAACGGCGTCTTGCAACGCACAACGAATAACACCAACGCCAACCCACAAACCGGAAGGGCCGGATCCAAACGTGTGACGCAGAGCCAATTCAACGCGTTTTACTTCCATATTTCAGTTACCCGACGTCGTTCCTTGAGGGCCGGTTGTTCCAGATATTTGTCGCGGACGCCTGGGCATTAACTGAACAAGAACGGCTATATTGCATGAGAACGAATCAGCCAAAGCTCAGAGCCGAAGAGTATTCGTCCCTTCAAGCAAGTCTGGCTGAAGGACTCGATCCCGCGCAGATTGGCAAAAGAGTCATTCTACCGTCGTCACATACTGGATCGCCACGCCAAATGGTCCAACTTTACCAAGATGCTATGGCCATCGTTCGTGTTTTTGGTGCTCCGGACATGTTCATCACGATGACATGCAACCCTGCCTGGTCGGAAATCGTCAACGCGTTGCTTCCTGGCCAAACCGCATCCGACCGTCCCGACATAGTAACACGGGTCTTTCACGGTAAATTGAAAGCTGTTCTTGCGGATGTATTAGGCGTTCGTCGAGCGCCGGGAGTGTCTGGAAAGGTATGTCAATCGGCGCGGTCAATATAAAATGGATAGAATGCTCACGTGTCTCAATTCTTTGCGCAGGTCATCGCATATGTCTATGTTGTCGAATTTCAAAAGCGCGGGTTGCCTCACGCCCATATCCTTTTGATCATGGATCCACAAGACAAACCAAAAACAAACGACGACTACGACAAGATAGTCACCGCAGAAATATCGGACCGCGACAAATTCCCTGCATTGTTTGAGACCATCACAAACTCCATGCTACACCGGCGATGTGATCTTGCCACGACGACCATGGAAAATGTACCAAAGGGTTTCCCAAACGACTCCAACCGCGCACGACCAGCGAAGACGGTGGATATCCTCACTACCGGCGTCGCGGAATACACCAGTATGTCAAATTCCCGGGAACAGCGCAAGAAGAAGTTTTCACGGATGCAAACGTTGTTCCTACAAATCCGTGGCTTGCTTCCAAGTACAATTGTCATGTCAACGTCGAAATTGCGAGCGGGGTTGCAGCAGTCAAATATCTGTACAAGTACGTTTACAAGGGACACGACCGTACTTCGTTCACGATCGACGAACCCGGAGCTCAAGACGAAATCGACGAGCGGAGTGACACTAAAGCCCTAGGCCCTAGGCCCTACGCTCTGGGTTCGTCGGCGATCGTGAATGAAGTACGGTCGTGGCCCTTGTAAACGTACTTGTACAGATATTTGACTGCTGCAACCCCGCTCGCAATTTCGACGTTGACATGACAATTGTACTTGGAAGCAAGCCACGGATTTGTAGGAACAACGTTTGCATCCGTGAAAACTTCTTCTTGCGCTGTTCCCGGGAATTTGACATACTGGTGTATTCCGCGACGCCGGTAGTGAGGATATCCACCGTCTTCGCTGGTCGTGCGCGGTTGGAGTCGTTTGGGAAACCCTTTGGTACATTTTCCATGGTCGTCGTGGCAAGATCACATCGCCGGTGTAGCATGGAGTTTGTGATGGTCTCAAACAATGCAGGGAATTTGTCGCGGTCCGATATTTCTGCGGTGACTATCTTGTCGTAGTCGTCGTTTGTTTTTGGTTTGTCTTGTGGATCCATGATCAAAAGGATATGGGCGTGAGGCAACCCGCGCTTTTGAAATTCGACAACATAGACATATGCGATGACCTGCGCAAAGAATTGAGACACGTGAGCATTCTATCCATTTTATATTGACCGCGCCGATTGACATACCTTTCCAGACACTCCCGGCGCTCGACGAACGCCTAATACATCCGCAAGAACAGCTTTCAATTTACCGTGAAAGACCCGTGTTACTATGTCGGGACGGTCGGATGCGGTTTGGCCAGGAAGCAACGCGTTGACGATTTCCGACCAGGCAGGGTTGCATGTCATCGTGATGAACATGTCCGGAGCACCAAAAACACGAACGATGGCCATAGCATCTTGGTAAAGTTGGACCATTTGGCGTGGCGATCCAGTATGTGACGACGGTAGAATGACTCTTTTGCCAATCTGCGCGGGATCGAGTCCTTCAGCCAGACTTGCTTGAAGGGACGAATACTCTTCGGCTCTGAGCTTTGGCTGATTCGTTCTCATGCAATATAGCCGTTCTTGTTCAGTTAATGCCCAGGCGTCCGCGACAAATATCTGGAACAACCGGCCCTCAAGGAACGACGTCGGGTAACTGAAATATGGAAGTAAAACGCGTTGAATTGGCTCTGCGTCACACGTTTGGATCCGGCCCTTCCGGTTTGTGGGTTGGCGTTGGTGTTATTCGTTGTGCGTTGCAAGACGCCGTTTTCGTCCCGCACGCGACGAGCTGCCTCCCTTGCGAAAGTGTTTTGGCTGAGGGGAATTCTGTCGTGGTACCAGTCTTCGCGATACGGTAACAATAGCGGGTACGTGAGTGCGATGAGTGCAGGGTGACCATCGTGAATAAGTTGAATTCCGCGGCCGTCATTGTTTGGCGGGTGACGTAACCGAACGACGAACTCTCTTCTTGAAGATCGGTACTCGGTCTCGTCTCCGGGCCGGGTAGAATGACGGCCACCTCGTCTTGGATCGGCAAGTTGTAGGTTCTCGGATCTCGATTGCGCGGTGCAAGTAAACGCAGCTGGTGCATATGAGACGCATCACTGTCCATGAACTCTTGTGCTGTCAAGAAAAGTTTGACGCGCCTGTTGTGATGTCGTAGCATGTCGTCGAGCAGAGGAACAATCTGCTGATACGCTGAGTCCAGACGTCGAACTTCTTCAGGCGGTCCGTTGAATCTTCGTCGGGCTTCAATGCGTTCCGTCGGTGCCAGGAATAGAATCTGAGCAAAGACCGGGTCGTCTGCTGGGGCTGGTGCTAGGGTTCCGATACGGTGAAATACCATTCCGCTCAGGTAGAAAGATGGTGGCCCGGAGCGGCTGTTGATGTCGTGGCCTTTGCTCGTGCCGAATGATGCCATAGCAAGGTTTTCTTTGAATGCAAGCATACCGTCCCGGAAAGTCTTCTCAACTGTTTCACGGATAGTCAGCAAGGCCGTTAGTCCGCTGTACTCAATCTAGCAGGTTGAACGAATCGACGTGTACTAACCTGGGCCATCGCCAGTCAGAGGCGCGAGCAGCTCCGGGGGTGTGGCGCTGCCTGGGGTCGGTGATCTTTCGAACTCCCAGTGTAGAGCCGAACAGATCGGACATTGCAACGTCATCGATCCAAGATCGTGCCGGGGAAAAGGCCCTTCTGGCAACGGTAGCAGCGCAGTTGGGACGGTCTGGCTCGATCGCTCTCTTGCGCGTTGGTGTCGTTGACGCTGCCCGGCGGGTCGTCGATCGACGACAGTAGTGGCTGAAGTTGCAGTTGCGTCTGTACTTGAACCGGCGACGCGAGAGGGGTCTGGAACTGCTTCAAAGCGTGGACGAACGAACCCCAAGCCCGGGGGTAAAGGATTGCGGGTGCGGGCCCGTCGCACTTGCTGGGCGACATTGGGACTGCCTGCTGCCGGTGCAGATCGACTTGACGCCCCGCCCCCCCGCGAAGAAATCGGTGGGCAGCGCCGAAGGCAAGGGCAAGCAAGACCGGGAGGGAAAGCCAAAGTTTCGGAAACCATCGGCGAGAGATCAGTCGGTTGACTGCGAACGAGGATGATTGGCGTAGAAGCAGAGAGGCTCGAACCGCAAGTTGTTAGCACTTGCAGTGTCTGCACTTGTTGGCGCCGCGGCGTATGACTCCCACATCACAACGACGCGATCTAATTCCGCCACCCAATCCTCATGAACCTGTCGACAACGATAAGATGAAGCAGTTCTTCACACGCAACGGTGAGTCGTCGTCAGCTTTGGCGAGCTGAGGGTGATGCATAGGCCACGCTACGAGGTCAGGCTGCTGATGTCTGATCTTGACCAATGCGGGTTCAGCCAGCACGATCGTTCGGTGCAAATTGTGGGGCATCGTTCTACTGTATACGATCATGTACGCGGCCTTGAAAGCCAGCCGCTTCCTACCCGGGGCACTCCCCTTCCTCGTCGATTTTGTTTCGGCAAGCTATCTTCCCCACGTGGTCCCGTCCTCGGCTCAGCCACGCACGGTCTTCCAATCAGACCTCGAGTGAGTTTGCTCTCACAGCACTGGTAAGAGAACACTAGCTTATCAGAAACCCGTACATACCTCAGCCAAAGACTTGTCTACATGTTTCCGACCGCATGCGCCACGACCATCTTCGGCGGCGTTGGTATTCGCCTTTTATTGGAAGACCGTGCGTGGCTGAGCCGAGGACGGGACCACGCGGGGAAGATAGCTTGCCGAAACAAAATCGACGAGGAAGGGGAGTGCCCCGGGTAGGAAGCGGCTGGCTTTCAAGGCCGCGTACATGATCGTATACAGTAGAACGATGCCCCACAATTTGCACCGAAAGATTGTGCTGGCTGAACCCGCATTGGTCAAGATCAGACATCAGCAGCCTGACCTCGTAGCGTGGCCTATGCATCACCCTCAGCTCGCCAAAGCTGACGACGACTCACCGTTGCGTGTGAAGAACTGCTTCATCTTATCGTTGTCGACAGGTTCATGAGGATTGGGTGGCGGAATTAGATCGCGTCGTTGTGATGTGGGAGTCATACGCCGCGGCGCCAACAAGTGCAGACACTGCAAGTGCTAACAACTTGCGGTTCGAGCCTCTCTGCTTCTACGCCAATCATCCTCGTTCGCAGTCAACCGACTGATCTCTCGCCGATGGTTTCCGAAACTTTGGCTTTCCCTCCCGGTCTTGCTTGCCCTTGCGAGTGGGAGGCCCTGAAGGCCGACACCAACTGAGGTTGGATGTCCAAGAGTGCATTGAGAGCACGAGAAAGTGAGTGTATTGTCTGCCCAATTGATAGAGGGATTGAAGAGACGTAACCATGGGGTGCCGAGCACCAGCGGGTCGGGGTAGGTACCCAACTGCGTGACATCGGCCTGAATGACTTGAGAGTGTCCTCCGAGCGTGATCGTGAGGCGAACGAAGTGGGTGACGTGGCCGGACGCGATGGGGCGGCCGTCGATGACGAAGAGTGGGATCGGAGTCGAGTGGGGGCGGCGGACGAGGCCATGACGAGACACGAAAAAGTCGTCAATGAACCTCTAAGAAACCGCAAGTCGAGTTTAAAAATCCCGACTCCCAGCCGACTCGCGCCCGACTCGGAGGCAACTCCCTGCCGACTAGAGCCGACTCGCGCCCGACTGGCCGTTCCCTAGACCTCTCCCCCGTGTCTCGCGTGTTTGGTCGCCTCTATCATCGACTCGGCGCCCTGATCCCTGCCGTGAATCAACGCCCAGCCTTTGCTCAGACATGGCTGGCTCATCGACCCGGCCGAGACCAACGCCTTTCGACCTGTACCCAACGGCGCACACAGTCGCATACAAAGATCTACTTTGACCAAGCTCGAGTCCATGCAGTGTTGCGTACCGGAAATCGCTTTGTGAAGGAGTTCGCATCGGCCAAAGCCCCTTAGCACCTGGCCGAGACCCGACGCACCCACGGTACGCAGCATGGACTCGAGCTTGGCCAAAGTAGATCTTTGTGTGCGACTGTCTGCGCCGTTGGGTCCAAGTCGAGTATCGGTTGCCTCGGCCGGGTCGATCAGCCATGTTTGAGCACATGCTGGGCGTTGATTCACGGCAGGGATCAGGGCGCCGAGTCGATGATAGAGGCGACCAAACACACGAAACAAGGGGGGTCCCAGAGTGCCCAGTCGTGTCTGGTCGACGTGAGCAGCGAGCGAAGTGAAGGACAGCGCGTTGTTGTACGACTGAGCGTTCTCGCGGAATGCTTTAGCTTCTGGGCGTGGGTCGCACAGTTCAGCATGTGGATCTGCAGCAGACGAATGTTGTTGGACGGAGCAACTGACCGCTATCCGAGCCTTCAAGTAGCTGTCATTACTCGGGATTGGGCCGGGGAGGGGGAGCCAGCCGCACGTTGCCCTGCGAGCAGCCCGTGCTAAAGTGTCCGGTCGAATTGGACCTTTCGCACTCCCAGTGTCGAGCCGCTTTGTGAGGCAGTTCGCATCGGCAGGCATCGGCCAAAGCCCGCGCAGGTTGGGATACGGCCAAAGAATGGGTCCTGCGCCTCTGCCAACCACCTGGCCGAGACCGACACAACCACAACCATCCTACATCGAGCAGAAATGGCGATGCTTATCTGCGATTCCGACACCAACACGGGAGATCTTGGACCGCAAGACCTTATTCTCCGGGTGCACGGTGATCGATGTCCAAATGGTCGGCCCAAGTACCAAGTCGTCAGCTCGCTCCATCCGTCCGCGATGCCTCTCCGTTACCCACTTCTGTTCCTCGCAGGAGAAGGTGCCTTTCACCCCAACATTCCTCTCTGCGGGTTCAGCCAAGCTGGGCCGCCGATCGCCAGAAACCGAGAGTAGATCGACAATGGTGTCCAACTGCGCGAGGTACTGCCGATTTTGGTCTTGATGACGAAGACGAAGACGAAGAGGAGGGCCAAGATCGCGCGATGAGGATGAAGATGACGAGGAGGACGAAGAGAGTGGTGATGGTGAAGGTAAGCGTCTTCGGCTCTCTCTCACGTGTTCCATTGCAAGCACAGACTGACATAGAATGTTTGGATATCTACAACGAAGGTCAAGGAAAAGCGGTCGAGGTGGATCGACCCGTCGCGTTCCCAATTATTTGCGTACTACTCGCACGATCGCGACAACTACTTCTCAATCCCGCATTGCACCCAGCGTCTCTCTTCGAGTTCGTGATCGACGGATACTCCCAAATCAAGACCGCTCGACTCAACTACATCCGGTTGCATCAAGAAAACCTGCGCCTCACTACGACCCAAAGCATCACCGACTCTGTTGCCAACGGCTTGACCCCGGATCAGATTGGACGTTCGGTGATTTCGGGCTTGACGTTCAAGAATAGACGGCGCGGGATCAAGCAGTGTTACCAGGATGCGATGGCGTGCGTTGTCAAACATTGAAGGCCTCCGCTGTTCATCACGGTGAGGTGCGACCCCGAATGGCCGGAAACCAAGGCTGCACTGTGGCCAGACGACAAAGCTTGCAACCATCCGGAACTCATTTTACGAGTGTTTGAAGCCAAGTTGAACCGACTCTGCGGCGACCTTTCGGGCACCAAGCAACGGGCAGGCTATTTCGGCGATGAATGGAGAACCGTTTCTTTGCTGTACTTCGTATTGTGTTTTTCTGCCTCTGCCGAAATGCTGAAATCACGTATATTGTTCGATTCTTCTGCTATTTGAATTTCATCCTCCCGTTAATTTAACGAATTCCCACTGGTTGAAATCTATTAGATTAAGAAAAAGACCCCGTTCTCCGAGTTGGGTCTACAAGCGGGGCATCTTACCTGTTGTTTATGATAAAGTAACCTCGAAAAACCCAGATTCCTGGACATCGAAGTAGTACTGTATAATCCGGCCAGGTCCGATGCCGGAATGGCAAATCGAAGAAAGTCTTTGTCGTTGCGCCTATCATCACACTGATGTTCCTCAGTAATTGGCATGGAGTACACTTTTACCAGCCCTTGCCACATACTTCGAATCCTCCCGTCCGGTGAGCTACCGAGAGCAACAGAAGTTCGAGCCGTACGTCAGCCGTCGCTCATGCCATGGTCGCGTGTGTCATGCCGACAATGGGCGCGCCGCGCCTCGTCGCGCACGCTGCCGTAGCACCGGGTCGTTTCTGCAAGGTGCGCCCGTTGCATTTCGTTTTCTGGAATTCCCCCCCGCCTCCCCCGGCTTCCTCATTTCAGACCGACCCTGTTTACCGTTCATTTTCAATCTTCCATTCCCCTATCCTCACCCCGACTTCCACCCTCGTCCCGCCCAGGCATCCGCTCCCCTGGTCCCACTCGTTCAGCAAGGTTGACTTTCATTCAGTCAACGCCGTCGTCGTCCTCGTCGTCGGAGTCCGTGGTGGGTCAACGCGTAGTCCGCGACCCCGCCAAAGTCGCGTACGCCCGCATCGACGCGCAAAGGCCTCCTTGCGGTAATCGATAACAGCTCCACCAGACCGATTCGATCGCAGAAGTCTTCCACCACAAAAGCAATCTGCCCACCATGGCACACAAGGACCAATCAGCCCGACTTCGCCTGCATCGACAACCCAAGCGACAGTTCGACGACAACGACACCGACTCGGACTCGGGCTCGGGCGACGATGCTGCAGGAGACGATGCCACGACCCCAGCCGGCACCACTATACCAGCTTCTGTCGCCTCACCTACGCCACGAGCCAGTACCACACCCAGCCTTGTCCCGACGACGACACCTTCAACCACTCCATCGACGACTCCCTCCCAGACTCCGGCGACGACGCCCGCAATCGTGCCGACCACCACTACTAGTAAGTTGTCGTCTTTCACTCGCTCTGAACAATGAGAACATCATCTTTTCACTCTCTGGATTCGAGATTATACTCTTTCACCACAAACCGACTTGGGGATTTGCTGTCACGACTGCTTCCATCGACTACATGCGTGCGAAGATAATCGCGATCGGGGAATTTCGATGCGATTCAGCGACCCGTCGTTTGTTTGCAAGTGCGCGCCGCATAGCGCATGGCGCCAAAAGCCAGCGACGACCGGCCGATGTCGAGCTACGCCACGCAGGGTGCAGCCTAGTGGGGTCATCTAGTATCTCTTGGAACCTCGAGCCTGGATGACTATCTTGCCATCGCACCCGAGGATGCTTCCTGCGTCTGTGCTCGAGCTCTTGCGTTCGTCCGACAATTGCCGACTCGCGAGGCACGTCAGTGGCAGCGCGCGCCGCGCCGCGCCTACGCACAGAGCACGCACGCGTCGTCGTCATGGTCGACGGTCCCGACGGGACGAGCACACCGTCTATGACCATTGATGAAGGCTCCTAGAGCCGCCTTACTTTTTGGGTTCCTTCGGAGATTTCGAGTGCGGATGGAGCTTGGCCGGTGTGGACTATGTTCCATTAGCCCCCGCCTCATCAATCGATCCGGAGCGGGAATAGGGGCCACCACGCGTAGAACCGATTGGGCCTGGAGCGCATCCAGACTCTGCGTCCGTTGGTGCTGTTGTGCTGATCCTCGTGAGCCTCGTCTTTTGTCAATGCAGCCACCACTACACCTGTCGCCACAACTCGAGCCGTGACCACGACGGCGGAACGTATCACAACAACGGATGAGGCTGCGGACACAACGACGGACGAGGCTGCGGAGACAACGACGACAGCATCAGCAACCCCGACCTCTTTGCTTCTTTCTTCGTCCTTTTCCTCGTCCACTACGACCGCCTTGCCATCAGCTAGCGTGACCGTCGTCGTTGTGTCCGCATCCCAAACCTCGACCGCGAGCGGGACCCTGGCTTCGAGCGAATCGAGCAATTCCTCCTCTGGCCCCTCCACAGGCGCGGTCATCGGCATCGTCGCGGGCTCGTTGTTGGCCGTCATCGTCGTCGCCGCTCTGGTCGCCCAAGTCCTCAAAAGGCGACGTCGCTCCAGTGACGATGACGACCCCTCACCTTTCGAGCGTGACGAATACCGTCGTGGCTCGGTCATGCTCGAGGACGATCTGGATGTGTATGGCGAAGCGGACCATAGTCCGGATCCTTACTACGCTGCAGGGGGGGCTGTGCAGATGCAGCAAATCAACGAATACGGAAACCTCGATCGATCGAACACGATGGGCAGCCAAGGGTCACTGGCTTTGCCTACCTTGGCCAGGAACGGCACGCTCGGCACACCGCGGCCACCTTCGGGCCTTATCCAACACGTCGCGTACCAACAGCAACACCAGCAGCAACACCACATGATGGCTCCCACCAACTTTGGTCCCGGTCAAGTCTTGCCTTCGATGCCACCCCCGATCGCGTACCCTACCGGACAGGCCGCAGGAACAGGATTGAACTATGCCAACTCGATGTCGGGATTATCGCGCTCAGAGTCGGGAGGAGCGTTCGGTTCTGGTCCTTACCGCGCGCCTTCGAACGATCGTCAAGTGTGGCAACCAGCGGGTCTTGATCGTCAAGGCTCGATCATCTCGGTCTATTCGACCCGATCGGACCAACCTCATGCTGGTGCACCGAATGGATACTCCTCGCACGGAGCAGGAGGTGTTAGCGACGAGCAAGCTCAACGCTTATCTTTGGTCAGGGAAGAACACGAATCCGATACGCAGTCCTTGTCCTACCCTATCGTTCGATCGGGAACGCCGACCAATTCGAACGTGCAGCAGACCTTCTTCTCGCATCGTCACGAGGACTCGTTCGACGGCGCGAGCTCGATGAATGGAACGACTGGAACGGTGCTCACGAGTCTACATGGTTACGAGAGTTGGACGGGGTCCCGACCGGCTCCAAGTGATGGGGGACCCACGAGACGCTTGAGCGTCGTGAACGGGGGACTAAATGATTTCGATCGTGAGGAGGGAGAAGGATACCACGGAGCTTATAGGCGATAATAGACGGGCCTTACTCAGACTTTCCATTATCTATCTCTGACTTTCTTTATCGCGTGTCGGGAGCTGTGCTGCCACATACTTCTTATTCTTAGCTCTCCCTGATGATTTGGGTCCGTGAGATTTCGCGTCGTTTGTTCGTGTATACCCCTCTCACAGCCTGAAGTTCATCTTCAATGACATACTAGAAATGACTACACCGACACCGATTATCACTACAAAGTAACGCGCTTATCAAGCCGCCCTACTATCGTGTCCATGTCGTTCCGAATCCTTTCCAGAAAGGTCAATCGCACTGCTCGTATAGGGGGATAGACGAGCTCGCCACGAACAGATGCTTCAAACGCTCCTTGACGCTCTTGGACTTTCGCATCGCTCGCTTGGAGTCCGGTTTAGACTTTTTCGCTACGTAAATCGGTGTGATGACCTCTTGAGGCTGCACTTCTTGTACGTCCTTTACGGTCGAAGTCAATAAAGGTTCGAGATCCTCGACCCCTTCCCAACCACCTTTGACGCCAATCTCAATCCCCAAACCGATCAAGCCCGATCGAAAAGCTTTCGCTTCGGCGGCGGATGAGAGACCGAAGAAGACGTCCAGTGGGTCCATACCGTCAGCTGGAATCTTGTTGAGAGAAGGTGAAGGACATCTTCCACTTTTTGGGCTTGAAGTCTTGAAGTGATTGGGGGAAGCGGTGCGAGAACTTGGAGCTGGCGAGGAGGCAGTTGAGGTGGAGGAAGATCGGGGGGTATTTAGGGAGGTATAACCCAGAACGTGAAGGGAACGAAGAGACGTCTCGGTAAGGAGAAGACGATTGTAATCTTCAGAATGTTCTGCTGAGGGAACGGCGGCGAGTTGCTTCTCTGTTTGGGCGTTATGGGCCTGCGTTCGGGTTGTTGAGGTCATCGCGAGGATAGGGGAGCTAGGCGCACTGCTGTTGTGTTGGCGTGGCGTTCTCGGACTTGTGGGAGAAGCGGTAGGAGAGTAGAAATCAAAGGTGAAGGGTGAGAGCATAAATGTGGTGAGACCATCTTGTTCGCCGGCCCATCTTTCGTGATCCGTCACAAGGGAACGCTTCTTCCAACTCGAAGAATCGACAGACAGCGAATCCGAAGGTAGGAGAGGTGGTGGTCGAGGCGTACGATGACGGGTGGATTGAAAGTGTCGAAGGTTACGACCTGGGGGAACCGTGGGTAGGGAGAATGAGTTGGAGGATCGTGTTGGGGTGGTGGGTTGGAAGGCTACCCATGTCGAGGTTAATGCGCGAGGAGTGCGGTCGAGCTGCGGCGGGTTTCGAGGCGGTCCGATTTCAACGTGCGATCATACAGAGAACATTGCATGCCACGAAAATCTGCCTACTCACTCGAGGAGACATCTCAGGCGACCACGTCAGATACTGTCAGTACTGATGGTACAAGATCGGGAGTGACGGCGTTGAACGAATCGGCTGGTAGTGGAGCGCCCTGATCTGACCGGCAGACAAGGGGTTTTCTTGACAGTCGCTGTCAAGAACACAGAGCTGCCGCTCCAATGAAAGAGTAGAGACACGGCACCGTTCCCTCAAATGAACGACCACGAATCGGAGAAGAACGAAAGGTCTGGACCGAATATCTTGACGCGGTTGACGCACAGGCTCCCTTTGTCCGACACGCTGAGAGGCCTTTGTTCGAGTGGAGACTCGGTCCCCTCCGTCGCGACGTTGGAAGGCTCTCCACGTCAGGGGGCCCGTCGGTAGCTACTTTCGTATTGAAAAATGCAATACATGAATGCCCTCGTTTGCTCAGGCCCAATGCATAGGGGCCAAGTGGGAGAGCCCGTGCGGCAGCGAACCTACCTTTCTCGTGGCCAAGCGAGGGGTGCCGTCGGCTGGGTATGGAAGCTGAGCTTGTGCCTGATAAAGTCGAAAGCATTCCAGTATGATAGACCTATCTAGAATCACTACCCTGCGTTTCGTCCACCTCCAGTCTTAGTCCTCTGAGCTCAAGTTGGTTGAGGCGGCAGTGGACCCGTGCGCTGAAATTGTGTCGCAGAATTATTTTTTTTTTTTTTGTAGACTTTTTTTTTGTAGAAAACGTTCATCATATTGCCCCCAATTCCTGTTCCCCCTGTTTCGGCCTACGGAAAAACTAGATGGAAGACTACGATGATAACACAAACCGCCCGCAAAAGTGCGAGAAACGAGCCAAGTCCACCAATCCGAGATTCGGATTCAAATGCCCTAGCCAAGCGGTTGCTCCCCCCCAGGAGACGAATGAGAGAGAGAAAGAGAGATGAAGAGAAAGAGAAAGAGAAAGAAAAGAAATGTACTAACGACAGAAGGCCCACCCCACAGCCACTTCCCACTCGGTCGAGACGAAGACAAGAGCACGACTGCGCAACCACCACGACCCTCGACGCTCCAAGTCTCTGCTCAGTCACAACAAGACGCGGTGAAGGTCCCTCAAAACCTCCCCCTCGGCAGTCCCTGGCCCCTCAAAGCCGACTTTCTGCCTGTGTCCGCTGATCCCTCCCTTGACTCAGAACCCCGAAGCCGAAGAGCGCGAGCCACCGAGTCGACGCCAAATCGCGAGATGGTCCATGATCCGCAACGGTGAACCTGTAACAAAAGAAAGAGGAAAGCGAGCTATTTAGTGTACAGTAGGAGAAAATGATGTCACGAGAATTTGGTGTGTGTGTGGTGGTGGGGGGAAAGTCGAACCCAGCCTCTACTGCCTTCTCCTCCCCCAAGCTCCTCCCGCCCTCAGCTTCAACCTCTCCTCCAAGATTATCCTCCTCCTCCCAACACCCTCCATCCTCGTCCCCCACTTCTGCATCCCCCACCTCCCGCTGCTGATCATCTCCAAGACCAGCCCGGTGAATATTTCGATCGTCCTCCCCGCTCCTTCTTGATCGCGCAGACTGGCCTTGAGCTTCGGAAGTCCGAACATGCGTTGAACGGCCGTGTAATGCGTGTTGTCGATCGTGTCGAGCCCCAGTGCGTCGCAGAGCACGCCCCTTGCCGCGATCCAAACGTTCCTAGAGTCAACGCAGTCGAAGAAGTAGTGCTCCCGATCGTCCTTGGGCGCTCCACAGACGAGGCACGCGGGCGAGTCGTCGTGCTTTTGATGAAACTGCAGACTCCGAGTCGGGGTGAAGTTCCTGACGAGCTTGAACCACACCTCGCGTTCCCTCGCCGTCAATGCCTTCGAGTTGACCCCCTTCCAGAATCCCTTGAGATCGTCGGGCTGCAGCGAGTCCCTGAAACCGATCGTGTCGGTGAAGGCCTTTGCATTCAAGACTCGGCGGACGCGACGGATGGTGTATGGCCGATCCATGCTGAGCAAGTTGTATTGTGTTGATTGGTCTGGGAGAGCCGGTCTCGGAAGGCGCTGCGGCGGGTCGATCGGATGGGGCAGGATCGACTCGAGCGGCGTGGTGGGGCGGACTCGGGGAGGCCCGTTGATTCGTACTGCCGCCACCGGTTGATTTTTTTTTTTTTTTTTTGTAGAAACCGTTCATCATATTGCCCCCAATTCCTGTTCCCCCTGATTGGCCTACGGAAAAACTAGATGGAAGTCGACGATGATAACACAAACCGCCCGCAAGATGCGAGAAACGGGCCAAGTCCACCAATCCGATACTTCGGATTCAAGTGCCCCAGCCAAGCGGTTGCTCCCCCCAGGAGACGAATGAGAGAGAGAAGGAGAGAGAGAGAAAATGAAAAAGAACTGGCGTACTAACGACAAGAGGCCCACCCCGCACCCACTTCCCAACTCGGTCGAGACAAAGACAGGAGAGCGACTGCGCAGCTACCCTGACCCGCGAAATCCCAAGTCTATGCTCGGTCACAACAAGACGCGGTGGAGGCCCCTCAAAACCTCCACCTCAGCAGTCCCTGGCCCCTCAAAGCCGACTTTCTGCCTGTGTCTGCTGATCCCTCCCTTACACTCAGAACCCCGAAGCCAGAGAGCGCGAGCCACCGTCGAGTCAATCCCAAATCGCGAGCCGGTCCATGAGCAACGGAGGCAGACCTGTAATAAAAGAAAGAAAGATGAAGAAAATATATTTAGTATACAGTTTTTGTAAGAGGATGTGTGATGTGGGGTGTGTGAGTGTGGGATGGGGTGGGGGGAAATCGAACCTAGCCTCTACTGCACTCGCCTGCCTCTTGCTCCTCCCGCCCTCAACTTCATCCTCTCCTCCAGTACCACCCTCCTCCTCTCCACGCTTTCCATCCTCGTCCCGTGCTTCTGCATCCTCCATCTCCCACTGCTGATCATCTCCAAAACCATCCCCGTGAAGATCTCGATCGTCCTGCCCGCGCCTTCCTGTGCGCTGAGCTTGGCCTTGAGCTTGGGGAGGCCAAAGAGTCGTTGAAGCGTCGTGTACTCGGCGTCCTCGATCGTGTCGCATCCGAGCGCGTCGCAGAGCACGCCCCTCGCCGCGATCCAGACGTTTCGCGAGTCGAAGCAGCCGAAGAAGTAGTGATCGGTGTCGTCCACCGGCGCTTCGCAGACGAGGCACGCGGGAGAAGTGTCGTGCTTTTGCTCGTGCTGGAGCTTGCGCGTCGGGGTGAAGCGGAGGATCAGCTTGAACCAAACTTCCCTCTCCCTCGCTGTCAGTGCCTTCGAGTTGACTGCCTTCCAGAAGCTCCTGAGGTCGTCCGGCTGCGGTGGTCCCTTGAGCCCGAGCATGTTGGTAAATGCCTTCGCGTTCAGGACCCGGCGGATGCGACGGACTGTGTAGGGGCGAGCCATGTTCAGCAGCGTATACTGGCTCGCCTGTTGTGGAAGCACCGGGTCCGGAAGGCGCTGCTCCATTGCGAAGCGGGCCACGGGCTTGGGGATGATCGCCTCGAGTGGTGCGCTGGTGCCGATCCGGGGAGGCACGTTGAGTCGTCCCGCCGCCACCGCCGCCGCCAAGGGGGTGTGACGGTTGAGTTCGACCCACGCGTGCAAGCAGGACATATGTTTCAGGTGTATCTTATTGAAGGTGTTAGTAGACCTTGCACTGATATCAGGGGCCGGATAGCTTAGAGGTCAAAGCTTTTCCGATTAATGGAAGCGACCCAGGTTCGACTCCTGGTCCAGCCGTTCTTCTTCTTTTGTTGATCATTTTCGGGATCATCGTTGATTCCAACATGGTAGCGTCTGTCGGTTAACAAGAGAAAGGGGGCGGCTGTCTCCGAACCATGCTGTAGAGCAAGATGCCAAAGCAGGTTCTAAGGGGAAGTGTGAGGATCTACACATGCGCGCGCGAAAATTATGGAGGGCATAAGGCAGCTTTTGCCCTATGGGGTCCGTACGGCAAGTTTCGGGATTCCATAAGGAATTTTGTAATGCCTCGATAATAATAAAATCCTTAAGGCCCCCGTAGGGCTTCCCTAGCGCCTCCCTACGGCGGGGCCATAAGGATTTCCCCTAGCGCGCGCATACGGTCACCGTAGTGCTTTCATACGGCGGCCATCGGGAAAATCCTTCAGGCATCGGGGTAGGGGAGCCCTATGGCGGCCGGCGTGCAGCCATATGGGAGCGATAGGGATCGTTTTATGGCTCTATAACGACGAGCCATATGGCACACGCAGGGATGTCGTACGGGCTCGATGAGGTCGCACTACAGTAGAATGAATTTGCTGTCATACGGAAGCCATGGTTGTCAGCCCAAGAGTCGCGTTCGGTCGCAGATAGTACTCCGGGCTACAGGGCTGATCATGGTACAGTGGGTTTTCACCCCTGTGTCACACGACTATGTTTTCTTGCATTCTCAAGCTCAAGGTCGCATACGAGGCCGAGCAGCCTCCGAGGGGCGACTCGGAGCTTGTCTGCGGCTTGCGGGTGGCTCCGGCCGTGCCGGGGGCGGTGGCTGAGACCGACCCGACCGGTTGTGAAAGAGGAGGCGAGAGGAGCCAGCTGGAACAGCCCCGGCGCCTTCGCGGAGCCCCACCCTCTCTTTCGTTTGCCCATTTGACATTTCCGGGCACAACACACCCCTCGACAGCGAACACGATGTCCATTCAGTCGAGGGATTTGGAACAAGTCATGGAGAATGGTGGGTGCTAACGACGTCATGGTTCCCGGCCGACCTGGGTGGTAGCGACTCCTTGCGGCACTGGGACCCACGCCCGGCCGCCGGCTCGCAGTCGCGTTGACGCGCACACTTTCATCATGTCATCATCCTCATCGCCATCATCCACAGACTTCGTTTTGGAATGGTCCTCTCAGCGAACTTCTGCCGGCTATGTGTGCCGGTACTGTGGTGGCGAGCGCATGTGGTATCGTCGCGCCGTTCGGCACGCCACGACCAAGAAGCACCTCGACGCGTACAACAGTCGAGCCGATCCCGCTGTCAATTGGGCCAACCGGTTACTGCAACCCACGCCTCAGGCGCTCTCGAGCAGCGACGAGGCCGACTTGATCGATTTCAATGAAAATCCGGCAGAGACCGGAACAGTAGGCCACTCTCTGCTTGCTGTCGCTGGCGAGATCATCAAGTCGTCTGAACGCGTGCCTGCTTCCGATCCGTCCCCGCCAAGTGATCAGGAGGATTCCGCTCTAGACCACGCCCTCTTCGTTCCAGAAGGCAATTGCTCGCCCTATTCCCAGGGCACTGGCTCCAAGTCCGACAGCGCGGTCGAGATCGATGGCGAGGCGGAGGAAGAAGAGTCGGATGACTGGGTGCAGACTTGGGCCACTGCGGGCTCCACCAGTGAGTGGGGACGAGCAATGATGCAATGCCCGTCGTGAATTTCCCACTAACGCAAGTATTTCCCAACTTGTTGTCTGTAGCTGTGGTGACAGGCACCCCCGCGATGCGGACACGGCTGGGCGTGCGCAACTACACAAGCGTGCCCGATTCGTCGCATCCCTGGTATCCCTTCCCCAATCAGAACGTGCGCCGATCTACTCTCGTTGCTCCGGAATCACGCGATCGGCCAGGAGCTGACCCCCTTGTGAACACAGATGATGATCATCGTCGTGTTTTTCAGATCCTACAAACGTAGGTCCCTGCGATTCCGTGTCAATGGACGAATGCCTTTGACTGAACCGTTTCCGGGAACGAACAATTCTGCACAGCATTTTGCAACGCCTTCATTGACCCTCTCGTGCGAAGCGCGGAGGAGAATCAAAGACGCGCTCGAGTGGATGAAGAGGGTCGAAAAGAAGTGCGTAGTCGACGACTTTTACATCAGCAAGGCTAAGGAAGCACTTTTAAACCTGCCGTGGCACGAGTTACCGTGCGTGCCAGTGGGCAACTTGAACGAGCTCAGCTGGGCATAAGCGACTTGAGAACTTGCTCAGTAAGTTCACCCTTCTCACGGCCACTCTTACTCATCTGATGTTCAACGTTTGCTTGGACAATATCAGTTCGAATTGTGGCTTAGCCGACTGGGCAAGGCACGACTGCGTCGGGATCGCGAGCACCGCCCAGTTCATCAGGGCACACCCCGACTCGGTCTGGTCTGTGCCAACCTGTGACGAGAATCACTGGTTCCTGGGAACGATTGATGTGAAACATGGAGCCTGGTCCATACACAATTCACTTTCCTCAAGGAAGCTCACGGTCGCCGCTCTAACTTACGCTCTGGACGCACAAGTTTTCAAAGTACTTAATCTCAACATTGATGTGAATCACGGTACGACGACAAGGGCACCTTAACAACAAGATACCTTCTCGTGCGGTCCTGCCATTGTGAATGTCGTCGAACACGAACTCGTACACGAGAAGGCGTTTGATCCAACGCACGCGGCTCTATCGCGAATCCGTCAATTTTGCCGCGCTGTCGACATGATCGAGGCCCAGGAGGTCACGCCACCGTCACGGGGAAACCCCGGGAAAGCCCCCGTCTTGCCAAAGATGCCCAAAGAGCACACACAAACCACTCATGACGTTCGTGATCCATTGAACCCATCGTACGTTCCATAGTTCCACTAGGCGTCAGTCAAAGGGGTTGCAGCGCCCGAGACCTTCGATCGGGCAATAGTAGAGCCTGCTGTGACGCAGCGGCCTGCGGGATGACGTCAGGCCTTGCGCTAATGTTGCCCGGACTGCGAACGTGACCTCGGCTGATTCGCCTCGTGCCACCCACTTCCGATCACCCACAGGTGTCTTCGCGTTAGAGGCGCTGCCTCCGACATCATGATAGGTCCTTTTCGCCCCTGTGCTTCAAGATCATACCCCACGTGCTTGATTCGACCTTTTCTGGTGACCTCCACTCGACTTGGGTCGACCAGGGTTCCCCATTAGATGTCCAGATATCTATCTTAGCATATCTCGCTAAGATATAGATGACATCTTATCTAGGGGCCGAATATCTTAGATAGATAGATAAGGCCCCGGGGGTTTCCTTAGATATCTTTAGGATATCTTAACTTTTTTTGTGTCTGATACAGACTCCTGTTGCGCTGGAAGTTGTACTTTCCACTAAGGAGGTTCTTGCTCCTTAGCGAGGACATCGAATTTCAAGTCGTATTCGGCTCAATCCCCATGTTTGTGCCGCATGGTTTGGCCCAAGCGCTGACCGCGGGTGAGGCGGCACGGCTTGCCGACGGGCCAATTTGGGAGCTGAGGCTTTCAGACGTTTTTGCTGCCAGAGGGTCCTTATCCTTATCCTTAAACTATCTAAAAAGAACTGTGTGGCTAAAGAACGTCAAAGAACGTCAGAGAACGAAAGCTTAAACTATCTAAAAAGAACTGTGTGGCTAAAGAACGTCAAAGAACGTCAGAGAACGAAAGACAAACCAGGGAGACAAAGAACGTCAAAGAACGTCAAAGAACGGGAACCATCTGGCGTGACGTCATAGGCAGCTCTCGGTCCAGCGCGTCCCAGCTAGCTAGCGCTGTTTCAGCACGGGTCGGCCAGCGACAGTCCGTTTCGTCTACGTTCGCCGAGGTTCCATTGAAGAGCACGTGACTCTGCTTCCTGAAGCAGACTGCGACGACCTGTTTTGCGTGTCTACCACATCGTAGCGTAGTTCCTTCAATCATCCAGCTCCTGCCCGAGCCGAGATGTCATCTGCAAACTCTCACGTCCCGTGTCCTGTACGACAATTCATCTCCGGGCTTGAGATTCGTTCGTCTACGCTTTGAAGCAGTTCCAGACCTCGGGTAGTGTCGGCCAGTGCGCCAATTCCGCCGTTAGGGGCCCCGCCAGCGTGTCACGGCTTGCCGACACTGGGCTTCACTCCACGTCGTTCCGCGGCCTTCCGCGACATTCTATGAACCCGGTTTAAGCTGAGGCGCAGGCTTCTCCACCTTTCTCCTCCTGCTCTTCGCACCTTACCCATCGCGCCTCATCCCATCGCCACTCATCCCGTCGCCACTCATGACAGAAGCCCCAACACCACTCGCGGATGGCGAACGAACAGCTCTGTCAGTCGATGACGTCGATCGACTTGCCGCAATACGGTCCTGGCCCAGGACACGGCTCAGGTAGTTGTCACAATGCTTGGGAAGTGTCGATTGATCGATCTCTCAACAGGGATGCCTCCGTGTAGTAAGTAACGCGAACAGCAAAACGTGTAGGGGAGCAGCCCGTTGACATGATGTCAACCAACCATCCATCCAGCCTCAGCCGCAGATACCGAACGGGTGGGCCGATCCGACACCGAAGCGGTCGTCGTGGAAGCTCTGCAACGAATACGGGACAAGTTGCAGCATGCAGCATAGCTACGGATTCGAGTAAGTGACTTCATGAACTGTGCTCTAGGTGTGGGATTGTTCAGGAGCTAATGGAAAACTACCAAACAGCAATTCCCTTCAACACGTCTTCGTTGAATGTCAACCCTCGAGTTGCTTTCCTCCACCATCAATTGGTGACTGCATTCGTGAGTTTCACGTGACATTGGCTGTGCGGGCAGGTATGACGGAAAAACTGATATGAAAAACAGACAGTGTATCGTCAGTGACAGGAGGTGACCCTATCCCCGAAAAGCGGGGCCACCCACCGTGGCCTGTCTGGGAAAACGACATCGATGCCCACAAACACCCCATATTCTACAACAACGCTCGCGAAGGAAGCAGGCCACGGGAAAATGCAGCGGAAGGATTGACTTCGTACGGTTGAGAATCCGGGTCATTGGAACACTAGATGTGAGTCTTCACTGCCATTGCTACAGATGGACAACGGCAAGAATACTGAGTTGTAACGAATCACGCCAGAAAACAGCCTCTGGTCGGGTGAATTGCGGCTCACCTGGCAGATCCTCAACGGCTCGGTTCGGTGGAGTGACCGTCGTGTTGGCAGGTGTGTGCCAATCTTTCAAAAGCAAAGCGCAGGGCAGCAGGACTAACTGACCGGTTGGACTGTAACATCACAGGAAATCCGAAGCAATGCCTTCCCGTTATTCCATGACTCGGTTCGGTGGAGTGACCGTCGTATTGGCAGGTGTGTTTCATTCTCTCTAAAGACAGCGCAGGGCAGAACTGACCGGCTCTGCTGTAACCTCACAGGGGATCCGAAGCAATGCCTTCCCGTTATTCCATGGCTCGGTTCGGTGGAGTGACCGTCGTCTTGGCAGGTGTGTGCCAATCTTTCAAAAGCAAAACGCAGGGCAGCAGGACTAACTGACCGGTTGGACTGTAACATCACAGGAAATCCGAAGCAATGCCTTCCCGTTATTCCAAATCATTGCCTGCACATATTGTCGACGCTTGCATCATGACTGGTGACTTCTGGGGGATCTCTCTGTAAGTAGTAGTCCTTGCCTGACTTTTGGACCCTACACTAACAACGGCACGGTGCGAGCGCAGACAAACATGCGTCTTCTGGCCGCTGCAGACCGCATGACCGAAACGAAACGGGCAAAGACAATATGTCGATAGGCAAAAAAGTCTCAACTTTCGAGATCGAGCAATCCTGGCGTCCAAAACTTCGCAGGTGGATCAGATCAACGACATGGTGCTCGACCTGCTGCCGGGTGACGCTCAAACGTTCTACAGCCCGGATTCGGTCGTCGAAAACGAAGACGAATCACTGTTCTCGATCGAGTATCTTCAGAGTATCAACATCGTCGGAGAGTATCAACATCGTCGGGATGTGAAATGAGAGGCGCCGATGCAGCGCCGTCGATGTTTCCAGCTGGTCGAAAGGATGTTCCAACATGTACGGCTCGGTTCGATTGGCAGCTCGCAAGTCAAGCTTGCGACACCCGTGAAAAGGTCCCCACTCGACACGGGTCTCTAGGTTTCCGTTACTGAACAGTACGGCAGCTGTTGCAGCGAAGTACATCGCATTGCAGATCAACGGTTGCGGTGTGAGGTGGCGCGCTCCGCGCGCCGCCGAACCTAGTCTATACTATCTACTAAACACGTATCAACTACTAATCACACAAATCACACAAAGAAAGAAGGTGCAATTGCGACATTTTGTGAACTTCGCAATGCACCCCGGCGCCGTTCTCTCTTCTTTCTTCGCTCACTTGCACTCTCACACCTCGTCAAACGACTATAATCAATCTGAGTCTGTGCTGAAGCAAGATGGATCATGAGCTCCCCACTGCTGAGGAGGACCTTGTGTGTACGGAATTCGCCACGGACAAAGAAGCGCAAAATTACTCTCAGCTGAGAGGTGCCTCCGCAAATGATCGCTGGCAAGCTCGCTGCGCCGACGCTTTGATTAGATATCTATTAGATATCTAGGCATCTATCTAAGATATCTGACTAAGATGGGAGATAGATAGATAAGGGCCAGAGCCCAATTTTTTTAGATAGATATCTAATATCTGCGAGATTATCTTATCTAATGGGGAACCCTGGGGTCGACACCGGCTGACCGACACGTCCACTCCAGCGTGCGCCTGCTCGACGACCCCAAACGACGCACAGAAGGTGGCAGCTCCCAAGACCACGGGCAATTCACTAAAAGGCGTGATCAACGAAGACCCAGCCAAGAAGTCCCAAGATGAGCCTGCGGACGACACTACCACTACGTCGACCCCACCATCATCACGCCGCGACTTAGCGTCCCCACCCCCTCACACGAAGACCTTGACGGTTGGCACCACTACCGCGAAAACCAGTGCCTCACTTCTGTTTGCGCCGATTTCTGATGGAAAGAGCCATGTCGCCGATGTGGGCCCATCCGCTGGCCACGCGGCCTCCACGCACCTCGAATCCGAAGCATCGCATGCCCTTCACCTCGAGGACTCGGTGGTATGTCGCGCGAGCTGAGAATGCGACTCTGTGATCTGGTTTAGTCTCGGCTGACGTCCTGTCGTTTGTTCAAGATGCAGCGCAAACAGGCTCCCTCAGAGAACGGAACCAAGCGCAAACGTGCCTGGGGAGTTGCCGACGAGGTCGATGAGGTCAATACAGAATCAGAGGTAAGGTCGATCACCGATAATCGTCTAAAAGCTAAATCTCCCAAGCTAAATCTCCCGCCAATCGGGAACGCCTGGACGTGCAGAAGGTCGATACCAAGCCCGACTCATCTTCCTCTCGCTTGAATCTAAGCTCGGAATCCGACGTACGTCCGAGCCCGGCCTGGCTTTCCTCTAGTCTAGCAGTAAGACGGCACTGACGAAGTGTAAACCCGCACAGAACTCTGATGCTTCTGGTGACGGGGACGGCAGCGACGAGGATTGCGGCAGTGATGACAAGGATGGCAACGTACCATCCGAGACGGCCTTAGGTGAAGCTTGGTCCAAAATAGCCAAGACGAAGGTCATCTGCTCGGACGTAGACGACGAGCCCGACGACACGTTCGAGGTGCGCTCTTGTGTGCCTTGAGAGGAATCCGCATCCTGCTGACTGCCATTGCGTCTCCTGCAGGTCTGTTCTCGCCAGTTGAAAGGCGCACACGCGCATATGGATAACCCTTGCAAGGTGAGCTGTGACCGATGCGATCATCCGCCACGCTTCGCGCCACTGACAAGAGTCATGACCCACTGCTCTCTGGCATCGACCGTCGTTGGCCTGCCAATCTTACAGTCCTCGACCGAAGAACCCGATGCCAAGAGCCTTGAAGATGAGCTTGACCAGATACGGCGCGAGCTCCAGGCATTACGTGCCATGCTTGAGCCAGTGATCACGTTCATCAACACGCCAAGTATTGACCATCTCAAGGTACGTGTGATCTCCACGCGTGAGGACGCGAAGCATAGATCCAACTGACGAGACGTATTCCACAACCATTGGCAGAACCGACTCCCACCCGCCGTAAAAGTATTTGTGGCTACCCCATACTTTTACAAGCAATTGGCCTCGGCCGAGTCTTTTGCAGTACGTGACCTTCACTTCGGTACCAGCGCACGATTGTCTCATACAGGCTTCATCACCCGCAGATGGTCTTGACGAAAAGCGGCATCGTCCCTGTAGAAGCATGTAGCAAAAACATCACGTTCCGCCAGAACCTGCTCTCGAACATTCCGGCTTTGTTGGTGCAGGGTCGTAGTGATCTCCTCCGACACGTGAGCAGACGCCTCGCGCCTTGTGGTCTCCGAGCGGTCCTGACAAAATTATAACTCTTCCCAGATCAATAAAGCTCAAAAGGACAAAGCTACTCTCGGCCATACCATGCAGCAATGGTACAAAGGCCAACAGGTTGCCATAACCCAAGGACACGTCATCTGCAGTGGTGGAGTATACTGGTGCGTATATATGAAGAGCTCGCCTCCACCCTCGATCCTGACCCGCGCTTGTAATCACCATACCAGTGGCAGGCAATGAAGGCTCCAAACATCCTCGACCCAAAAGACTCCAAGGCCAACAGCTTCGCGAACAAGCTCAAGCGCTACGGTGACAGCCTCGCCAAAGACGCCGCGACAGCACACCTCGCGGGCGGCTACAAGAGAAATGGGGGGTTTGATCATCAAACGTGAGCTTCGTGCTTCATGGTGAGGTACATGGCATGATCGAATATGCTGACACTTGGCGACTTTCTTGGCGCGTACAAGGTTTCTCTTCGACATGGTCACGGTCAAGATGAAGCGACATTCCGGCATCCGCACGGCAGGCCAGAATACGCTCAGCGAACACACGATACAAGCGGTCTGTTCTGAAGTTGTCGGTGATCCCGCCAACAACCTCAGCTTTGCAAGCCGCGTAGCGGTGAGTGGCGCCCTCAGTCGACCACATGCCGAACTTGGACTGACGAACGATCCCCGGAGCGAACACAGGACGCAGTCCAGGAGATGGGTTTTGCTTCGGGAAAGGCGAGGAAGACGAAGAAGACCAAGACCACCAAAGATGAGAAGCAGATCGAGGACGGGCAACCCTAAGCAACGCGCTATCGAACAAGCTCTCTGAAGGATTCGACGTGTGCAAGGGGACTCGGGCGCGACTTGGGGTGGAGTCGGGGTGGACCATGGGTGGGGCTTTCTGAGACTTGTATAACGGGGTTTTTTAGACTTGTATTAACATGTTTTTAGTGTTTGCAATGAGTGTTGCTTCAATAAGTCTACAGGAGCAAGAAGAGAGCAATATGTACCTACAGCACCTGGTCCAGCATTACTACAGCGTCCACCTGGTCTCCTCATATATACCCTACGTGTACCACATTGCGTCCATGCTTCTACAGTAAGGCCACCCTATCTTCTCACTATGGCTTCCTTCGGGGGGCTATATCAAGCCGCCCTATGGCTGCCATATGGCTCGCACGTATTCGTGCCCTATGGGCTGGCCATATACGGGCCATATGGCTATTCGCCTAAATGATTAGGAAGGCCGTATGGAGCCGTAGGGATGCCTTAAGGGTGCCATAATTTTCGCGCGCGCATGTGTATTATAGAACCTTTCTTGTAAATCTTTCCGAATGACGCCGCACATAGCTGCCGGAGCTGCCGCAGAAGCTTGACACAGAGTCCAATTGGGACTTAGAGTCGACGCATCGCATTTTTTTTTGTAGAAACTGTTCATCATATTGCCCCCAAGTCCTGTTCCCCCTGATTGGCCTACGGAAAAACTAGATGGAAGTCGACGATGATAACACAAACCGCCCGCAAGATGCGAGAAACGGGCCAAGTCCACCAATCCGATACTTCGGATTCAAGTGCCCCAGCCAAGCGGTTGCTCCCCCCCAGGAGACGAATGAGAGAGAGAAGAGAAAGAGAGAAAATGAAAAAGAACTGGCGTACTAACGACAAGAGGCCCACCCCGCACCCACTTCCCAACTCGGTCGAGACAAAGACAGGAGAGCGACTGCGCAGCTACCCTGACCCGCGAAGTCCCCAAGTCTATGCTCGGTCACAACAAGACGCGGTGGAGGCCCCTCAAAACCTCCACCTCAGCAGTCCCTGGCCCCTCAAAGCCGACTTTCTGCCTGTGTCTGCTGATCCCTCCCTTGACTCAGAACCCCGAAGCCAAAGAGCGCGAGCCACCGTCGAGTCAATCCCAAATCGCGAGCCGGTCCATGAGCAACGGAGGCAGACCTGTAATAAAAGAAAGAAAGATGAAGAAAATATATTTAGTATACAGTTTTTGTAAGAGGATGTGTGATGTGGGGTGTGTGAGTGTGGGATCGGGTGGGGGGAAATCGAACCCAGCCTCTACTGCCCTCGCCCGCCCCTTGCTCCCCCCGCCCTCAACTTCATCCTCTCCTCCAGTACCACCCTCCTCCGCTCCAGGCTTTCCATCCTCGTCCCGTGCTTCTGCATCCTCCATCTCCCACTGCTGATCATCTCCAAGACCATCCCCGTGAAGATCTCGATCGTCCTGCCTGCGCCTTCCTGTTCGCTGAGCTTGGCCTTGAGCTTGGGGAGGCCAAAGAGTCGTTGTAGTGTCGTGTACTCGGCGTCCTCGATCGTGTCGCATCCGAGCGCGTCGCAGAGCACGCCCCTTGCCGCGGTCCAGACGTTCCGCGAGTCGACGCAGCCGAAGAAGTAGTGATCGGTGTCGTCCATCGGCGCTTCGCACACGAGGCACGCGGGAGAAGTGTCATGCTTTTGCTCGTGCTGGAGTTTGCGCGTCGGGGTGAAGCGGAGGATCAGCTTGAACCAAACTTCCCTCTCCCTCGCCGTCAGTGCCTTCGAGTTGACTGCCTTCCAGAAGCTCCTGAGGTCGTCCGGCTGCGGTGGTCCCTTGAGCCCGAGCATGTTGGTAAATGCCTTCGCGTTCAGGACCCGGCGGATGCGACGGACTGTGTAGGGGCGAGCCATGTTCAGCAGCGTATACTGGCTCGCCTGTTGTGGAAGCACCGGGTCCGGAAGGCGCTGCTCCATTGCGAAGCGGGCCACGGGCTTGGGGATGATCGCCTCGAGCGGTGCGCTGGTGCCGATCCGGGGAGGCACGTTGAGTCGTCCCGCCGCCACCGCCGCCGCCAAGGGGGTGTGACGGTTGAGTTCGACCCACGCGTGCAAGCAGGACATATGTTTCAGGTGTATCTTATTGAAGGTGTTAGTAGACCTTGCACTGATATCAGGGGCCGGATAGCTTAGAGGTCAAAGCTTTTCCGATTAATGGAAACGACCCAGGTTCGACTCCTGGTCCAGCCGTTTCTCTTCTTTTGTTGATCATTTTCGGGATCATCGTTGATTCCAACATGGTAGCGTCTGTCGGTTAACAAGATAAAGGGGGCGGCTGTCTCCGAACCATGCTGTAGAGCAAGATGCCAAAGCAAGGTTCTAAGGGGAAGTGTGAGGATCTATTATAGAACCTTTCTTGTAAATCTTTCCAATGACGCCGCACATACACCTCAGGCAGACTAAAAAGTAACCAGTCTTAGTAGCGCCGCCGCGCGGCCAGAAAACCCTATGCAAATAGGCGACCTGAGCCCGGTAGCAACACTGCTACCGACGGTAGCAACTCGGCGCCGGGACAGGCCCGTACACCTCTTCCAAGTCCGTTAAGACCACTACATTGATCATGTGACGACATGAGAGATAATAAGAAGCAAAGATTGATTTCGAGTTGAATCAGTAACCACACGTAATTTTTTAAATGTTAAGACTCTAAGCGCCTGAGGCCGGGGCTCATGCTCATGGGCGGGTGTCCAGTCACGTGCTTGACGCGTTGTAAGATGAGGAACACGTCAAATTGGCACGCAAGGAATCTGTCGCGCGTGCATGCAGGCGGCCGCCGCTGCTTCCTGCAGGACGTACTACCTGGATCGTCGCAGACTTAACCCACCCGGAGCTCGTTGCTGCTGAGCTACTACACTTGTGTTCTCGTATTCATTCCGCTCAGTCACCATGGGCCGCCCCTCGCGACTCAAACCACGCTTTCCGCGGATCAAGCCTTCGGACTACCTCGACCATCCCGATTGCCCGAATCAATACGCCACGATGCCGCTGTGCCTTGTCACTTTCGGAGGTACGATCGTCGATAAAGGAGGACGTAAGAGGCCGAGGAAGGCCAAGACAGATATGGATGCCACTCCCACCACATCTGCAACGTCAAACGTCGAAACGAGCACGAACCAACGCGTCCCTGTCGCCTCGACCTCAGTCTTCGCCAATGACCTGAACTTCTCCCACGATGATTTCAACGAGGATTATCTCAGGGACTTCCCTCTTGCTCAGCAGGCCGAGTACGAAGACCTAGGGGGAATGGATCTTTCCATGGAGCGCTGGGACCCACCCGACCCCGACTTACAACGCCCAACTCACCAGGAACTCGCACAGGAGGTTTTACCAACTCCCCGCGTCTCCGATCCGCCGGTTGCCGCTAAGCAAGAAGGTTACTTCAAGTTTATCACACTCGAGCACGAGCAGCGCGAGGGTCAGCGCGCTGCCCTTTTGGGTCTCTGTCTTGATTTACGCATAAGCACCAATGGGCAGTTTCTGCCGCTCGTTTCGAACAGCGACAAGGACGACTTGAACGTTCCTTCACCATGCCACTGTCAGCACGTGTATGCTCGCGAGGTGGTCCTGTACGACGGACTGACCGGTATGTGTCATGCCAGCTCCGTTCACCGATTTGCGCGATGCATCTTTTCTCGCCGTTGTCCTGGTATCACTGACACGTGAAACCCCCTCTGCGCCTTGCCTTTCAGTCTATTCCAAGCAAGTCACGTTCTGCGCTTCCAATCCGCCCTGTATTGCGGAAGCTGTACGCCTGGCTCAACTTGGGTTTATAGCATCGACCGCTGTCAACCCAGGATCAGCGTTCTCCTTCCGCATGATCCGCCTAGAAAACTCGCGTTGGCGTAACGCCCCTTACGCCCTCACTGGCCACGCTGCAGGCTTCGAAGACTATTTCGGGGACAACGGGTGGTCGAAACCAGAGCATTATCATGGACACCCATATGTGAGCATTTGTTATCGGTTTTTTGCCATGGGTTCTACCTGGACTCATTTGCTGCCTGATTGTGGAGCTCAGGATAAAGAGCTGAGGAAGCAATGGCAGCGGGCGATCGACGAGTTTCGCGCCATCGAAGCATCTGAGCGCGACGTTGGCGACTTTCTCTTGGGCACCGTCGACGCGCTGGCCAACAAATGCCCAGCGTGCTTCGGGCCGAAACAACCGACCCCATCACACCCTCCAACTGGATTATATGATCGCGCTCGACGGCAACTTCCAGCAAACCCGAGAAAATAATGCGACATACGACGTCCAAGGAATAGTGCCGAGCTTGTTTCTGTCTGATAAAGCCGTCCTGGACATGAAAGCACTCGTCGAGAATACAGCGCGGCCAACGAAGAAGGTGAGGAGCGTGATATATTTGCGATCCGCCTCGAATACTGAGTAATATCGCTCCGGCCCCGTCGGAAGGCGTGCACAGAGTCGTGGAAGGCTGCTGACGGGGGCGCTGGTCGAGTCTCGTCGCGCAAGATCGATACAGGACTTGTCGCCGGCGTGTGCCGCCATGATATCGCCCTAAAAATGGTGAATCTTGAGAAGACCGGCGAAAAGTGAGTGTATTGAGCTTATGTTCTTCAACTCCAACTTGCATTTTTACTTTCACTGCTGATGCTCATGCCTGCACTCCAATCACCTAGGCTGTACTTCGCTTTAGCCATTGTCAAGCACATCTCGGACCATCTTCCCCCAGATGCTAGGATTGGAATTTTGTACGACATCGCTTGTAATTTCAAGCACCACATTGAGAAGGTTTGCATTGACCACCTCGGCTCGGGCCCCTCTCCGATATGTCGTTGCTGATCATATGGGCTTTGTGTTTCAACCTTTTCAGAGGCATCTGCTGCCTGAGCTGTTTGAGCGACTCGAGTTCGCCACAAGTGTCTTCCATGCATACGCCCATACCTGGGGTTGCCAGGTTGACTACAACCCCCGTCTCATCCCGAACTTTGGATTCACTGATGGAGAAGGTTGTGAGCGACTA